TCACTGTTGCAGAAAACTCCTGATTGGACGAGGCTCACGTCTTCTCCCAAAAAGTTCCACAATGTTCATCTCGAGCGTTAACTGCATTGGAGGCGCGTCAAAGCGCTTGAAATCTCAAAACGCGCCGCAGGATCTCTTGACGCTCCTATAGCGCGTCCCCCATGTATTTTCAATGTAAAGCCGACGCTTTGGACGCCCAAAACGCGTTTGGTCTGAACGCAGCATTAGACTATCAATATGAAATCAGCACTAAGCAGTGGTTCATAGAAAAGAGCAGCACAAGAAATCTATATGAATTTTTTCCAAATGTTATGTAAATACTGTACACCTCTTGGATTATGTTCTTCAGGATTCACCACTCTTTTGAATAGTGTAGTCTTCATGTGTAACTTTAATACAAAAAACAAGGTATTTGTCAAAACAAAAATGTCCAGTTAACATCATAACACCCGCCTCAATTGGCTTGTGCACAAAAGTTGGGCATGCCCAAATGTCTTAGCATATTTAACAATACAGCTTACACATCACATGCTTGTGTGATGCATAATTTTAAAGCTAGAGCCTTTTAGTTTAAATATACACTAGAATAATGTATGTCATTCCTATTTCACTCTGCATCTTTTGAAGTTTGGGCAAAACTTTTTTTAGCCTCACCTGAAAAATATTACATTTAAAAAACCCTAAAAATAAGGCATACTTCATTGTAAGCTCACAATATTCAAACCCTATGTCTAAGTATTATACTTTTGATGCAGTTGTCCTTATTCATATACTAGTGCCATTCGGCCTTATTTGGCACACTTTGTACTCCAATGTTTTGGTACTTAAAAGCTTCCTCTCTGTATGATTTTGTTACAGTTTATATTTTTATTATAGTGTAATTACATGCTGCGTAAAACCTGCTTCTTTCCTTGTGTATTTGGCCTCATGTGCGTCTGTGTCTTTAAAAAAGTCAGGGGTCAAATACCAAGTCCCACCTCTTGTTTGAGAGCTATCGACATAGGCTGTTTAGACCTATCAATCATTTGGGAAAATAAATAAAAGTCATCCAAGCAAGAAAGGTTACACCCAGTGGGGTTGGGTCCCGGCTCAAAAATGTCCAAAATGATGTGCGCTAACATGCTTGCATTACCACCCCGGGCCGATGGGGGTGGACCAAGCCCCGGTGATCCAAGATGGCGCCCTATTCAAATGAATGGCTTGTGCTCAGTAGCGCATGGGACTTCACGGAGACCGGGAGATTAGCTGAACACGCCTATATTTGGGCATCGTCTGGTCCTCCCTGTTCTGCGAAATACGCGTGTGTGGGTCTAACATGGCAGTAAAGTGTAGATTTAAAGAAGACCGAAGGATTTAAGAAGAAAAAAAGTTCAGGATGACAAGGGACACTAAAATCCCCAAATAATCCGACCTTTATGAAAGCTGTAGGTTCTCTGTCAGCTGAGGTCGAGCTGTTTTAGTTTACATTGAGTTCTATGGGACTTTTTTCTGGGTAGCCCTCGTGAATTTAGTTTGCAGTACCACGGGCGCCCCCTGTGCCCATGGGTGGGACAGCTATAAGCTAGTACTACCCTATCCAGTTATTATAGATCCATGGGGTGGACCCGGAATAAGAATTATTCAATTATAATGTATAGCATCTTCTTTTACTCTCGAAAACGGCTTTACAGGACACATGTTTGTCAATGCTGAGGGGAGTATATTTTTTTGGACCAGTCTAGTTTAGTCGCAGTGGAATTCTGAAGGCAGTCAAATGAATGGGGCTAGTGCCGGCTGACTAGGGGTGGGAACCTAAGGGTCCCTCACGATACGATATGATACGTGATGCAAAGCTCACAATAACGATTATATCACGATATGACGATTATTGATATATTGGTCAGCAATATACCATATTCCAATATATGGCATACATAAAATAGAAAAATTTTAAGTGAAAAAATACACATTATTTCATGATAAATGGAATGGAGATGTGTAATGTAGCAAGATAAAGTATTGATACTAATTTTAAAAAACTAAAAATTTGAAAACCAAACAAATCACTTTTTTTTCTAAATCGATACTTGGCAAATGCATATCGATAATCGATCGCGGGAGAAAGTATCTCAATATATCGAAAAATTGATATATCGTCACACTCCTACGGCTGACGCATGCACAAATGTGTTTTCACATTTTCCTGCCCCATAGAAGGTGAAAGTAATGGCACATTAGTTTAAACGGCGGAGATACGTGAGACTACGTCCGTTAATATTTTCAGTCTATGGTTACACCGAACACCAAAGGCTACTTTTGAGGCAGCAGACATGTTCACAAACTCAGCTGTTATATATTTAAAAAATAATAATACTATACGGATTTCCTCAAACAAGGTCTCATTGTTTAGCTAAGTAGAAGAGGAACACAGGCATAGGATTTGTTTAGGGACAAATTCATTGTAGTTTTAGCAAATTAGGAAGTAACAACTTGTAATGTCTTCGAAGATGTTTTTTCCCTCTAAAAGAAATACACACATTTCTGGATTATATCTCCATGCTGGAAAATATTTGAGAAGTTACAAGTGGATAATGCTTTTCCATGGACAATTACGGAATTTAAGAGCCACAGCAAGCATGGGTTGCGTCAATATTATAGACACAGCACAAGTCCAAATGTAAGAAAAGCTATGAGAATTTTGTTTTTGTGCCCATATAATGTTTTATATCTTTTTAGAGTAAAGTCTAGTAGGGGTGCAACGATTTGAAAAAATCACGGTTCGGTTCGTACCTCGGTTCAGAGGCCACGGTTCGGTTCATTTTTCGGTTCATTTTTCAAAATATATATTTAATAAACACAGCTCATGTGGACTCGGCACCTGCTCTGACTGCTCCCCCTGACCTAGAAATGGATAAGGGGAAGGAAATGGATGGATGGATGGATGGCATATTCCATCCATCCAATTATGTCTATTTAACATAATAAATGAAAAACAACACAAAGTGCAACATAAGAAGGCACTTTATGAGGGTATTTACCCTCATATAGGGATGTAAAAAACTATGAATTTTCATGACCGACCACCGAGCCTCATTAACCGGTTGAAACCGGTTAACCGCGTAGTTTAAAATAGTCCACGTTCTTTGAAATAACAGCCATTTCGAGCTGCGTACTTTTCATATGTGCAGCTGAGCGTTCTACTGGATCAGAGCGGAGACAGCGGCGCCAAAACCCGCAACAGCTTGGGCACCTTTGCGCACAGAGAACTGCTGTTTTAATCTTCCCATTATTCTGTGCTGCGGCTTAAAGCATTTTTAAGCAAAAGACAGCTCGTCCACATGGTCAGAGCAGCGAGTGACGAGCCGCGTCTCGCAGGTCTCCGCTAAAGTTTAAAAGTGATCAGTGTGGAGCTGATGCCAAGGACCAGCAGCACAAACATGGTCCATGTGGTTTGACTGGAGCCGTGTATTTGCAAGAATGCTTTGGGCTCCGTGACAGAGGAGCGCGACAGACCGGTATGTGTGTGTGTACAATACATGTATGTATGTGTGTGCAATACATGTATGTATGTGTGTGTAAATATAAGCTCCAATGTAGTTCTGACCCGCACCAGTGTGCAACTAGCAGACGGTAACACAGGGGAGAGATGATGCGTGTGGATGTTACGTGTCAATGGAGGGGGAGGGGGATGGGGGGGGGGGGGGGGGTGTGTGTGTGTGTGTGCGTGTACATGTGTGCGTGCATATGTGGCGCGTACGGCGTGAGAGTCGGCCCAGAGTTTACTGTTACATTGGCGCACACAGCTAGATAGGGACCCGCTCGTCACATCGTGCAAATAGGGCTTAAAATAGCGTTATGAAGAGACCTCCCCTCTCCCCCTTTTTTCTTTTTTAACCGACAGCTTTGACCGGTTAACGCTGTGACGGTCAACCACCGGTTAAACGGTCGCCGATTTACATCCCTACCCTCATATATTAAACCACCTTCCTGATTCTCCCAAGAAGGCGGTTCCATTCTGGGCCCAGTTCAGCCTCAGTCACTGCATTTATTTATTTTTTGGCATTATCAGTTGTAACTGGGATATTAGTACTGGGCCTTTGTCTTCCATTCCTCCGCTGCTTGTGTCAGTACCTGTGCTGTGTGACAGTGTGACTGTCGTAGAGGGGGCGTGTCTGCAGCACCAGACTCTTCATCTCTCAGTCTGCTGTGATGAAGTTCTCGGTTCCGCTCATGGATCTATTATAGATTCCGCGGGACGTCCACGCGTCAGTCGTGAGCGCAGCTGAGGATGCGCGGGAGAGTTGACTTTAGCCCGGTCTGACTGTGCGTAAAGGAGCTGCTTAAATGCCGCGGCAATAAGCGGTCGTTGAGACGCTTTTTTTCACTCATGTCTTTCTTGTGCCACAGTGCTTACACATCGTGACAGTTTTGTTGAATATTAATTATCAGTATAGTTACAGTGAAGCCAAAATGCTCTCATACTGGGGATTTAAATGACGTGGGGCTTTCAAGTATCTCCGTTCCTCTGCTTGCCGTGACCACGCTGTGTGTGGACTGAACAACGTGCGCACAACTTTTTTTTCATAAATCAAACCGTTTTCTCTCTATTTGCGCGGTTGCTACAAGCGTACACCAGACAAAAAGATGGCATTTTGAGAGCGCTTCTTCTTCTACTACATCTCTGTGTATAAACCCGGCAGACTGCACAGCCAGGGTACGTCACGTCCTTTCCTACGTTTGTTATTCACGCCACTACCCTGATGTCTTATGAAACCCAAGTAATGCTTACACCTGTATATTAATGTTGATGAGAAATAAAACTTTAAAATGATATACAGTACAGATTGTGGGGTTTGAAAACCAAAATAAATGTGCTTTGAAAATATGAACGCTAAAAAAAAACAACAACAAAAACACTAAGTGTTAAGAAGCTGCAATGATTACATGTTTTTTTTAATCCACCAAATGTCAGTGTTTCTGGACAGATTGACAACACTTATGAAGCTCAAAGCTTTGGATACCTGATGGTGCCGGTAGGCGAGGGCAAGGGAGAGCTGAAGGCCCGCATGTGCTCCTCATGCTGCTGCGCTGTGGGGATGCTGATCTTCAGGGGAGAGATGTGAGGCAGGAGAGGGCGCAGAGGAGGGGAGGCTTCCTGGTCTCGCTGCTCCTCTGGCTCCAGCAGAGACATGAACTGGATCTTGATCACCGTGCTGGGGAAGCGAAACACGCACCTGGCGACAAACGAATGGAAGGATCAGAGACGTATGCAGATATTCTGAAATTCTTTTAATCTTTAAAAGCTTTAGTATCAACCTTCTGTAATCAAGGTTCAGCACAGGTGAAATCATTTCTAGAGGAACAATCTGTTACAATTACAGGTATGTCTCCGTGAAAAATGACGATATGAAGGGAAATGGCTGATGATTTTGGCATTGACATATATATATATTATTCAGCCAGATCAAACTCTCAATTGACATTATTATTCAATATTCTGTATTAGTCACTAAATATTTCAATGATTTCATGCCTAAATATTTTTTGTAAACACACGTGTTCAGGTTGGGTCAGATGTGTAATTCATTCAACAGAATGTTGAATGAATTACACATCTAATTGCTACAGTCCTCCAACCATGAGGCAGTTATTTTCAGAGAAAAAAAAAATCTTGCATCCAGCAAATCTTCCCATTACTTTTTGAGTATATTTTTCACAGAAAGAGCCCATGTCCTCACGTAGCCGGAAATTTCCCCCCCTCCATTTATAAAACAAATTGCATCCACACATAACCAAACATCTGCGTTTTCAGTCCTCTGACGTCCTGCGTTGGGGGAAAAACACGGAAGTGGGCGGAGCTTTGCTGCCGATGCCGGTGCTTCTGTAGCGGCACTTTTACAGTTATAGAAGAAAGTCAGGGTAAAGACAGATGTTTACAAGCACAACAGGACCACTGAACCTGGCCTCCTGCATCTACACCTGCGGACTGCCCTGCCCGACCCGCCTGGGGGCGCTTCAGTCCTGCACCGGACCTGTCCACGCTCTGCAGCCGCTGCGTGGCATTGGTCCACGTTCTGTAGCTTAGGTCCTAGATACAGTGCCTTGCAAAAGTATTCGGCCCCCTTGAACCTTTCAACATTTTGCCACATTTCAGGCTTCAAACATAATGATATAACATTTTAATTTTTTTTTATGAATCAACAACAAGTGGGACACAATCGTGAAGTGGAACAAAATTTATTGGATAATTTAAACTTTTTTAACAAATAAACTGAAAAGTGGGGCATGCAATATTATTCGGCCCCTTTACTTTCAGTGCAGCAAACTCACTCCAGAAGTTCAGTGAGGATCTTTGAATGATCCAATGTTGTCCTAAATGACTGATGATGATAAATAGAATGCACCTGTGTGTAATCAAGTCTCCGTATAAATGCACCTGCTCTTTGATAGTCTCAGGGTTCTGTTTAAAGCACAGAGAGAACCATGAAGACAAAGGAACACACCAGGCAGGTCCGAGATACTGTTGTGGAGAAGTTTAAAGCCAGATTTGGATACAAAAAGATTTCCCAAGCTTTAAACATCTCGAGGAGCACTGTGCAAGCAATTATATTGAAATGGAAGGAGTATCAGACCACTGCAAATCTACCAAGACCCGGCCGTCCCTCCAAACTTTTATCTCAAACAAGGAGAAGACTGATCAGAGATGCACCCAAGAGGCCCATGATCACTCTGGATGAACTGCAGATAACTACATCTGAGGTGGGAGAGTCTGTCCATAGGACAACAATCAGTCGTGCACTGCACAAATCTGGCCTTTATGGAAGAGTGGCAAGAAGAAAGCCATTTCTCAAAAATATCCATAAAAAGTCTCGTTTAAAGTTTGCCACAAGCCACCTGGGAGACACACCAAACATGTGGAAGAAGGTGCTCTGGTCAGATGAAACCAAAATCAAACTTTTTGGCCACAATGCACAACGATATGTTTGGCGTAAAAGCAACACAGCTCATCACCCTGAACACACCATCCCCACTGTCAAACATGGTGGTGGCAGCATCATGGCTTGGGCCTGCTTTTCTTCAGCAGGGACAGGGAAGATGGCTAAAATTGATGGGAAGATGGATGGAGCCAAATACAGGACCATTCTGGAAGAAAACCTGTTGGAGTCTGCAAAAGACCTGAGACTGGGACGGAGATTTATCTTCCAACAGGACAATGATCCAAAACATAAAGCCAAATCTACAATGGAATGGTTCACAAATAGTCGTATCCAGGTGTTAGAATGGCCAAGTCAAAGTCCAGACCTGAATCCAATCGAGAATCTGTGGAAAGAGCTGAAGACTGCTGTTCACAAACGCTCTCCATCCAACCTGACTGAGCTCGAGCTGTTTTGCAAGGAAGAATGGGCTAGAATTCCAGTCTCTCGATGTGCAAAACTGATAGAGACATACCCCAAGCGACTTGCAGCTGTAATTGCGGCAAAAGGTGGCACTACAAAGTATTAACGCAAGGGGGCCGAATAATATTGCACGCCCTACTTTTCAGTTATTTATTTGTTAAAAAAGTTTAAATTATCCAATAAATTTCGTTCCACTTCACGATTGTGTCCCACTTGTTGTTGATTCTTGACAAGAATTTTATTTTTTATATCTTTATGTTTGAAGCCTGAAATGTGGCGAAATGTTGAAAGGTTCAAGGGGGCCGAATACTTTCGCAAGGCACTGTATATAGCCCGTCCGTCCGTGTGGATCCATCTCTCAATGTGGGTCTCCCCGAGGTTTCTCACTTTTTCCCACTGGATTTTTGTAAGTAAGTAATCTTTATTTATTATTATTTTTGTGAGTTTTTCCTTGCCGATGCAGGAGTGGAAAGTTAGTGTCCAACTAGAAGGACTGTGGTGATGATCCAGGACACTAACATTCTACAACATGTATGGACATTTATCAACATTCATGGACATCGGTCTCTCCCTATGAACCAATTCATATGTGTATATTTTGTGTTTTAACTGTTGTTTCTCTAATCAGTCCTCTGAGATAACTTCTGTTGTGATTCAGGGCTATACAAGCATAAGTTGTTGTTGTTGATAAATGTCCAATTTCATTAATATTTTAATAACATAATATGTTAAGTGACTAGATCAGAATCTGAATCATTTTTATTGCCACGTAAGTAACAGGAAGTCACAGACTTGGAAATTGCTTTGGCTCAGTGCAACAGTCAGAAAGAGATAATAAAAATGAAGAATAAAAAATACTTCTAAGGAATACATTTAAATTTAAAATAGTTACAGTTTCAGATACAAATCAATGAACTTAATAATAAAACTACATTCAAATGAAAATCCTTTTTCATCATGGTTTACATTTTACATTTGTATCTGAGTTTATTTTATGGAGTTCTTCCTTTTATAATTGATTGTGTGCATGTGAAGCACTTTGGGCAGCTGGTGTTGCAAATGTGTTATGCTCTCCAAGAATGCACTCCTAAAATATGAATTAACTACACTGTTGGACTTCAGTTCTACAACGTTTTGTTTTGACCTAACTTGGAGATTTTCCAGGTCAAAAACATCTGCCTTTGACTTTCTTATAATGTTTATTGCCTTCCAATTCACCTGTCCTGGATCTCACAGCTGAAAATAAATTATCATAGAAAGCGCTTAACATTTAAAATTCCCTGCACATTCGAGTAAGTATGTGAATACCGATTAGTGCTGGCCTGTGTGTCATACAGTGTATATGACCTGTATATGACCAGTGTTGTTTACATGTAGTTACTCCATGTGCCTATCAGCCTGCACTTCCTTTTCCACCAAGACCCGCCCACAAACATTGAATATAACCAATCAGCGACCGACAAGACCACAGCCCTCCACCTCCTCTTCCTGAAACGTGACGGGCACACAAGGCCATACAAACTTCATCTTTCAATGGAGTTGGTGAAAATCATTTCGTCTGTGAAAAAGTAGGCTCAACGTGAGCTATATGCATGTGTGTAAGAAGCTCACTCATAAACAAAATTAAGTAGTGTACAAGCACAAACCAAATCCCCCTTTCACTGGGTGCGTTTGTTTACATTAGTATTTAAGTGACGGCCACGCGCTAGCCCACTGCTAGCTAAACGTCTAGCATTACAAGGCATTACAGAAGGACTGTGGGCAAGGTTTTATGCATGAATAGGGCCCACTAGGACATTTCCCTCACGTCAAAGTTAAATTAAACACATAAAAAGTGATAACACGTTTCAAAGCTAGCTAAACTGAAGCTACACCACTGAAACATGATTCACAAAATAAAGTAGTGTGGTTCTGTTGTCATTATGTTAATTGCTTTGAACATCATGAAATCAGTCTAAACACAAGTTGATTGAACTCAGAAGCACAATGGATCTCTTCTGAATAACGTGTATCTAATAAAGTGTATCTCCCAACTTTGAACAACACAAGTTTGCAGCACTTTGTAAAGCCTTGCTCAGGGGTTGGGGCTCCTAGTGGGATAGTCAGCACTTACTCTCGGGGAAGAGGCAGTGGGGGAGCCCCTCTGCGCTGGAACACACCATCCACAAACACTCCGTTTTTGCCCAGACAGCGCAGAGTGAAGCCGCTCGCCTGGTCGTACATGAGCTGCAGGTGTCTGCGGGAGATGAAGCTGGAGTGACCCATGTTGATGTCAACGGAGCCGTGGGACGAGTTGCGACCGATGGTGACCGTCTTTTGGCGCATGAAAAACTCAAAGTCCCGGCCCTCCAGTCTGGCCAGGGCCTGCAGTAGAGGAGAGCCCAGGCGCATCGGTAGGACCCCCGAGTCCCCCCGGGCCTCCATCAGCGGAGGGCCCAAGAAGAGAGAGGACTGTGGGAAGGAGCGAGAGGTCACGGGCACTCGCACCTGGCTGCACGGAGCAGACTGCAGCGCCAGGAGAGCCCGGGCCCCAGAGTCGTCCCTGTAGTCTGCCATCTTTACTGCTGTTCAACTCACACAGAACTCTCGCACACAGAGCTGCAACGTGAGACTTTTCGGCCGGGGCACTTGTTCGCTCCGTGGCTGAAACAACATGGAGTCCCGCTGCGGCCAAGAGCTGGACTGGATCAGCCACCGCAGGACGGGAGCCCCAGGGAGCACACCATGCTCCCATGTCACACAACCAGACTGAATTTTCAATTTGGATAATTTTTGTTTTGCCTATGTTGTTTTGGTTTACATTCTATTTTATTCGTATATTTTCCATATTTTTCTTTATATTTTTTTTATAATTATTCAAAGCACGATCGCGTATATGAAGCTTTATAAGAAAGTTATTAACCTGTGTACCCCACGCTAATAAAATGAAAATGTATGTAAATACTGATTGAATTTGAAGTTGCTGATTTATTCGTAATTATGTCTTCATCAATACTAGTGCAACCTGCGCAGGCGTACAATATAGTAACACTCCAAAAACACAATGTATGATGACGTTCTAATGTAACTCAATTTGATAATAGTAATGATCATGATTTATAATAAGAATAAAAATAGCAATCGCTTTGTTTACATGTTCAACTAATGAAAAATAGCAGACACTGTTGAAAAGATACAAGGACCACACGCAACAGAACTGAAAGACCACACGAGGTTTGTGCGTGTGTGTGCCGTGTGTTTGAGTCAGTCTTCTCTCTCATTTGTTCAACTCAAACACTTTTTTCCCGTATGCCTTTCCTCTGTTTATAAACATAGAAAGAACAAGGTAGATGCAAAAGGTGGATAGCGGAATCCAAAAGGAGTGGAGGTTACAACAGAGCCATGAGTGGAAAACACACTGTTGCGTTATTATGTGTGAACCACATGGGGGAGCTATTGGATAAATACAATGTAAGTCATTACAAAAAAATTATTAAATGAATAATAACATAGTACGCAATACAAGTTTTTATATATAGTGTTCACCTTTTTGTTGCCTGTTTGTACCATATACCAAATTCCTAGTTTAGGACATCTTGTTTCTTACAGTGGCAGTAAAAAATAATTTTGATTTTGATTCTGGTTCTGAATACACAGATATTTCAATTAAACACATATTTGTGTCATTTCCGTACGTTCATAATTAATTTGATGACAAAGAAATTTTAGCCAACTTTATTTTAGATGAATCCAACTTGTGTGTCTGTGTGACATAAAAACGTTTTCTCCATCTTAAAACAGAAAAAATATTATAATTAACCGTCACTTTAATATCATCAGCATGGCTGTCAATGAACTCAAGTAGTGTAATTTTTAACGACATTTTATAGTCGGTAATATTACAATAATAACTTGTATTGCGCTTTTTTGGACACTCAAAGATGCTTAACGTATAGTAATACAAATATATTACAATCACTTTTTAGAATAACCAGCCTACCACTGAATAATATAAGGGCTGGGGCACTTATGTTTTAAAATCAGCAAATTCAAGGCTGTGGTGCTTGACTGGTTGCCTTGTCTTCTTCAGGTGGATGGAGAGGTCCTTCCTCAAGTGGAGGAGTGGATGGTTGGTATCTCAGGTCTTGTTCACGAGTGCATCAGACTTGTGGGGAGGAGGGAGCACCGTCTAGTCAAAGCGCTCGATTTACTGTTTAATCTACGTGTCCACCCTATGCTCATTAGCTTTGGGCAAAATCGTGGATACAAGCAGCCAAAAAGAGTTTCCTCCACAGAGTTTTCTGGGCGCTTCCATAGGGTGAGGAGCTCAGTCATACTAGAGGAGCTTGGAGTACTGCTGGGGCCCTGTATGGCTGGGGCCCTGTCATGAAGCCACCTGTGCCATTCCCTTAGTGATAACACAAAGAATACATTACAGAAAAACATCTGGAGTTAATCAGTCTAATCTGGAAAATCTAATTCTTGTTCCGTGTAAGAATCAGCCGACCACAACTGCTGATACTGAAACTTTGAAACTTGCTACGCTTAATGTCAGATCTCTTTGTAACAAGTCTTTTTTAATCAATAATTTTATTTGTTCTCATAATCTTGATCTTATGTTCATGGCTGAAACTTGGCTTGACCAAAATTCAGGAAATGCAGTTTTAATAGAAGCATCACCACCAAATTTCAAGTTTGAATCTGAAATACGGGAAAACAAAAAAGGAGGAGGCTTAGCTGCCATTTTTAGAGACCACTTTGTCTCCCATAGAATGTCTCTTGGGAAGTTTTCGTCATTTGAATATGTGTCTTTTAAAATACAACAAAAACAATCTCCTCCAATACTCTTCATTGTCCTATACAAGCCACTGTAGTCATGTCACAGTTTTATTGATAATTTTACCGAGTTGCTTTCAGTTGTATGCACAGATTTTGATAGTTTGGTTATTACAGGTGATTTTAATATTCATGTGGATAATGTTGATGACAGAAATGCAAATGAGCTGAGTTCTGTACTTGAATCCTTTGATCTCACTCAGCATGTGAGTGGCCCCACCCACAGCAGAGGGCACACTCTAGACCTGTTAGTTAGAAAGGGGGTGAATATTTCAAATGTAAACGTGGTCGATGTTGCTCTTTCGGATCATTTCTGTGTGTTTCACAAACAAACCACCAGTGGACTCTGCAACTGTTTGAAGAAGGCGCATAAATGAAAATACGAGTGAACTATTTATGGGAATGATAAACTTTGGGAATGCATCGTATTCTACTGTAGATGAACTGTTTAACTCTGTCACCTCTAGTGTTTTGAATGTTCTGGATACCGTTGCCCCTGTGAAGGTTAAAATAGTGAAAAATAAGCAGAAGGCGCCGTGGGCTAAAGCAGACTCGGTCAGGGCACAAAAGAGAAAGTGCCGGAGGGCCGAGCGGAAGTGGCGCAAGTCCAACCTCCAGGTTGATTACGAGATCTTCAAAGATAAGTTGTGCGAGTTTAACCAGGTGCTACGTAGTACGAGAGAAAGGTATTTTTCTGAAATGATTGAAGGCTGCAGCAACAATCTGCGTGTTCTGTTTTCAACAGTTAATAGATTAACAAACCCCCCTGTTCAAATGCCATTAGAGCTAACTTCCAAACGTAAATGCAATGAATTTGCTAATTTTTTCAATGACAAGGTTCAAGGCATCAAAAACGCCATTGTCTCCAATCCACAGATAACCATCCAACAACCAGAAAGGCTCTCTGAGCTAACTCACTTTGCACCTGTAAATGATAAAACTGTCCAAGAGATAATCTCCAGTTTGAGCTCCTCCACATGCAGCTTGGATGTACTACCCACTAGATTTCTGAAGTCTGTTCTAAGCAGTCTGTTACCTTCACTCACACAGATAGTAAACATGTCCCTTCATTCTGGAATATTCCCAAAGGCCCTGAAAACTGCAGTCATCAGGCCCCTGCTAAAAAAGAGCAGTCTCGATGCTACGGTACTTAACAACTATCGTCCCATCTCAAATCTGCCATTTATGGGGAAAGTCCTTGAGAAAGTTGTCTACCTACAGCTTACTAGATTTCTTATAATCAACAACTCATTTGATATGTTTCAGTCCGGCTTTAGACCCCACCACAGCACTGAGACTGCTCTCGTCAAGGTTACAAACGATATCCGGCTGAACACTGACGCAGGCAAAGTCTCAATCTTAATCTTGTTAGATCTAAGTGCTGCCTTTGACACTGTCGACCATGAGATCCTCTTACAGAGACTAGAGGACTGGGTTGGCGTCGCTGGCACCGCCCGAAGTTGGTTTAGGTCTTACCTTGAGGACAGGAAGTACTTTGTGGAGATTGGAAACTGTGTCTCAGATCATATGGCCCTGACCTGTGGAGTACCACAGCGGTCGATCCTGGGACCTCTTCTGTTCAATCTCTACATGCTGCCGTTAGGTCAGTTAATACGCAGAAACGAAGTTTCCTATCATAACTATGCAGACGACACTCAGATCTATGTCTCACTGACTGCAGGAGAACATGGACCAGTGGACTCACTCCTTCACTGTATCCAACAGATCAGTGAGTGGATGCAAAACAACTTCCTTCAGCTAAACGCAGACAAAAATGAAATTATTGTCTTTGGTCCCCAGAAACAAAGAGAGAGCGTCATCTGTCACCTACAGTCTCTCTCCCTAAAACCTTCAAACAAGGTCAGAAATCTAGGGGTAATACTGGACTCAGACTTAAATTTTAATAGCCACATCAAATCAGTAACATCAGCAGCTTTTTACCATCTAAAAAACATTGCCAGGATCAAAAACATAGTGTCTAAAGCAGACTTGGAGATTCTTATCCATGCATTTGTCTCCAGTAGGTTAGACTACTGCAATGGCCTGCTCACAGGTCTGTCCAAACAGGCTGTAAAACAGCTGCAGTACATTCAAAATGCAGCAGCTCGAGTCCTGACTAGAACCAGGAAGTACGACCACATTAGTCCGGTCCTCAGGTCTCTGCACTGGCTTCCTGTGGCTCAGAGAATAGACTTTAAAACAGCTCTGCTTGTGTACAAATCTCTCCATGGCCTCGCACCAAACTATATTAGTGACATGTTAGTCCCATATGAACCAGCCCGGACTCTGAGGAGCACAGGGACTGGACTCCTGTTAGTGCCCAGAGTCAGAACTAAACATGGGGAGGCTGCTTTTCAGATTCATGCTGCTAAAATCTGGAACAGTCTTCCTGAAGATGTGAGACAGGCCTCCTCTCTGACAATGTTTAAAACCAGGTTAAAGACAGTTCTGTTTAGCTGTGCATACAACTGAGGAATTTTATATTTTTATCTTTCTTTTTAATGTTCTGTGATTATTTATGATTTTAATGCTTTCTTGTTTTGTTCAGCACTTTGAATTGCCTTGTGTATGAATTGTGCTATATAAATAAACTTGCCTTGCCTTGCCTTGCCTTGCCTTGCCTTACTGCCGCTGCTTCTCCAGGTCAAGAGGAGCCAGCTGAGGTGGTGTGGGCCTCCTGGAAGCCTCCCTGGGAAAAGACCCCTTGGAAAGATCCAGGGAACGATGAAAGAGCCATGTCTCTCAGCTGGCCTGGGAACACCTTGGGATTCGCCTACTTCAGCGACATGAAAATGGATGGATGTATGATTTCCTAAAGTATTATGAGGGTTGTGTGACCGTCAATGGCACCATTAACACTATTTTCCAGTGAGAAGTAACATATGGATAAAATGGCCATAAGCATAAATTATATACAAGAAAAAAATAAAATCAAAATAATATAATACTGATCACACTAATGCTATATTGTATTTGTTGTTGTTTTCTATTTCAGATGTTTTTTTCTCTTGAATACATGTTTCACATCTCACAGTCACATGTTGAAATGTAAAAGCACAACACAAGTTTACCTCATGGGTGTAGGTGCCCCTGGTCCTCTTACCAGATCTATGATAGTGACGTCATGGAGACGTTTGCTTCTGAACTGAGCTAAGTCCTTCTTAACAATAAATATGAGCGAGGATTTCACACTGACACAATTAGACTAATCCTGAGAACCAAGACTAGACCAGCACATTATAGAGCCAATCATGAAAATGTGAGGCTAAAGTCAGAATACAATATTCACTGTTTTTATTAATTGTCACGTAAAAACAAATATGATACACAATTTACTTTGATCCGTTAAATGATTGCAATAAAACATTTATCTACGCAGAAATGAATGTGTTTACCGTTTTTAAACAGAGCTTTTGCGCTATTTATTCGACAGTACAAGTAAATCTTCAGAACATCACATGTAAAACATGTTCGGTCAAAAAATATTTTTATTCTGACATGGGACAGGAAGACAAAATCTCATCTAGATTAAGAACGAGGCTCTAGCTTGAGTTTGATTTGTCTCTTTGGTGCCACCAGACCCTGAATGTCCAACTCCAAGGGGATCTGCGAGAAAAAGCAAACACTTTAGGACTCTATGAAAAAGTTGTTTTACATTGAACAATAAAGAAAGGCCTTTGCCATTTCAGGGCAGAGTTTGTTTTTCTCGTCCGTTGGACTCACAGACAACAAGGGAATTACATCATATCAATGCATGACCACAGCATATCTGCTAGTTAATCCTATAACAAGTATCTATAGTATACAGGTGAAACTGGTCAATTATATAATTCAAAAGTTCATACATTTAAACAATATAGACTCATACAGTGACATATGCTTAGCCTTTGTTAGGATTGTGATGATTATTGGCTTGTCCATAAAATTCTAATATTTAAGTTCTTCAAAACCACACAAACCACAGATCAAGTCAGTGATCAACAGGGTTATCTTTTCTCTTGAGCAAAAATACTTGTGCAACTCATCATTACAGCATAAGAAATGTTTGTTCCCGAAAAATATTTGCGTATTATCTCTTATATTCATCATCTATCTATAATAATGTATAATAATTTATTATATGTTTATAATAGGGTGTAAATGTTGTGCTTGATCCAACCAAACAACATAAAACCTGTGAAAATGAACCAATCCTTTGTCACAACAGTTTAGGAACATGTTTACCTCAGTCTCTTTACAAACAGAGAAGCTGTATTTCTGTAGAATCTCTGCAATGGCCAGCTTCATCATCACAAGAGCAAACCGCATCCCAATGCAGTTCCTGGGTCCGGCCCCGAACGGCATGTAAATGTATGGGTCAATATGATCCTTATTTTCTTTGCTGAACCTAGAATTCCACACAAAATGAACATGTGTAAGTAGGTAAGAAATCTTTATTTATTTAGCACTTTCACAGACCAGAGTCACTGGTCGCTGTACAATTGTTGTGGTACAATTGGTCCCGTTGCACATTGTAATATATTAATATACTTTTAATTATGGAGTATTCATTTGTGGATTATCATATACATATTGAAACACACAAAAACTATGCAAGGAAGTTTGTATTTGCTTCTCTCTTGTGAAATTAAGTACATAACAACAGAACAACAATTGCATAGGACAGTCTCACCTCTCTGGCTGGAATGCGTCCGGTTCGGGCCACAGGTCTGGGTCACGGTGCATGGGCCAGGTGGGCACCATCACCACCATGTCTTTGGGGATGACCAGGCCGTTGATCTCCAACGATGCCTTGGCCACCCGCTCTAGCCGGGGAGCAATGGGGTACAGCCGCAGGGACTCGTTCACAACGCTGTCCAAGTACTCCATCTGCATCAGCTCCTGGTACTGCACTGGAGCCTACCAAATACCAAAAATAGCATGTTCCTATTATAATCAATAGTTGTAGTACCAAACTATAAAACCAAAAAATTTAATAATATCCTCTGTTTCCGTAATAAATTCTTCTGTCTAGAATAGACAGGATCAGGAGTTATCTGGCTTGTCTGGTTAGTTCAGTGTCTACTACACACCTTGTTGGGAAAGGTAGAGTCAATCTCAGCCTGCAGCTTCTTCATCACATCAGGGTTGAGGGCAAGGTTGTAAGCCAAGAAACACAAGCTGCTGCTGGTGGTCTCATATCCAGCAAACAGGAAGATCATGGCCTGGGAGAGGATCTCATGGTCACTCAGACCTGAAAAAACATAGTTTTTAAAGTTACCATCAACTCCTATCTACACAGATTCAGCCCAATCCGTCCAGTAGTTCTTGCACAAAGACAACACAGCAGCATTCTGCTTTGGGAGCTACAAGCCCCAACCTGAGCATCATGCCTGCTGAAACCTTGTGTGCACTCTTAAAGGGGCATTATGCAACTTTGTATGTGTTTTGACTGTTCCACCTTGTAGTGACAGTGGCTGCACATCCCATCACAGTGTTCAACTTCTCTTAACTTCACTAGAAAACCTACACAACAATTGATCCAGGAGCACTATACACACAACCATGGTCAAAACGCAAAAATGAATAATTTATATTAAAGGACCTTGAACTCCGCAATGGTGAAGTCCAATTAAATCAACCTTATTCCTTGGTCCTGTTTCCGCTCTCCATAGTGTTTCACAGAATAAGCTAAGAAAGGTACCATGTGCTCGGTCGGTTTTATTACAAACACCAAGAAAATGAGAATTTGACTTAATTATACTCATTATTACTGTTAAAGTATATTTGCATAATTGCGTTCTCCACAAAGAACTTTTTCATAAATAATACAATATCTCATTGTCCCAACAGAAATACTCACTTATAAAAGAAACATGTTATGAACAAATCAGACCACAACACATTGTCTTAGAAAACATGTTATCTGATGCATAACATGGCACGGTGGCTGAGTGGATAGCACTCTCGCCTCTCAGCAAGAAGGTTCTGGGTTAGAATCCCGGTCGGAACAGGGCCTTTCTGAGTGGAGTTAGCATGTTCTTCCCGTGTCTGCGTAGGTTTCCCCCGGGTACTCTGGATTCCCCTACCACTAAAAACATGTGCAACAGTTCAGGATGAATGAATGAGCGTGTGTTTGTGAGTGCGAATGTGGGAGTGTTCAGTTGTTGCCAGTCATAGTTTGTCCATCACAAACACCATGTTCGAGCACAAGGGTGTCCACCAGTGCACGTGCCACCAGGACACCCTAGGACGGAGGTCGATGATCGACTTTGTTGTCGTATCATCTGACCTTCGACCGCGTGCCTCGGACACTCGGGTAAAGAGAGGGGTAGAGGGGCGATCACCACCTGATCGTTGGATCTGCTGGCAGGGGATGAAGCCTGTCAGACCTGGCAGACCCAAGCGTGCAGTGAGGGTCTGCTGAGAACATCTCGCTGAGCCCCAGTCTACGGGACTTTCAACTGACAAAGAGTTCAACTCAAAGAATTCGGCCTTGAAGAGATTCTGGCAAACCGTCCGGCGCCTCAGGAGGGGAAAGCAGTTCTTTGCCAACACCGTGTGGGTGGAGGGCTGCTGAACTCGACTGGGGATATTGTTTGGAGGTGGAAGGAATACTTTGAGGTTCATCCCGGAGGCAGAGGCTGAGGATGTTGGGGCGGATACCTCCATCTCCATGGCTGAGGTCACCAAGGTGGTTGGCAGCCTCCTTGGTGGCAAGGTTCCGCATGTGGATGAGATCCGTCCTGACTATCTAAAGTCTCTGGATGTTGTAGGACTGTCTTGGCTGACACGTCTCTGCAACATCGTGTGGTGATCGGGGGCGGTGGAGTGGCAGTGGAGTGGCAGACTGGGGAAGCCTCTCTGCCTCCCACGACCCGGCAACGGATGAAGCGGAAGAAAATGAATGGATGGATGGTTTCAGTTCACCTTTTTCATGTTCTGGATCATTTGGTACGTAGTGTTTCTGAGAGTCTATCATCAGCTGAAGGAAATCCACTCGGCTCTTAACAGGAAGCAAATAAAAAACACTTTACATTATTATGGTGACAAAATAGAGATGGCTTAAAGGTCTCATATTACCACATATATAGTGTGATAAAAACAAGAGTGATACACCATACAATACTCAAAACTTGTGAGATTATAGCCATTTCTTGCAAAGAGGTGATGTCACCTAAATTGAAACGAGTGGATGTGTGCTTCTCTGCCTATGAGCCCTCCTCCCCCCACCCACACGGTAGCTCTATGGGGTAGATGCGAGGCCATACGCTGGACTCGGAAGAGGCTGTGTGCGCTGATTCTGCTGTTTTGATCTCTCACCTCTCAAAATCACCACCTGGAAGCGACTTTCTGCAGCTCGTGCCGGTCATCAATGTCGTGGGTGTCATAGATGTGGACCCAAGCGTTTTGCTTGCTCTCAAGAACGAAAGAAAGATCGCTCTCTAACTATAGCTTGAGGGAATCAATGAAAAAAATACTTTGGGCATGTTTATGAAGGCCAAATAGCTCTGTATTGATGTTTAAAGTAGAGAAAAGTCAAGAAGCGTAATATGGGACCTTTAAGGAACATTTAGGTAAGACACTGCAGAGGAACATAACGAAGTCTGTTCAAACCTTCTGCTTGCTGGCCTCCCGGTTCAATTTGATCTTTTGTAGAGAGGCGTAGAAGAAGTCTGTGACCGAAACAGGGAAAAAGGAGAATTCCATCTTCTCAAAAACAGGCCCAAGGAATGGGAAAAAGGCTGGAACAACAATACAGAAGTCAGCACTTTGGTACATATTTCATAGCATACAGTTGAAACTAGTGCAACTGTATAAATTGAAAATTAAGTGAATTGAAATGCTAAACTTTGCCTCAATCGTATCTATTCTTCCCAATGGCGTATGTGAAGTGGAAAAGCGAAAAAAGACTAATGCCATTCACTTATCGGTGCCGAACGATTTAGCAATAGGGAAGATATCTTCCCATTTGCCACTATTTGTTGGATCTGTAAACAAACAAAGCTTTTGTCTGTCGATTGGTGCAGCATTGTCTTGCCCTCCCTGTTCTGAGATGGGTCCCCAAAAATGTACTTTAAACTGACCGGATATTTTTGGTCAGTTTTCCATGCTGTTGTGAAGTTTGGAAGGAAGTGCACACATGTATTCCCAGACTACTAGTAGACATCTTTATGAGAAAATAATTACACCATAGATTAATGTATGTGACCTGTCCTGCTCCTCCCAGAGGCTACACCACTCCTGCAGTTTGCAGGGGGTCAAGAGCAAACTAAAAGAGAACATGGGAGTGGATGACGCCATCCTCTACATGCTCCATCGATCCGTGTTCTTCCTGGATGGCCCTGGAGGCTATGAGGCTGATGTTCTTCAACTTCTCCAGTGCATTTAACACCATCCAACCTCTCTTACTGAGGGAGAAACTGGAGGAGATCGGTGTTGATCCCATTTTTAATAACTGGATTTACAAATACCTCACTGTGAGGTCACAGTATGTCAGGTTAGGGAAGAGTGTGTCTGGGACTGTTGTAAGCAATACGGGAGCACTACAGGGTACCGTTTTGGCTCCCCGACTCTTCACAATTTACACTGCAGACTTTTCACACAACTCTGCTACATGCCATGTACAAAAATACTCGGACGATACCGCTGTTGTGGCATGTGTAAAGGGGGGGATGAAGCAGAGTACAGGGAATTGGTGGCTGCCTTCTCACACTAGAGTGAGAGAAATGGTCTGATTCTCAATGCGTCCAAGACCAAGGAGGTGATCATTGACTTTCACAAGAACAGGACATCAAATACATTGGAGTCCACCTTGACCACAGACTGGGCTGGTCAGCTCAGGCCAATGCTGTCTAGAAGAAAGGTCAGAGCAGACTTTTCTTCCTTAGAAGACTGAGCTCCTTCGATGTGAGTAGTCAGATTTAGCACATATTTTACCAGTCTGTGGTAGCTAGTGCCCTGTTAGGGAGAAATGTGGACTCTGTGGGAGCTGTGCTGGAGAGGGCATCCTGGGTAATTCCAGACACCCTCTGCATGACACTATATTGTTACTCTAATTCCTTCTGGAATTCCACAACAAATAAACAGCTCAACTGTGCAAACGTTTCTGTCTGAATTACCACACTAAGACGAGAGATCTGACCTTTTGTGGCCATACCTGCACATGAAAGCCAGATCCTGTCAGACTTCTGAGGCTAAGCAGGGCATGGTCTGGTTAGTATTGTGATGGGAGACCTCTGGGAACACCAGGTGCCACAGTGGGGCGGCTGTGACTGTAAAGTGTCCTTAAGCCAGAATCTTTACCCACATTGCCTAGAATGAGTCTGGTGTGTGGTGGTCGGAGGGGCCTATGGCACATACTAGTTGCCTTGCTTCTGTGTGTATTCCCCAGTGGCAACAATAGTAGTTTATCATCACCGTGTATGGAGTGAAAGAATAATGCCATGAGAAGCATCTTTGATTGTTCAGAAATGCACTGTATAAAATCAATGCATTATTATTATTATGATTATTTTGACTGTCATTATAGTTACCGAGAAAATATTTTAATATGTGAAAATATGGGCTCTAAAGCATGTTGTGGTGTCACATTAACGCAACCTCTTCAAACTTGTCAATTTTGTGTACCGACAGCCAGGAAGAGCGGGCTGAACAGGTCAAACTTGAGCATCTTCTTGATGTTGGTGACAAAAGGGTCCGAGGGATTGTTGAGTGAATCCATTTCGACACTGAAGGCAGTGCTGGTCACCACGTCCATGGCATATGGGCCAAAGTACCTGCCGTACACACACATACAAAAATCAGACCAACATAAAGGCCCATGTGACAGCAGCTTCAGCGTTAGCTTTTTCAGGCAGAAAAGAAAAAAAAGAGGACCTCCCTCACTTAACCAATCGGCTTTTAGCTCAAAATGTCCCATAGTCATAGTACCTCAAAATAAACACAAAGGTTTTATGAGGGGATAATGTATAGTACGCAGGTCATTATCGGGAAATAAGTACTGACAGGGCGGAGCGGACCCCTTCACGCAGCGGTCGGCTTCCACCCTGAAGGTACTTATTTTCCGATAATAACCTGCGTGCTATACATTATCCCGCTTATTATACGGCGAACAGAACACACACAAAATAAACATCAGAAAGGTTTATTTAATGACTGCAAATAAAGTAGTCCCCAAAGGTTTTCCCGTGGCAGGCGAGTAACAGTTAGACTAGCTAACTTACTTCAAAACTAGAACTTTCTCGGACTACATGAAAACTGAACAAAGAATTCTGAACATCAGTGGTGAGTGACCCATTTATATCCATAATTCGATCCTCTGCAAATTCATCCTAAAATGTTTACTGTTGATGGTTACTTCCGGGTTTACAGCTTTTTGTTGTATTAAAACAGTATTTTGCCATTAAAACGTGAACAGATAATTCTGAAAAACTTCCATGCCCATGTATTAATAATGTACTGTATATGTATAATGTATTCTCTGATTAACATTTAAATGTGTTGATTGATTGGTATTCGTGTCTATTGAGCGTGGCTAGCTCCAATAGCTTCTCTGGCAGAGACATAGTGACGAAGTGGCCGGACTACTTGAGGAGTAATCTACACACCTGAATTACAAGCACATATTATTGTTTTGAGAGGTCGGTTATCAAGAAATAATGACCGGTAGAACATTTTGAAAATATATTCAAATCAGTGGCATGTTCTACAGCTGCTGTGAGGAGCCGTGTAATAAACATTAATGTAGTATGATGTGGTCTGATTTGTTCAGACCTTTACAAAACAAACAGTATTATTAATGACTATTAATGATTAACAGTATCTATTAATTCATATTTCTCTTTTACAATTTTATTTTATTTTTGCACATGCATATTGCCCAAAAAATCCTGTATGATGTGCCGTATAGCTACAGTGCCTTGCGAAAGTATTCAGCCCCTTTGAACCTTTCAACATTTTGCCACATTTCAGGCTTCAAACATAAAGATATAAAAACAATTTTTTTTGTCAAGAATCAACAACAAGTGGGACACAATTGTGAAGTGGAACGAAATGTATTGGATTATTTAAACTTTTTTAACAAATAAAAAACTGAAAAGTGGGGCAAAATCACATCGGCCCTCGAGTCAGGAGCTTCAAGCACCCTGTTCACACTGGACCCAGCGTCAAACACCGCGTGTCAAAAGTGTTTTGAAGCTTTTGGTCTGAACGCGTCTTAACATTCTACATCACATGTGTCAAGGTCAAGGCCCGCGGGCCGGATTTGAATTATCCATGGCCCCCGTGATGATATTTGATCGTTGCCTGCCATTGATGCATTAATACAATTGCAATACAATATTCCCAGATGTCTATTGTATCTAATGTGTATGGGGATAAGCTTGAGAGCATATTTTATCGAGCCAGCAGGTGGAACCACCGGTCTCTGGATAGTTTGAAAACAGCTAGACGCACTTGTTGTGCCTCTTTTTTTGTCAGCTTTTTGGTAATTTCAGTAAAACTTCCTCTACACGACTGAGGATTACAGGGGAACGAAACAAGCTAGAAACAAAAAAATGTTTGGTGATGAAAGTAGACAGTCCATTCTTTCAGAATCTGATAGTCATAGTACACTATATTCTGTGGGTCTTGAAAAACCTATAAAAATCATCAGAAACTGCTGGCAATATGGGAGTACCTGTTCTGAAATAGGCTGGCAGGCAATTAGTTAATAAACATTGAACCAGTCTGGCCCTCAGCTCGCAGCCAATTTGTTTTTTGGCCCTCTAATGTATTTGACTTTGACATGCCTGTTCTACATCTTTTATGGACATTTATCAACATTCATGGACATTGGTCTCTCCCTACAGACCAATACCTATGTGTTTTATCTTTGTCTTTACTGTTGATTCTCTGATCTGTGTTGACGATTTCAATGGTTTTGGTAAGTCCTCTGAGATAATTTCTGTTAGGGCTATACAAGAATTAACTGAATATACAATTCTTATGAAGGTGTCACAAAAGAGCTAATAAGAGAGATAATACATCCATATTTTCTTACTCTTTCAACTCAATCGGCTCATCTTTGTCAGCCTTCTTCTTCATATTTTTGACCAGGGTTTCAGAGTGGTTCTTCATGATATCAAACATCTGCAACAAATGTAGGGAAAAGTAGTTAAGGACCATAGACTGTATAGAGATGGACAACGGCAACCTGGCTCAATGAAGCCCAATGAAGCCCCGGTGTAACATCGGTTTGCCCTTGGCGGCACTTCGGCTCGAGATGCACTGCCTCAGCTGTCTATGATGTAATGCAAACCTGCGCATGCGCTTCTCATGGCAGCCAAAGCAAACCAAGATGGCGGACACAAAGTCTGTGAATTGCTTTAAAAGTTCAAATATGATCGAATAAAGACACAAATGTCACTTTTGATGCAATTTGACGCGAAATGTTGATGATTCCATGTTGTTATATGTGGGTTTTAAGAGTTAAAGTTTTGTGTAAAGTTTGTTTTAAGTATACCTGCTCCAGTCGAACCACACCAATACGGTTTTGATAGTGGTACCTTTCTTGTTGAGTTAAAACCGTCACTGTCACTAATTTTGCTGACGTAGGCCGATAACACGTCCTGTGGCTAACTCGACAGCTGTTAGCATGCAACCGGTCGGGTTGATAGTGGAAACAATAAACAAAATCTAAGTTGTGAGAATGGATCTTTTAGCTGTCGAGATAGCCACACGACGCTTCATCGACCTACGTCAGTAAAATGACGTATGTGGCAGTTCAACTCTCCGAGAGGACTCCAAACAGTAGCAGTGTGGTTTCACAGGAGCAGTTGACTGCTCAGACTTTACACAAAACTTTGACTCTGACAAAACTGGCGGTAACTTTTCAGTTATTGTACTGGATATTTTGTTTGCAGTGCGTTGCTTTTTTACCATTTCATCTGTGATTGTTGTACAGCTTAGGAGAAGTTGTGCTAATGCTAATGATTGCATATCAGATCGCTACTAAAACTAGATGGCTACGCTGGAGGAGAGTGTGGGGGAGGGTAGGAGGGTTTCTCAAAATGAGAAGCCTATGAGCAAGCTGGGGGGCGGTGCTAAACATTCAAACTGAAAAAAAACTTGCAGAAACGGGTATAGCTCATTTAAGTACATACTTTTATCTGTACTTTTTTTTTTTAAGCCACCCCGTGTAATTTTTACAGTTGCTCCATATGAAAAATCATGTTAACTGATGTGACGGAGCACCAGTGACGGCTATGTCATAGACCGTGTTCTGCTCTCTCTGCCTGCGCTGAGGAGAGGTTTGCGTCTGCGCCACGTGTGTGTAGCGCAACATACCGACAGGTCACAAGCACAGCCTCGCATCTACAGACTCTTCCCATATAATCATGTCTCCCATACACACAATTCTATTTTGTTTGCCTTAATACACCGAGTGGGGAGACATGTTCACACTGGGGAACAAGGTGGGGACAATGTGTAGAAGTCCTTAAAAGGAGTTGTTCTCACTCCTGGGGGGGGGGTTCTGTGAGAGAGTGTTGGAGTGAGCTGCAGTGAGCTGGAGTATTAAACTGTGCTGGCTGTAAGTCCTGTTTTTGTGTGTCTGTTTTTTTGTGCACTGTACATATTTTCACTGTTCACTGGTGTGTGTCATTAAAACCACCATACGTTTTCCAACTGAGCAATCATTTATTCCCATAATTTTTTTAACAAACCCTCACTCTAATAACAAATGGGACCTTTTTGAGAACATTTACCTCCTCCGTGATTTTTTTATTGTTTTCATAGGCTTAGAATTTAACTTATAAATGTCCACGAGAGAGGAGTCCTCTCTGTGTCAATGCGCCATGTTGAAATGCAGTAATGGATAAGGGAAAAAAAGGATGCGAGAATTGGGTTTTTGTTTCACATGAACTACTGATATCGTTGCTGTCACTGTGCCTTCACAAGTTTGAAGAAGGAACCATTGAGGACCACAGTTATGTAAAAGAACAACCCAAACAACAATTTTTCGAAAAATAATTATCTATCAGTCCAGCGTCATAGCAGCAAAGTGTCAACATCGCAAACCACACACTCCGAAAGACAGCGTTAACACAACAGGAGGCACATTGTGTAGTTTGTACACAACAGACTCACACAAGAACAATACGTAACTTTTTCACACTGACAATAATGAGAACGAGACAGAATCTGCAGCAGTCCCAGGATGTTCTGACCCGATCCGAGCGCAGTCCATCTACTGTCACAAGTTTCAACTAAACTTATTCAGGGAAAAAGCCTCAAATAAAACACACAGAATCCCCACAAAACAATCGGCAGTATACTTTATCAGCAGCATGAGTGAATGTTCTGTTTTCTTACCGTGATGCACATAGGGCGCTGTGGCTAACGCTAATGCTAACATGAGCTTCTACGTCATGGTGCTACGTCCCTTAGCGGACTTCGCTAAGGGACGTGACCCCAGGTCACACGCCAGAGAGATCAAAATAATTTGCTCCAATCACTAGCGACCCTCCTCTATAAAGGCCCCTGCACAAGGCCGCACCCCCTCTTGAACTCTGGCGCCGATTGAGATCTACCATAGTACTTACTTCTTCTGAGATGTCTTCCGTTGTTCCGAGTTCCCGTTCGCCCTCCGGCGTCGGACGTCGTCGCTGCTCGGCGTGTCGGGTCAGGCTCCAGCGCACGGACCAGCATGCCAGCTGCTTCATGTGCCTGGGTCCGGGCCATGCGGCGTTGAGCGCTAGCTGCGCCTCGTGTCTCGCTCTCCCCAGGGAGGGGAGCGAACGCTGGTGCGCGTTCTTCGCCGCTGCAGCGCCCCGTCCGGACTCCTCTCAGGACGAGGAGTCTGAGATTGACTGGGCCCCACTCGACCTTCCGCCCGTGCCCGCGGAATGGGGTGACTGCGGCACGGTGGCTGAGTGGATAGCACTCTCGCCTCTCAGCAAGAAGGTCCTGGGTTCGAATCCCGGTCGGACCAGGGCCTTTCTGAGTGGAGTTTGCATGTTCTCCCCGTGTCTGCGTAGGTTTCCTCCGGGTACTCCGGTTTCCCCTACCACTAAAAATATGTCCAATAGTTCTGGCATGCGCCTCCTGTACTGGCCCCGCTCCCATCTCTGTGTGGAGTGAGAGACAAATGCCCAAAAATTAACAATTGTAAACCGCTTTGAGACTCAAATCTGTAGTGAAAAGGCGGTATATAAATAAAGATTACTACTAATTACTAATAATTACTGCGAGGATGGAGAGGCTTCGGAGATCGGCTCTCTCCTCACTCTGGACCAGGTGGTGTCGAACCCGGAGCCGGACCGCCTCCCGCTGGACCACATGCCTGGGCTCTACTCCTCCGCGGCGGCCATCATGGATGCTCCTCTACCACCGCAGCCGATCCAGAGGGTGGAGGACTTCACCTCTGTGGGCGCTACCACTTGAGGGAGGAGGAGGATACAACCCACGTTGTGCCCGCAGATGGATCCGATCGTCCATTACGCGACACGTGAGTGGCCAAAGCCCCTAGCGGCCAAGAGGCCTGCTCTGGGGTACGGCATGTACTGCAGCGTGCAGGACTGGTCCTGGACCGGCGGGGTCCCGGACATCGAGGATTCAGTCCGCATGGCCCTGCAGCCCTCCGCATCCGTGTGGCCCGGCACCAGACCTCTCCTTCCCTCCGAGCGGGACAGGATTTCTTTGGCGATGCTGGATAGATGTTATGCCAATGCGGCACAGGTCGTCGCATTGGCTAACAACATGGCATTCATCACGGGGGCCCTGGATAGGTCGCTCTCCTCTGGCCAGGCGCTCAGTGGAGACCTCCTATCACAGGCGAGGACCACCTGCATGTCCATGCCCGGACATGCAGGCCTTGGTGGCGAGACTGGAGTCTGCAGCCAACGAGTCGGCTAGGCTAGCCCCGCACCTAGCACCGAGGTGCGAGGCCCACCAACCATCACGGAGCCGGGACAGAGGCAGAGAGCGTTCGCCCAGGAGGCGTCCTGACCCTTATCCGCGCTCTGTTGTCCATCGTCCCCCCTCGACGAGGCCCCCGGGTCCAGACAGACCCACGGGTGGCTCGCGGGAGCAACGCACCCACCACCGACCTCCCTATGGTAGAGGAGGCCGGGGTGGCAAGAATTCATTCAATAAAGGCCGACCGGCATTTCGTCAGTACTCGTTGTCTGAGTCTCATTTGGGGGTACGTAACATGTCTAATGTGAAATATGATTGTGTTACTTCCCGGGCCCATAAGGTTGCTTCGCTAGGTTTGCAGCCCCCAGAGCAGGGTTTGCAGTGCGCTACGCGAGCTACGAGCTCCGGTCCTCTGATCCATACTATGCCCTCCCAGAGAGAGGTCAGGCGGAGGGATCTGGTGAGTAGTGATGTGTGTGCTTCGACAGAACGTGCGTTAGCCTCTCTGAGCTACAAGGCTAGCACGGGGTTTCCCACTCCAGGGGCTCGCCCCCCCCTCCATGAGGCAAGAGCCAGGGGGGGGGCGGGGCAGTCGAGTCACATGGCATGAGCAGGCCCGTACTTATGACGTCGGGCCTGCAGGACACGTGACCGCCCCCGGCGCACACGGTATGACGCAGGGGGCCCCCCTGCCCTTTCGTCCACCCCCCCTCCCTGCTAGGAACACCAGGAGAGGGCGGGGCTGTGACGTCTCGTGTTCCAGCTCCCGTTCCGCCCCTCACAGACTTCTACAGCATCTGGAGGGAGCAGGGATTACTGACGGATCCGTGGCTGGAGAAAACATTGCGCAGGGGTTACGCACTGCAATTCTCCCAAAAGCCACCGCCCTTCCGAGGCGTACGGGCAGCGCGCTCTCAGGTACGGGGATCATTAGAGGCACTACAAGCGGAGGTCTCCTCTCTGCTGAGTTGAGGCGCAGCAGTAGAGGTAGACCCACAGGACGCCACCAGGGGGCTGTACTCCCCTTACTTCTTGGTGCCAAAGAAGTCAGGCGGGGTGCGTCCCATTTTGGATCTGCGCGTTCTGAACGAGTGCATTTCCAAACGGCAGTTTCGGATGCTGTCCACAAAACAGCTCCTCGAGTGTGTCAGGCAGGGAGATTGGATGTCCTCCATAGACCTGACAGACGCTTACTTTCACGTGCCGATAGTTCCGGAACACAGGAGGTTCCTGCGCTTCGCAGTGGGAGAGAGGAGTTACGAGTACTGCCGTCTCCCCTTCGGCTACGCGCTCGCGCCTCGGACCTTCTCAAAGTGCTTGGAGGCGGCACTGGAGCCGCTCAGACGCGCCGGGGTAAGAATATTAACCTATATAGACGATTGGTTAATACTGGCCTCATCCAGGGAAGTGGCCGTGAGTCACACGCACTGGGTCCTGTCCCACATACAGCGCCTGGGCTTTGTGGTGAACAGGGAGAAAAGCAAGCTGCAGCCGGCTCAGCGCATGATCTATCTCGGCCTGCAGCTAGACTCTGTGACGTTCCGTGCTGCATTGTCCGAGGACAGACGGAGGAAGATTACCCGTCTAGCCAGGGAGGTTCTGGCGGGCCCCAGGGTCCCCGCTCGGCGCCTCAGGTCCCTGAGGGGATGATGGCGGCGGCTCATGCTGTGGTGCGGCTAGGCCTTCTCCACATGAGGAATTTTCAGAGGTGGTTCTCGCGCCTCAGGCTTCACCCCTCCCGGGACGGGGGGAGGCTTATCTGGGTTCCCCAAGTGGCAGCGTCGGACATCAGGTTTTGGCTCACTCCGGGTCTATTGCGGGACGGAGTGACTCTGGCCTGCGTCGTGTCTCACGTGGAGGTGTTCACGGACGCGTCACTCGACGGGTTGGGGCGGGGTCCTCGGCCAGAGCTCTGTAGGAGGCTGCTGGTTGGACTCAGCGGCCTCTGGAGATGGAGGCAGTACACAGGGTACTGCTGCACTTTGCTCCTCAGCTGCAGGGGAGACACGTGATGGTTTGCTCAGACAACACCACAGTGGTGTCTTATCTGAACAGGCAGGGGGGGCACCAGGTCCCCCGCTCTCCATCGCATGGCGACGGTGACGCTGCTGTGGGCGGCGCTTCACCTCCTGTCCCTGAGGGCGCACCACGTCCCGGGTGCCCGGAACGTGGGGGCCGACAGGATGTCCAGGGGGGGCCCACTCCAGGACGAGTGGGGCCTGGCCCCACGGGTGGCTGCGGAGGTCTGGCGGAGGTTCGGTCGTCCAGTGGTCCCAGGCGTTGCCCGTTGGAGGGAGTCCTGGGATTCCTACAGGAACTTTTTGACAATTGGAGGGCTGTCGCCACCTTGGCGGTGTTTGCGGCAGCCATTACCTCGGGTCACGACGGTTTCGGGGGGTTCACAGCCCGCTCTCATCCGTTGGTCAAACGTTTTCTGCGGGGGGCGCGCAGGAGGAGGCCCCCGTTTCAGAGAACGCCCCCGGTTTGGGACCTCAGGGTGGTCCTTAGGGGTCTGTCAGGCCCGCCTTTTGAACCGGCGGCGGAGGCGAGTCCCGAGTGTGTTGCTTTTAAGACTGCTCTCTTGCTGGCGTTGGCGTCTGCTAAGAGGGCGGGTGACTTGTGTGCGCTCTCCGTCCATGCGTCTTGCCTGTCCTTTGGAGAGGGCGACGGCCTGGTGGAGTTGTGGCCCAATCCGGCTTTTCTCCCTAAGGTCATCACGTCGGCCTTTAGGTCGAGAGTCATCAGGATTAGGGCTTTCTATCCGCCGCCGCATGCCTCCCCCGAGGAGGAGCGGCGGCACCTTCTGTGTCCTGTCAGAATGCTTAGGCATTACCGGGCCATGACGTCTTCATTCAGGTTGGTTGATCAGCTGTTTGTGTGTCTGGGCCCCAAGAACAGGGGCGCCCCGCTGTCGGCTCAGCGGCTGGCGCACTGGGTCGCCACGGCTGTGCGGCGGGCGTATCAGGCTCAGGGCCTGGCCCCCCCGGTGGGCTTCAGGTCGTATTCCACGCGTGGGGTGGCGGCCTCTACGGCCCTCCTCAAGGGGGCGTCGGTCGAGGACGTGTGCCGTGCGGCTTCTTGGGCGTCGTCCTCTTCTTTCGTCCGGTCTTACCTTTTGGATGTGTCGGACCGGTCGGTGGCCCATTCCGTGCTTAGTGCAGCGGACTGAGTTGTAACCTTTTTGTCCCCTATTAGAGGTTGACCTTGACTTTCCGCCCTGTTCAGGAGCTCTTGGGAGTGGCGTCCTGCAGGTGCAATATTTTTGTGTGCTTTGGTCAGTCAGGTAGTCCACGTCAGGAGCTCTTGGGAGAGGCGTCCTGGGACTACGAGTGACCTTCGGTCTGTGTTACTTGGGGGTATCCTTGGGAGGAGTGGCCCTGTAACACGCAATTGTTTTTTCTGCCCTGAGTCCTCTCACTGTGTGAGGGTCTTGCTCGGGCGGAGCGCCAATCACTCTTTGCTGGCCTGCTGGGAGTACATGTTCCTACGGCCTCCGCGTTGTGTCCCACTAGCGAAGTCCGCTAAGGGACGTAGCACCATGACGTAGAATTAATAGTTACCTATGTAACTTAAGTTCTACGAATAGGTGCGTAGTCCCTTAGCTACGAGCCCATCAGGCCAGCCCGGTTTGGCAGAGTTCAAGAGGGGGTGCGGCCTTGTGCAGGGGCCTTTATAGAGGAGGGTCGCTAGTGATTGGAGCAAATTATTTTGATCTCTCTGGCTTGTGACCTGGGGGTCACTTGATATCCCACTAGCGAAGTCCGCTAAGGGACTACGCACCTATTCGTAGAACTGAAGTCACATTAGGTAACTATTAATTTTAGCCATGTCCTGACTCGGCTCTGTATATGTCCTGTTTCTCTGATCATCGTAGTTTTAAGCTTCTGCAGTCGTTAATCCTCCATGCGTCTCTTCTCTTCACACCGCAATTGTAAAACTATATATTATAATAGATCCATGGTAAAACTCAGTAGAGCCTCTGTGTAGCGGGTGCCGCTTCAGAGGTGCCGGCGCGATTGTCAATTGCCTGAGACGTTTTGAGATATCCGATCATTTATCAAACTAAAGGATTCTTTCCTTGGCAGTCAGATGAATGACTGAGAGTTGAGGAGCACTGTCAAAGACACATATTTTCTATCAAAGGCTTCCGTAGTTCCTGGGACTGCCATATAAGATTTCAACGCTAGAAGGCACTAAAAATCACACAGTGTACCTTTAAAGTGGTTCTCACCCCCGCTCCTCGGAGCTTATGTCACTCACATTTCCTGTTCAAATCTTCCTCTAAATGGGCGTAGCCTGGAGGACTAAAGGGGGCGTGAACGAGACTGGGCCGTTTACATTGCTCTGGGCGGGGGGCTGCTGACGTCAGGTCTTGCTTCAGACGTCAGGTCTTGCTGCCGCGCAAGTGTTGGCGCCAGATTCAAAATTCAAATGTAGTAATACAGGTCGCCAGCAGATGGCGCCTCACAGACAGTTTTAGGCAGGAAGTTTAACTTTCAACTAATTTGCACCAAAGTGACAAAATTATGACCAGGATATGTAGACAACACTATTGGACACTCATTTATACCGTTTATCAGCAAAAAAAAGTGGATTTGAGGGTGAGTTGTCCTTTAACATGGATTCTTTTGCCACCCCTGCACCGGACATATCCAGTGAATGGGGCCTCATCAGACACTTACCTCTTTGAGCCGGCCCGAGGTGAAGGATGGAGACAGGACACTGCGGATTCTCCTCCATTGGTCATCCTCAGCGATGGACACAGCGTCATACAGAGGACCGTTCAGCCGAAAGTTCTGCCCGAGCAAAGACAGGAGGATGCATGTTTTTGCAACTGAAAGGTTGCTCATCCTTTTCAAATTGCCATAATGTTGCAGAGGTCTCCAAACTACTTCACCCTTACAGCTACTTTCTCTGGACTAAAGTAAAAAGATACTTTTTAAATTCAATTCAATGTATTGTTGTATAGCCCTAAATCACAACAGTAGTTATCTCTGAGGACTTTACAAAGTTGACGAATTGCCAACACAGATCAGAGACTCAAAATGATCAAACACAGGAAATGCAATGATTAAAAAAAACACAGAGCCATCCATAAGGGGCGGATGACCTGTGTCCAAAAATGTTGAAGTTCATTAATGTAATTGAATGTCCTGGATCATTACCACTGTCCTTAGACCCTCCTGCATTGGCAAGGAAAATGAAAATGAGAAACCTCCCACACGGACGGATGTGCTATAAATCCAGGACTAAACACTGTCCAGGCGAATTGTGGTCTATTTATAGTTGAGAGCTACAGCTAAAATTGGGCCTAAAAGGTTAAGCCTGGCCCGACCCATACCCGAGCTGTTACTGGGGACTAGTCCTGATACTTGTGACTAGTAGTCCTAATGCCAGCGGTTTTCTGTAAACGTTTTTTGTAAACATGGGGTGAGCGCAGTAAATGTCTGTGTCCAAGTCAATTAGAGAAATAACACTACAGTCTATGATTAAAACATTATCATTGCTGTTAAGTCCCTATCTGGTGCGAATGAATCTGCGTCAGCAACATAGCCCATGTCTTAGCCTGCCGCGTATTGCCGACAGTTTGGACCTTATACGCCGCAATATCTTGTCAACAGAAATGTTTTCATGCACGGATTCATTGTATTTTTATGAAAGCTTTAACGCTTTGAAACACGCTGAAAGTTGGAAATGATAGACGTGAACACGCATTGGAAATGTCAAAGTCATTCACAAACCTGTTCTACGTGCTGGATTAACACACTGCTTCATGAGGTACTGCAAGTGTTTGGTTCGCATTGATTGCTATATTCCCTGGTTAGTCTCAGAGGCGTTTCACAAAAGGTGGAGCGCTATTTTGTTGTTTTTGTAGGGTTGCACGTGCGTTAAGCGGGCACAGCATTTGCTTGGGAGTATCGCTGTAGATCTGATCTTCAGTGTCAGTCTCTCGGTATATCCGAGGTACATAAGACCCCATTGCTAGTACGCGCAGAAAACTGTGGTTGAGTCTAGTTTAGTTCCAGCGGATAGATTAGGGGGAATGAGAAGATCACTTTCAGCACATGTACCTTTGTAAAAGTTGTAGTGTATCGGAAAATTAAAGCCACTGTGTGTAAGCCGCTAAGAGGCCTATAAAGCTTACGGTAAAGGCTTTTGAACAGAAACATCCAGTCTCTAACAATAGAAGGTGGCAATGGATCGTCCCACCCCAGTCATCTTCTGCATAGAGCAATGATAACGACGTTATAGTTACAGTCAAAGTAATTAGTGCGATTATTTGTTACTAAGAAAAAGTAACAGTGTTAGTAACGCTGTTTATTTCAACAGCGTTATTCCCATCACTCCTGCTTATATATTGAAGAGTTTGTACTGCTTTAATTTCCTTTCAATAATAAAGACTATAAACACAGAGTGACCTGAACACTCTAGAACCTTCAGAGCCCCAAAACACTAGCTTTGTATGGATGATTCACTGGGTTAATATTGTTTTTATTTCTGAATGTTACTTTGTATGGACAGGCCTGAGTTACTGTATATACAATATTCAAAGAAAGTATATTCAAAATCACTAATAATTTGGTTCCACCACTACAGAAAAACATATCAGCCTCTGTTAGTTGGACTCTGAATAGTTGACCCGAAACACAATGGAATTGTAATATGGCTGGCTCAGTACATCTCTATCAGAGGTCTATAGGGAAAGAGACAGGATACTTACCCTACGGTTAGTGAATAGGGTGTAGCACTCTTTCACCAGGATAGTCTTAACCATGGCAGGGTCCACCACACACAGTACCGGCTGCCGACCGTCATAAATCCTGCAGGGGAAAAAGTGCTGTCATCGTACTAACATTGCAAACAATGTTTTATTGGTCTTAAGTTGAGAAACGCGGCAATGGATTGTGGGAGATTAAAGTCCTACATTGCAGTGTTGTACGCTGCTAATAAAGAGGCTTTTTATTGTAGGTAATGCAGGAAGTGTTATTTATCCGATGCTGTATTCAAGAGAAAGATGGTTAAATAGCGGACATGCATTGTAGTGTGTAAGTGTGTAGTGCCTTTATCTGACTATATGGTCTCTTATTGCTCAAGATGTCAAGGTTATTCCAGATAGGTGTGTGAATTGAAGGGCCAAAGGTTGAGTTAAGAACCAGAATTCTTTTTATTGCCACGTAACAGGAAGTCACAAACTAGGAAATTGCTTTGGCTCTCGGTGCAAACAAGTTAAAGCAGAATAAAAACAAGAAAGCATGCATATGTAAACATCTAAATACAATAAATCAGTTTACTATTTAAACCTGGTGCACACAATAGACTGTTAAGAGTGCGGTAGAGTGCAGTAAAGTGACAGTAGCAATAAACTGACGGTCATAGGGGCCGAGATCAGTGATGGTTTATGTTCATGGTTTTAAGTGTTCATGCGTCCGACAGCAGAGGGGAAGAAACTGTTCTTATGGCGGTAGGTTCTGGTCCTGATGGACTATAGTGTCTTGCCTGAGGGAGTTAGTGATTTTATGGCATTTGCACCAGAACAATGATCCTAAAAAGGACTTCGATTGGTTGATAAACCTTAATTAACCTTAGTCATAATGTGATAATTCATTATTGGGGCAAACCAGTCTTGAGGGTGGGGTTTGCTCAATTATATTTTAGAGTGGGTTGGAATATATAGTGATGCAGAAGGTTCGGGGAATTCAGTCCACTGTGCCCTCTGGTCTTTTGTAGTGTAGTTTAATCCAGTGGCTCCCATTGATGCCAGGTCTGCTCAATAATGGTCGATTGAGTATTACAGATGTTTGCCAGGTGGTTGTCAAGAGATCTTTGAAGATGTTTCTATGGGGCAGCTCAGTTCACTTCAGCTATTCTATATTCCCTCCATTGAAAAATGTGTTCTCTGCATTTGAGCACCTGGAGGAAACCAACAGACATAATAACTCCACTCGTAAAGGCCTGTTCTACTAGCTGAGATAAAAGATATCCACTCAGCCACAATACTGCCCAAATAGTTTCATGTAACAAGATCTGGGGGTTTTGTATGAAAAGTAGTATGTCATCTGCATGGAGACTTATAATATGGTGGATCTTGGGTTTTTGGATTTCAGAGATTAGATAATTTTGTCATATAGCTGTAGCCGGTGGTTCAATGAATATGGTGAATATACCATTCAGAGCGGGCATCCTTGTCTAGTTCCCCTGTGTACAGTGAATCTTTATGAGGGAAGTCTGTTAGTTGTTACAGTAGCTGTTGGTGATGTGTTTAGACATGTGGCGTCAAAAGTGACGAGTTTCTTTTTGAGAGTTTTTATTTAGGTATCTTTCAAAGGTCACTATGTTACATACAATTTGTGTAGTTCTTTGGGTTGTACAAATAGACTAAAATTCAGGATCATACAAACTTTGAGCCAGTCTCTCAGCAAAATTTCTCTAATCATTTTAATAGAGGTTGGCTACCACCTGAAGCTTTCTTACTAATTGTAACAACAGCAGAAAATCTGTAAATGAAGAAACAATATTAAAATAATCCATTATTCCTGTCCAATAAAAATGCGTTCCCTCATAGTAACACATACGACAAACGTTCACGTAATTAATGAATGACTCTCTGAAAACGAATTTCTACAGCGCGGTCATGAAGTATGATCAGGTGACTTTGTTTCTCTACAATCACACCACCTTCATTTCTTTAAAATTGTGCCACCCTAATTCAAACTACATTTTGAGTATCAAAAATATCAATTTTGATACCAGAGAGATGGTAACTACACGGTGGTTGTAAAACATGTCTTTGTGTCCACATTAGGCTCTGAACAACACATAATAGCGGGTTTTATGTAACCACAGGGCTCCGTATTGAGACTTGTTGTCAGTTTCAGAAGAATGGATTAGAATCTGAAGACCAATACAGATCAATGGAGCTGCTAACTTAAACAACTACACAACACTAACTGTAATTAACGATTACTTTCACATTGTATCAACTATTCTTTTGATTTAGAACACAGATATATTTTCTATCTCTGTTTGATCCAGATAAAGTTTTCATCAGAACATACAAGTTTAACATTCAAAACAAGACATAGATTTGGGACAAAAAGGGGTTACTTGTCAATCATAAGGTTTATGTTTGTATTGATGTAGACAGCAGACATACCCCCACATTTTGCCATATTTCTTGAAGCAGTCCATGTCAAAGTTGAGGAAGCCCTATGGAACAAAAACAGTGGTGGTCAGATGGTTTTCCAGAATGTGCTGTCCTAAATAAGTCTGGTAAAATGTTTTGTTTATTTATTTATTTATTTACTCATTTGAGAGGATAAACCCCTTGAGATGCATCATCTCGTTTTCAAGAGATAGTTGATGTACTCTCGGCTCAATTATTATTACTTATTATTATTATTACTTTATTTTTTTTGCTCCATTAAGATCAAAACAGTCTGAACATATGATTTGTAATTTGATATGATGATTAAAAAAGGAAATTGTATCTGCCATTCAATGGGGATGTACAATAACAATTTATTCTGTCTGCATTGTACTGTTTTGCATATTGTTATGCATCTGTGTCTTTTCTTATCTGACTATGGGTCAAAAACATTTTAAACATATAAATTAGAAAGCTAGAATGGCTATTTGTAATGTAAGTATTTTCCCTGTGCTCTTAAATGCATCTAATGCCTGTGTCTAAGTTGTATCCGTTTATTTACAAGCAAATCAAATGTAAATTGAAGCAGACGAAAGAGCCGGTTTTCAATAGTGTTTGGTAAATGCAATTAAACTTGTTTGGCTAAGTTTAATACTTGGATGAATATGCCTCCTTTAAAACAACAGAGCACAAATCAGGCTGATCTTATCACAACTACATCTACCTTTCTATAGGCCAGCATCGTTCCGAAAAGCGGGACAGGCGGTGGACCTGGGATCCCCATTTTTTTGAAGATTCCATAGGGCCAGTAGAGATATCTGTGGAGCAGAGACATTATTCCGTGACCAGCACAGCAAATGCACATTCCCAGCACCTTGCCTCTATTCCACTCAGCCAAACAAGAAAACCATATTTCTGTGGGCTTGGACTGGAATTGATTGAAGGATGTTAGTTCGCCAACATTTTGCGATTGTTTATCTAAAAAGTACGGTAGGTAAAACACACACACTGTAACTTTATTTAAATCCTTACTATAACGAGTTGATATGAGGTGGGCCTCTGTTTTTATAGATACACACATACTGTACATGTGGGTCCGTGTAAATCTGTAACATCTGTTCTTTTGATTTTCTAAATAAAACCAACATTTAAAAAACGAGGGATGTTTTTGATTTTCAATCTTTGAATGTAATGCAACATTTAAATATAGCTTTGTTTTTTGTTTTCTGTGGATCCAATTTAATCGAAAATGCTGTAAACCAATAATGACCGTCTAAATTACTTTTTGTGATTTTCATTTGAAACTCATCCCCCCCTCTGACTGCACACATTGGTGTAGGGTTGTCTGAGTTTATTTCCATAATAAAAAGGTCCGTGTTTTATCCATATCATACTGTGTTTATCCAAACTGTCTTGTGAAATGTATCTTACTGCTCTCTGCTGTTTATTCTACTGTTTGTCGCCGTAAAGATGGCAACGTGGCGAGAGCTCTGGTGTGTGCCGTCCTCTCTGTCTGGTGCACACTGGAGTAGTCTTGCACAGTTTTTCCAATGTGGTTTTACTGCAAATGGCAAATAAATTAATCTGAATCTGAATCTGAAGTTAAGAGTCCCCCAGAAGTGATTAGCAAGTGTGCCCCCCGCAGGTAAACAGTGGAGTAGCGGTGGAGATGAAATAAATGATGGGTGCGTTGGAAGACTTTGCAGATACAGCGATAGAATGGTTCGAAAACATTCAAACATGTGCAGAAATATCAACCACGTTACACCGACTCGGTTTGTCCAGATCGGTCATCAGCTGAGTCATGTCTCTTCTTTTTGATACAGTGGTTAATCACGAAAGCAAACTTTTTGAAGAGGCGTTATTTCATTGTATAGGGCTCACAGAAAAGTATTCTGAGTAAATGTATTCACATGAATGATCATGTTCCTGCCCAGTATGCTGCCAAGGTTCAGTGCAAAAACGTTTTTTTTTTGTTTTTTTTTTTACATATCAGCCGCCTTAAAACTATTGCTGTTCCATCTCTTTCCCTGGATTAATTTCATTGCAACATCCAAGAGGCATTCTGGCTTCCAGAGGGCTCAGAAACTAAGGCTTGTTGTGTTCTGGCTAATTATTAAGGCCAAAAACACAGAAAAAAACTAAAACAAATCGATATTTCAATCGTGCATTAAATTCAAAGATCAAGAATCAAAAATCAGTGTTCCGAGATTCGACCAACGGACGTAGCCTCCTCTCCAGTACCTTGGAGTAGACCTTACCGGGGAGGCTGAGGAGTGTGATCCCACGATAATTGGAACACACCCTCCGATCCCCCTTCTTGTTGAGGGACCACCACCCCGGTCTGCCACTCCATTGGCACCGCCCCCAATCCACTTTTGAGCCGGGACCCGCCCCCACTGACCTTTTCTTTTCTTGATTCAACTGAACATTCTTTTAAATTGTGTTTCCACATTTTGTTGCTGCTTCACAATGTCCATTTTTGCTTAATAAAAAATAGTGAAAGGAGAGTACCAGCCAATCAGCTCTCAATATGTAAAAGATATTGTGGTCTTGTTCACAAAATGTTAACTAAACAAAAGTCTTTCGGCTGGTAGAAACAAAAGTTAGGTATTTACTCCAGCTTTAAGTAACAACTTTCAAGGCAGTTTTACATTTTATTCCAAGTTTAATTACTTTAATTCTTTTTTTTCAGAGGGTTTACAAACTGGAAAATAACTAACCCAGTTCCGCCAAAACAGTAAACCAGGACAGGACTGGACCTGTCTCGCCCACCTTAGGACTCAGAGTGGGATTGTTGTCAAATCAATGCAGAGGAGATAAACTGTTAAAGTATGCAAGTTTAAAATGGTTAGCTGTGCCTTTCACTTAATAATTTCAGGTTTTAAGTAGTTTAAGTTAATTAAAGCTGGGATACCTAACTTTCAAACAACACAAAATTTGATTTGTATTTGTAATAAAAATAGATCCTTAACATTTTGCTTTCATCACAAGTTTTCGAATGTTTGTCCTCTGTCATAACTTTGGATCAGCTTATTCCCACGGAACAATTTAAAAGTTAATACCGGTTTGAATTACTTTTAAGAAATTACAAAACCTATACAGTACATTAAAACCAGTCATGCCAGCTATATTCCTCAGTCTGAGCAATACACATTATTGGAACTGAGCACTTACATAACAAAGAGGGTAACTAGTGCTGCCAGCAGAGTCCACGTCTCCGGCGAGAAGTATTTGAGGAGGTCCATCAGGCTGTTCTGGTCACACACTGGGCACACACTGGGCCCACACTGGTCACACACTGGTCACACACTGAAGCACACTGGTCACACACTGGTCACACACTGAAGCACACTGAAGCACACACTGGGCACACACTGGGCAGAGATACTGAGAGGTCTGTGTTCTTTAACGACACGGGACCCAATTTTGCGTGAGGAGGAAAGTGTGCGAGAGGTGAGCTAATGGGAGTTTCCTGTTAAAGAGTAACAAACAACAGTAGGCGAAGGGGAGGGGAGTGAAATGTGAGCCAAGAGATTTAAAGTCTGATAATCTGTCCTCTTTTCCATATTAGAGGAAATTTACAATGCATTATATTATTTCTCACGTTTTAGACCTGGTTTAGGCTTTGTCCCATAGAACTAATCCAGGAAAATAGCACATAGTACAAAGCACATGCAGTTTAGCACTGAACTAAAAGCAGTTATAATTGAAGTGAACTGGCAGTGAGGCCAGAGGTCGAGCCAGCCTTCATTTATGTAACAGGATATTGCGTTTCGGTGAGTATTTGCAACCAGTCTAGCCAACTGTGTATATATATATATATATATAATTATATATATATATATATATATATATATATATATATATATATATATTTATATATATATATATATATATATATATATATATATATATATATATATATATATATATATATATATATATATATAATGTGGCATATTGAAAAGATATGGAAATAGATTTAAATGAGCCTACCAAAATGTAATGCCTGGATAAATGAGTGAAATTAATTATCAGCAACGCCATGGAAAGCACCAAAGACACACAGATTCGATAACTTCAGAGAAAATGAAATACCAGACTCCATCCTGTACAAAATGGTGGTTTATTAAGGTGGGGGCAACACCAGGAATACTTCAACCATTGTTCATTTATTCAAAATATATGAATTTCCTTGTAATACATTTAGAGCGACTCAACCGTTAATATAATACATCCATGGACTCAACCCACATGAAGATTTGAAGATTTTCTCTGAAAAGGGCGTTGCCTGGAGGACCATGGGACAAGGGGGGTTTAGAGTTGGGCGTGGTCTGGGCTGTGATTGACAGCTCACTTGTCACACAAAGAAAAACCTGAGTTTTCATTGCTGCTTAAAACAATAGTTTACAGACCAGAAAGTCTCATTCCCCCCTTGTTTACACACTAAGATAATTGTAAAGCTACACACCTGGACCTAATCACACACAATAATCTCAGAATTAATTATGTAATTTAATTTTAATCCACTAGATGTCACCAGTATACTCCAACCTGCAGCTGGGGCGTGTGAGAGATGAATGTGTTCATATCACTGGCGCAGACAGACGCACGTCACGTCACACATACAAACTGACGTCACACAGTATTACAGAGTCAATGGAGAGGCCAGGACCAAATTCAAATGTAGTACCACCGAAAAGGTTTGACACAGACGTTTTTAGGCTCAAAAGTGAGATTTTAGCTAATTTGAACTAAAATGTCAAAAAATGACCTGGATATATAGAAAGCACTACAATTAACATATTTATGCAGTTTATGAGTTTAAAAAAAGTTGATTTGATGTTTAGTCGTTCTTTAAGAGTTAAAACTGCCCACTAGGATGGGACCTGTTTAAGATTTGAGTGGCTGAGGCTACAGTGGGGAGTTGTGGCAAAAGAAAGAGGGGAGTTAGTGACAGGACAGTGAGCTGAACCCCCTGGCACAGCAGACACTACAAAAAAAAAAAAAATGGGGACCTAGACCGTTCGGCGCAAACACCACCACCAGGAGTCACCAGTGCACCCACATGGAACCTCAGCTCCTAAGACAAAAGTAAAGTTTAGTGCAGATACAGACACACTTTCATCCCAATACAATAGACAGTCATGTCAGGTCAATTGTACAGTATATTCATAAACAATGTAGAGCCCAACATAATCTCTGTAGGCAACACAACAGTGAGCGCTTCAATATTAGGCCAGGAGAAGCGTTGTGGCTAGCTATCTTGGGCTGGTTCACAGGGAGTACTGTTAATAAAATAGCCTGTTAGGAACTAATGTGAAAAGACCTGATTATACAACAATACGTGTTTTACCTTGTTACTTTCGATGAACGGGACTAGAAAGTACGTAAAAGTGGGTTCAATAAGCCCACACCACTGCTGAGATATTTAGGATTTAGTTTACTAGTCAAAGCATTTTCAATTGCGTCGTGTGGATGTAGTGCACTGAGCTGCATCTTTGGGCTTGTTTGTTCGGCGTTTGGAAGTGCTGCGCGTTTGTTGAAACAGCTTTGAGGCTCTTCAAACATTCTTTTTGACTAGAATAACGGCTACCTGCTGCCTTAACGCCGTGGATGAGTCCAATAAAAGTGTGTAAAATTACGACTACCCAAACCCAGACCTGTTCCGTGCCCCAGGTGTTTGCCCATTCATGATCTTGTGCACAGTATGAACACACGTGCCATCCACTGCCTATTGACATGTGATTGTGCATGTGCCTACGGCGGAAGTATTGGAAACTAGCATTGCGGGGAGAGCAAAACGGACACAACTCTTAAAAACTGAGACCTCTCTTAAATCGAGAAGTGGCTGCTTCAACCACATGTTCGATTACGTTATTGGTGGAAGTAGGACATCAGGTCAGGGCTCACAAAGAGTGGTATTTGGAGAAGTTAAGGATTGCCTAACTGGATGTTGACCCGTACCTTCTCAGAGAGAGAAGAATCCCGCACACCGTCTTACTTGCAAATAAAAAATATTTATTTAAGGAGCTGCGACGTTTCGGCGTTATGCCTTCATCAAGCAAACCCGTACCTTCTCCCCAGAGTCAATTTTATCGATTAAATGAAATGTCTAATTTTGCCCGAGTTCACCCCACATGATCTTTACCATAATGCATCCCCTTACACTGGAGCAGATTTATATGTACATTTTGCTGGTAGCATTATCACATTAGCAATGCACTTTTCTGTCTACAGCCAAACATGATACATATTGACGGAGAGGAAAATAGTGAAAAACGCAACTGACGTCTAAGATAAGAGATCCTTTATTTGTGGCACAGTGGGGAAATTTCAATGTTGCAGCACACATATAGGACAGTGGTAAAAGACACGTTTGACTTGTGTCATTGTCCTCCAAATTAATAGAAATAAAATAAATACAAACACAGATCGAAGCTCTGCGGCCCGGGTGACATGGCTTTGCTCCACTTAAGGACCTTTTTTTGTTAATCTGTTGTCTGGCATATTAATAATTCGATTCCACAATCTAACCATGTCACATTTTCTTTGGACTGGGCTAGGAACCCAGCCCATATCCCCCTGCGCTGCTAGAACCGGAACAAACTTGTGGACTCCCAAAAAGAAGCGGATTGCTCTGTTTTCTACAGCATCTAAGGCTGAAAACTGTCCGGCCCCAACACCAGCAGCATAGTTTAGAACAGGAGAAACACAGGCCTCATACAACTTAGAGTATGTTCTAAAACCAAGATCTTTACTTTACATTTGTTTATCACAGAACCTAAAGCACGGCTGACAGAGTCAGCAAGAACTTTGACTCCCCAATCAAAACTCATAAACTCATCGAGTGTGAAACCCAGGTATTTATACTCGGGGACAAATTCCAGTACTATGTCACTGAGCTTGAGAACATTTCTGCTTAATGGAATTGACTTTCTCCTGAAATTAACAATCTGAGTTTTAGTTTGATTTATGGAAAGTTTCCATTTATAACACCAGTCTTGTAACACGTTAAACAGAGTCTGCAAGTCCTCTTCTGTTTCAGCCATGAGTGAGACATCATCAGCATAAAGCAAAATGGCTGCTGTGTCAGAGTCCATACGGATACCCATGTTCAATTGTTTTATTTCCAAAGCCAAGTCATTGATAAAAAGTGAGAACAGGTTTGGAGACAGACTGTCCCCTTGTTTTACGCCAGAGGGTATCAGGAACCAGTTAGTCTGGAGCTCATTTAATTGGACACATCCGATACAGTGTGTATACAGTGATTTAAGTGCTTTATAAAATCTCCCATCAACCCTAGCCTGCAGAAGTTTCAAATACAATAGATCTGTTTACCCAATCAAAGGCTTTTTTAAAGTCTGCAAAACATACATGTGGATTTGTTTTCAGCCTATCGGGTTCTGACAATAGTTGAAACCGCAAAAATTTGGTCAATACATGCTGTGTTTTCTAAATCCATTTTGTTCATCCACTAACAATTCAGTATCTTCAATAAAATCAGTCAGTCTAGTATTTAACAGACTAGAATACATTTCATAGACTGTACTTAAACTAATTCCTCGATAGTTAAGTGGCACTCTCGGATCATCTTAATGCTTTGATGAGGGATTTATACCACACTGAGGGAATAAGGCAATACAATCATTCTCAGTCCAGTCCTGGTCCCGTCATTGGTCAATCTCTCTGTCGTCCTCAGTCATGGTTCCGTCCTGTCCCCGCCCTGGTCCTGCCCTGGTCCTGCCCTGGTCCCGCCCTGGTCCTGCCCTGGTCCTGCCCTGGTCTCGCACTGGTCTCGTCCTGGTCTCGTCCAGTGTCCCCGCCCTGGTCTCATCCAGTGTTCTTTTAACCAGGCTCTTCCTGATTTTGATTTTTGATTGATTTTGTCAACTCTGCATTTTGGGTCCACCAGTTCTTGCATCTAACAGTTTCTGCCTGTAATTGTCCCTCAATCCTTGTTTTTACAGTTAAACTTTTTTACAGTTAAACTCTCTTTCTGCATGATTACATTCGTCCCATAGTTTTTGAAGATGACCATTCCAGAAGGGATATATTTAATGGAAATGTGTTTTGTTCAGAGGTTTCCTTTGATAGTAATTCATTTAATCAGTTAACATTTTACAAAACTCATCGTACCATTAATTTAGATCCTGGTCATTTATACAATTTTTTTAAATGTTCTGTTAAATCAAATAACAATTCTTTACAGTTAGTGAATGCAAGAAAGGTTTCAGGGATTATTCTTTGTGTACGTTTGGGAAAACATACATTTTCTTGTGGTATTTGCGCTCCTACTTTGAAAGTTAACAGCAGCAGGGGATGATCAGGTAAATGACATCGATCGCCAATAAGGGAAAGACATGACGTTGCATTTTGAACCATCAGATCAAATGAGTTCTCGTCATACAGTATTTTGGTGGGACAGCTTGCACCATCATCGACTGCCAATTACTTATTTGCTAAACAATTATATAAATTATGGCTCTAGATATTTTAAAATGGAAAAGTAAACATGCGTTATCCAAACTGAATCGGCCAATTAGATTAGAGGCTGTGGAAAAGCCATTTTCAAGTCATATTGAAATTACATTGTTTTAAATAGTTTAAATTCTGCATAATGCTAAAACTTGGTAAAGAAGAGTGAGCTCTGTGATCACACAATACAGAAAGCAGAAACGAGAGACGCTTCCAAAACATTACTTTTATTGTCCACATCCACACGTCCCAATGGGCCAAGTGGTCATTCCAAGAAACATTACACTATTTCTCCTCTATTTACACATCCATGACCATTTCAAAAAATAATTAACAATATTCAATGGTTAGAGGCTTTTCCATGACAAAAGCAAAAACAGAAAGCAGTGTGGAGCGGTTCAGTGTGCAGCACAATGACATCCCAGAAATCAGTTATTTCGATGTGACAGAGTCTTACTAGCTCAATTCTTTGGTTTTTGGTCCATTTTGTGCTCAACGCATCAACTTGCATCCAAATTAGTTTTGAATTGCATTAGGAATATAGCAGATTTCTATTTTCAGATGTCCCTAATATTGGTAGTTTTGTGTTTTTGACTATCTACAATAAATAAGCTTAACCTTGTATACACAGCCATGTTAGTCTTGACCTTTCACAAAACCTTCATTATTTTACCAATCTTATCCAAGTTTGACCATATTTTAAGATTCATTGATTCACTTCCATTAACTGGGCCAAAAACTCTTTCAATGTGTGCAGAAAATATTAATCATATAGTGAGAATGTTTATATATAATGTGATACAAGTGTCATACAAATGTTATTTTTATACCAAACTTTAGGATGAGTTCTAGAATGTCGTCCGTTCTCGAACTTGTAATTCTCACCCAATGTCACTCCACACAAAAAAACCTGTCGTATGCACAGTAAGTAGGTGAAGGCGTAATGTCTTCATGGAAATATCTAAAGAAAAGCCCAAAGCAGACTGGACTGGTTTTCTCAGATCCTGCCTCTCATTGGATTGACATCGATATCAGTATTGATGCGTCCAATCAGAATACAGTTATGAACCCGACAATTTTGAAACCAATCCATAATCCAATTTGTGGATTACGAACCGTTTATGTCTTGTTTCAAACTGAAACAAGATTTTAAAATACCGAACACCAATGAAGCAAAAACTTTAACCTAATAGAGCGGGGAAAAAACAGCTTCCAAAAACAGAATTCAAACAAGCGTAAAGAAGCATAATCAATGTAACTCTGTGGAATTATGCGTAGTGCAAATTCAGCAAATAGAAGGTCCTCAACCAGAAAAAGTCTAAACCGGAACTGAATGTTTATGTACACAGCATAAAATAAGTTAAAGTCAAACAGACTTTGGCTTCAACAAAGGTTCAAACTGCTCAACAATTTCCTTGTTTGACAAAATGGGAAAATCTAAAATAATTATGAAAAAGCCCTGACCATACTTCTTTAAAAAGATCTGAAAAGGCCATCTACAAATCTGATTGGAATTCTGACCCATTCCTCCTGACAGAGGTATAGCAGTTAACTATTGTGAGAAGCTTGTGAAAGGATAACCATTTAACCTCCTCCCTCTTATGTTAAGGATTTTTTTCAAATGTAATTAGTTCCTGTCATCCAAACAACCTTAGAACTTCACAGAGAGATCACAAAAATGTTCTTTTTGACGATAAATCATAGTTTGTCACCACTGTTTTTTGGTGTGAATACTATTGAAGGATAAAATATAACATTGGTGTTTTGGTCCTGGTTTTAAAAGACAATGTACATTTCCTTAACCTATGTGGGGTGTTTCAAAACTAAAACCCAACCTTTTAGATAAAATACAGATTATTAACGGCCACTAGGAATTGAAACAAATCTAGATAGTATAGAGATGTTTCAAATCCAGTTTTGAGCATATGGAGGGTCCATGTTGTGTGTTCCATTTACCTAATGCACTGGGAAATGTATTGTGTTAAGAACAAAGGTAAATACGCTCTGATTTGCACTGAATTGTAATATGTTCATGTCACAATTTATGTCTTTATCAGGGCAGGGAAGATGTATGTCCCAGCAAATCAGAATACCTCTTCTATCGTTCCTTTTCTACACAAAAGAACATTCTTTTTATTGCATTTGATCCAGATCCAACAGATAATTCCTTCTAAAGATCCTTAATAAATTAGAAATAATCAAAAAGATATCCTAAAAGTTTATACACTTCCTAAAAAGTTGTACATTTGCCATACCCATTCCATATTTTGTATAGTTTCAGAGACGGATTGTGTACGTCTTCTAGTCCAGAGAAAGCTATCGGGGATGAACGGGGCTGTTTAATGTGACGTCATTTCTCACTTTGGCATTCAAATCCATGTCAACCTTACTAAACTTCTGCAATTGTTTTTGTTTTAAAACTTAACATTTGAAAGAAAGCCAAAGTTATGGTAGCAGCGGTTGCGTTTCAATAATATATTAACTGTCACTGTTAAAGAAAAACCTAAGCATAGTGACATGTCCTTCTGTTTACAATTAGCTTTTGCCTGAATCTAGAAGTGAGATCTGTGACATCAATAAACAGCCCATAGACATATTGCTTCCAGAACTCTAAATGGGATTTGGAATTATATATTTGCTTCCTCATAACAATTCTTGAAAATACAAACCCACCACCAAAGGTTCAGAAGGTTCATTCTCATAAACGTGTATAAAAAGGTATTGGGTTCCTTCCATGTTTGCTGCAGCCCTGATTAAGCAGTTATGGATTCACACCAACCAAAAACTTTAATAATAGTTGGACCTGAATGAAAACAGCTCTGGAGAAAGTAAAACGCTCTGGCATTATCACGGCACAAATGTGACTTCACGTTGCCCCATTTGAGTAGGGTAGGATAAATAATAACGGCTAAAGAAAAAGAAATGTACTAACGAGTGAATAGTGAATTGAGAAAGTAAAAAGAAAATGGAATTGTGGGTAAACTGAACTTCTGCTTGCTTCTGATTTTACTCTATAAAGACTTATGTGCAGTAAAGCGAGAAATTGTACATATTCAGAACAGAACAGAAACCAGGGTAATGTTTGTTGAGCCTCAATTTTAAGTATGTCCAGCTGAATATAAATTATCTTCATTTCTTAGCACTTTTTTCATTTAGTTTTTTTGTAGAATCTGCTAGCTAGCCCATCGGTAGAGTTAGTATCAGTACTTCCTGTCCTCCTCAAATATGTTTCTCTTAACAACTGAGTAAATCTTTTAGGACCACACAGCAAACAGGGACTTGTGAGTGGATACATAGTGGTCAAACTTTACAAATGAGGTGAGGACTTTTTAAAAGGCAGGTGTTAGCATTAGCTATGAGGCACTATTTCAAGAAGCATATGGAGCTGTGAAGCCCAGCCCACAGTTACGGCTGCAAAATAAAATCCCCATTCATATTTGCATTGACTGTTGCAATATCCAAATTGTCCAAGTGTCTAAAAGCTATCCACACAATCCACACAATGAAAACAATATCAAAAAGTGTTGTGAACTTTGGCGTTTTAAACGTTTAAAATGTATTTCATTAGCAGTCACACACTTGTGTTTGGAATAATAATAAAGGAAAATAGGGATTTATACTTTTATATTCATACAATAAAACTGCAAGAGCGGCAGGCACTTTGCAGCTCCATTAAATACTCCAAGAAGTCTAAACACAATCTGGTGGTCTTTACTTTGTTTGAAATTGGTCATGTTTTTATAGTTGGAGATGGAGAAAGTACTGATGCCAACAGTGAGCGAACAGTGGCAGATCAGATGCCTGCTGTGTGTTCTTAGAAACTGCACTTCACCGCAATTGGTTATATCCACCTCTCAATCAACAAGAGGCTAACAAACAGAAGGAGTGGGCGGGGAAAAAAGCATCAGAAGTGTTTTCATTGAAGCGAAAGCGTACTAAAATCCATGGCAATTGGAAATCTTAAAAAGATGACATATTGGGCTTCTCTCTGCTTTATAGCAATCATTTAAGACACCTGTGGTTGATAGATGAATATTAAGATTAAATTCATAAACGAAAAAGAATATAATACACTTACATTGCCGTATGTAGCGGGCGTGTACTGTGGAGGTGGTCAAAGCAAAGGCTTCTTCAGTGCAGGAGAAGATCTCTTAAACATACTTGAATCATAAGTGGTAGTTATATACTTAAATTAACTGTCCTTTTGCGTACAGTTAGCTATAGCCTGGACCCACACGTGAGGCGTCTTACCCACAAAAGCAGAGTCTACACAATATGTCTTCTTTAGCGACTCCAAACAACATCAATATTATAAATTCCAACTACTCAATAGTTTGCAGTGTGTAGTCATCTGTGGGACACGTGGGGGGGGAAAAAAAGAGGCGATTTGAGATGGCGGCAGTTGCAGGTACTGTCCGTTCATTTGGAAAGGCGCCGAGATTAATCAGAAGTCAGTGTTGCATAGGCAGACAGTGGGCGTGTCCCACTGTGCTGGAGTTCCAGGGAGGAGGGGGGTCCTGTGGGCGGGCAGCAGACTCATATTGTGGACTCTTTCTGACGCTCGCGCCCGTTGGAGGTCTTCTTGACTTTGGAGATGCCCTCGAGAGCTCCGGACTCTGTCATTCTGCACCAGGAGTGGAAAGAAACTAATTAAAAATACAATACTGTAAAAAGTCAATAAATAAATTGCAACTTATCAATTATTTAAGTAGTATAACTAATTTAGTACAAGACACTTAACCCCACTTTGCCCAAAGCCCCCGCTGAAAGATCAAGGCTATGCTCACACTCAGAGAGCAGCCGTCCTCCTGTGGACTCACCACCTGCAGAGGGTCAGTGAGGGGCTGGTGCTATGAGACTTGGGTGGCATCTCTGACTGCCACCCCCCTGACCCAGAAATGGATTAAAGGGTAGAAAATGGATGGATGGATGGAACTAATTTAGTAATCGATCAATTTCTGAACCTTAAAATTCATAACTCATGAAGCTATAAGATCAGATTCAGATTTAGTCAAGCTGATGTAGGTCTTGTGAGCAGGTCTGTGGGTTGACTGACTGTTCTCACCATCCTGCGCCTCTGCTTATCTGAGATTTTACTTGGAACTGTGCCTGTGGTGTTCCAATTCCTCAGAATTTTCCTCACAGTAGAAACTGAAAGCTTAAATATCTGTGACAATGTCTGCTTTTTTGTATCCTTCCCTTTAACCATGATGTTGAACAATCTTTGTTTTCAGGTGAGAGGTGCTTTGAGGCTTCCATGTTGCCACTCTTCAGAGAAGATTCAAAGCGGGGAAACACTGAGGATTGGCCAACTTAAATATCCTTTATCATGATTGGATTCACCCGTGTATGGAGGTCAACCTCAGTAGGTTACAAAACCAATAACTAGTGATAAAGATGTTGTAATAACTTTTAAATAATATTTTAAAGGGTTCCTAAATGTACGCATTTGCCTAATTTGGTTTAAATACTTCTTGCACACTTTCTGTAAATGATACAAACTTATTTCACATCTCAAATATCACTGCCTGATACAGTATATGCCGCTTTTCCACAGTAACGGTACGGTACAGTACGGCACGGCACGGTTATTTAGCATTTCAACTAGGGTTGGGCTTGGGATCAGGGGTACTTTTTTCACACCACCTCGACAGTGGTTCTGTCCGGGCCGAAGCTACAACATGACGTGACGTCAAAAATGAATGTTTAGGCATATGACAAAGTTACGGATCAGATCCTCCTCTGCACCACTGCTAAAGGCTGCTGTTGCTACATGTGTCACATGGTCTCTTCATGGTTTTTGCACAGTTTGTACAGAGCACAGCAAGTCGGCACCATTGACTTCACATGTTCAGTTTCCGAGTCATTCCTTTAAGACTGCCGAAAGCATTTTCAACAACCACTGTGCTGTGCTGAATTTTCTATGAAATACTTGCTGTTTGTCTGTCACTCGCCCTGTCTCCTGAAAAGGTTTTAGGAGCCAGTTCTGCAGGGGGTAAGAAGAGTCCCTAAGGTAATAACCAGCTATCACCGAAATTATAATAAATCCATGCACCACACCAATGTTAATAAAAATAATAATAATGCATCGGTTGTATATTGCGCTTTTTTGGACACTCAAAGACGCTTTACATGTCATTATTCTTTCACTTCATACACGGTGGTGATAAACTACCACTGACAGAAGCGAGGCAACCAGTATTTGCCATCGGCCCCTCCGACCACCACCAACCATTCACACACACACCAGACTCATTCTAGGCAATGGGGGTAAAGTGTCTTGCCTAAGGACACAACGGCAGTTTGGCACTTTACAGCCGCAGCCGCCCCACTCTGGCTGGTGTTCCCAGAGGTTAAGTGTCTTGCCAAGGACACAACGACAGTAGACAGTGGGAGTCGATGGTGAAGGTCGGGTGCGAACCCACGACCCTCTGGCTCAAAGGCCAATGCTCTACCAACTGAGCTACTGTTAATGGTTACACTTCGCGCTTACATGACATGGTCTGACAATCCCTCCCACGCTGAAGAGGTACTATTTTTAATGGAAAAGCACCAGCGCACTTCCGTGCCGTATAGTTACTGCGGAAAAGCGGCAACAGTTAACCCATTTAGGCCTGACACATCTGGTAAAACATACAGTATCTCTAAAACCTCAGAAAATCTCAGAAAAATAATCTCAAAAGAATTTGAGAGCTGACACCTGTGGCTTTCAATAAGAATAGCATATTATTATAAACCTTCAATAGAATACAAAAAATATACAACTTCCACTCAAGAAAGATAATCTAACAACCAATAATTAGACTAATAAATATTTATCAATATGATGGGATAACAAGAGTTTGGCACAAACTGCATGCACAGATGCGTTTTTTTCACATTTTCCAGCCATTTTGAATCACTCCATGAGAGCCCAATTTTGATTAGTTAGAACGGCCGAGATAGGCGTGACTACGTCCGTTAATATATAGTCTATGGAGGCGACAAGTAAACAAGACCGCGTTCAGACGCGGCACCCTGCACAGAGGCTCTACACTGAGTTTTACCAAGGATCTATTACAATATATAGTTTTACAAACGCGGTGTGAAGAAAAGAGACGCATGGAGGTTTAACGTCTGTGGGATCTTAAAGGCGCTATACCCGTTTCTGCGATGTTTGAATGTTTAGCACCGCCCCCCAACTCGCTCAATGGCTTCTCATTTCCCCTGCGCTCTCATAACACAGAGCCATCTAGTTCAATTTGCGATCTGACATGTATGCTAACATTAGCATTAGCACAACTTCTTGTAAGCTGTACAACAATCACTGATGAAATGGTACAAAAGCAACGCACTGCTAACACAATATATATGTAAAAGAATACCGCTAGTTTCGCATCCAAATTCATTCATTAAAACATTAGAATATATTCAAATATTTAATTATAATTTATTATGCAGCTCCTCACAGCAGTAGGACACTCCATAGACTTGAATGTAATTCTACCGATCATTTTTTCTTGATAACAGAACTCTCAAATCAATAATGACCTCTGCCCTTTGATAATGCAATCTCTGTTTGCAATTCAGGTGTGTAAAATACTGCCATTACTCCGCAAGTACAACGAGAGAAGCTAGCGGAGCTAGCCACGCTCAATAAACAAATACATATCAAAACGTTGAATTTGCTGTCAACGTTTTCATGACAAAAATACGGTTTTAAAGTGACAAAAAGCGACCGCGAAAAACCCAGAAGTTACCATGAAACAGCTAGCTAGCTTAGCTAGCTAGCTAGTTACCTGCCTAGCACGTCCTGGTGAAACCTTTGGGAGCTAACTATTTTATTTGCAGTCATTAAATACATTTCAAATTGTAAGGGCTGTCTAATATTTGTTCAAATATATATAGCCCTGGTGTTAAGCAGCGCTGTATGGGCTAGAGGACGCAGGCTGGTCGCTGCTCGTTCTGTGAGTGGAGGAGAACGAGCGGCCCGCTCAGACTCTACTCAGCACTTTTCACGGCATAAATTTCATACACAGCTGAATCAATTACCTCAAGTTTTAAATTAAATTATGTATTATGATACAACTTGCATGTAGTAAAAAGCATTTTTATGAACTACTTAGAAAAAAAATCGGGTATAGCTTCTCTAAAACTCCTACATCTGTTTTGGCTCGTGCACAAAAGTTTGGCATACCCAAATGTCTTTGCTTATTTAAAAACACATCTTACATCTCACATGCTTGTGTGATGCATCATTTTAAAGCTAGGCCCTTCTAGTTTATGTAAATATACACTGAAATAATGTATATCATTCCTATTTCACTCTGCATCCTTTGAAGTTTGGGAAAAAACCCTGTTTTTTTTAGCCTCACCTAAAAAATTCAATGTATAAATGCCCTAAACAAGCCTACTTCATTGGAAGAAGAAAATTTTCAACGCTAATTTGTTCATTGTGTTGTTGACAACAACTGTGTAAAGTTTCAGAATTCTAAGTTTTATAGTTTTTATGCAGTTTCTCTTTTTTATCAAGTAGTGCCATTCGGAACCAATATGGCAAAATGTGTGCCAAATTGTGCCAAACTGCTTTACTAACATTTCACCATCATAAAAAGCATATTTTTTAGTTTTGGTACTTATAATTTACAAATCTGTGTGATTTTTTTTTAAATTTTTTCAAAATTATTTTTTTAGTAGTGTAAATGCATATAAAATATGCGCAGCAGTATTAACAGCGTCTTTACGCACGCTTTTACTGTGAAAATGAAAAGAGTTCCTACAAGTCCCACCCATCAATAGAAAGCTCTTTTTATTGGCTACTTACACACATCAATCATTCAGAGCTTGCTCATTGCGCTAGCCATGCTACACAATGCTACACAATGTGCCCCCTGTTGTGTTAACGCTGTCTTTGTCCGTGTGGTTTGCAATGTTGACAGTTTGCTGCTATGACGCAGGACTTTTCTTTTGCATAATTATTTTTCGGATCGTTCTTTTGCGGAAAACAAGACCTCTAGCCTCAGCTGAAGTCTCCGCTAATCGTGCTTCCCACAAGTGCATTTTCATGCCTCCCGTAATCACGGGGACGGTGACGTGTTGGAGAAGCCTTTGTCTTGTGTTTGTTATACGCGAGAGAGCAGGGGAGACAGCAGCAGCAAGAGACTCGCGGTGACGTGCTTCACCTGGAGGCGCACGTCTGGGCAGACTGCTCACAGCAGCAGCATGATTTGTATTTTTACTATTTCCATGAACATTTACAATGTTACAGTGCGAGTTCTGTGTGTGTTCATGTCCTAGTGATCAATATATGTCTATCAGTTAGAAAAATACAAATATTTTATATAAAATCCACAATTTCTAACGCCATATGACGTCATAATATGAAAATTCGATGGGTGTTTTTTTTTAATATGGAGCAGCTGTAAAAATTACACAGGGCGGCTTTAATAAATGTTTTTTAATTATTTTAGATGAAGCCGAAGCCTCATTAGCAGGGGTCTTGTGAACTGGAAAAGTTATTTTAAATACTGTTAAATCTATGGCCACTTACTGCAAACTGGGTACCTTTCAAGCTCTATCCGGTTTTAAAATTGAAGGTTCTATTGATGTGTAAATGTGTCGTTAAGATCTTTTATTTGGTCTGATACCATTTTAGAGGTTGACAACATATATACAAATGGCAAATATGTGGTTGGGGCTGTGTGGTGCTTACACTTCGTCCATCTCCACGTCGTCCTCGTCCTGGGGCAGCTGCAGGTACGGGTTGTTGGAGGCTGGTCTGAAGTTGTACCCGGTCAGCACGAAGAAGATCAGAGTGGACACCTCTACCAGGAACTGCAGACAGACATACATCATATCATCCTATTTCATGCTCAGAACTTCTCTTCAGCTGTTGGCTTTGCAGAATTTGAATCATTTAGTGAGGTTCGGAAAGAGGGCTTGCCACATTGTTTATTTTTTTTTTCAGATCTTTGGACGAATAAAAACTTGTCTGATCTGAATGGTTATTGCCTAAACCCGGGGCAGGTGTAACAACATGTAAATTGGAAATGAAGAGCTCTAATCTGGGTAGTTTTGCCGGTAAATCCAGGCAAAGCTCTAGATTAACCACTCCTTCAATGTTCCAGTATCACCTATGGATAGTCATGAGCTTTGGAGAACACCCACATGCGCAGTTTCCTCCGCAGAGTGCCTTGTCAATCCCTTAAAAAAGGGGGAATGTGGGTATGAGGGAAGACCCAGGAAACATTGGAGGGACAGTCCTGGTTAAAGTAGAAAAAAACGAATGGATGGAAGTTGTAGAACGAGAAAGCACAGTAAGTACCTCGTAGCACCACTGCCACTGGAAAGGCATGGTGATCTTCAGTAGAATGGCTATGATCCTGGTGAAGTAAATGTAACACACGATCTGTGGACACAGATGAACTTCTTAAAGTCTACACTTCAGATCACACTGCCCATATTCTGAGCCGCACTCACCATGACATAGTAGTGTCTGAAAAGCTTGAGTTTTTCCAGGTTCACAGCAGCTTTGCCGTCAGTGCTGGATGCCTCCTGTAGGTGACGGATGGACCTGTCACAAGAAGATAAAATTATTGTTCAAAACCTTTTTGAACAGCCCTTTTCAAAAGGATTCCTCCAGTGGATCCGTTCTGGTCTGGACCAGTGCAAAACCATGAACACTGTACTGCAGCAACTTCTCAGGTAGAAAAAAAATCAAGAAAAATAACAATTGTAAAGAACAAATCAACAACTGTTTACAAGCTACTTGGGACTTGTTGTCGTCTCCAGTGCATTCAAAATTAAATATTGTCATTATTTGTTTATCTAATGAATGCACTGGACATCAGGCTTATATTTAAAGCTGGTGCAAATTTCAAGCACTTTCAAAGTAAAATGGGGACTTTTTAAAGAAACCAATACTTTAAATAATATACACAATATTATTATTAATTAAATTGCATGCGCTTTGGCCCAAAAGTGTTGCGGTATAATTCACTGATATTTATTGAGTGACCCCGACTGGGAGCCCACCAAAACATCTCTGCACCTGCTCCATTTTAAATAACTTCAGCGTAACAGACCACCTATCAAATGAAATGCATCGGTTAACTTATCAAAAAGTCTCATTCAAAAAACGTCAACATTTACATATATAAGTAGAGCCCTTGACGACATACAGTAGTGCAAAATATTAGGGGGGGTTTGGGGCTTTTCCGTGGTCAACATTACGGACAAGATGCGCAACAGGCTCCTCTTTGAGGACATAAATTTCAGATTCAGATTCAGATTCAGTTTATTTGCCATTTGCAGTAAAAAAAACACATTGGAATACATTAGCGAAAAGTCTCCAGTGTGCACAGACAAATACAGACATAAAACAACATTAAAAGACAAAAATAAAACAAATAAAACAGTAAACAAAAGTCACTGTGAAATCGATCGACTAAAACAGTTCAAAACAAGTGCAAATCATTAAAGTGCTCTGTTCACACCGATAACAGCTTGTGGATAAAAACTGTTAGAGTAACGAGATGTCCTGCATCTCAGAGAGCGATATCTTCTGCCAGAGGGAAGAAGCTGGAACATGGCTTTCCCAGGGTGGCCAGAAGAGTCATTAACAATCCTAAGAGCTTTGTTTAAAAGTCTGGATTTATAAAGAACCTCCAGAACAGGGAGTTCACAGCCCACGGTCCTCTTTGCAGAGCGGAGCACCTTGTTTAAAGCTCTCTTTTCTTTATCTGTGATGTTTCCAAACCACACAGACACAGAACCAACAAGTAAACTCTCAATGGTGCAGCGATAAAAGTTAAGCAGAATCTTAGAGTTAGTGGTAAATTCTCTAAAATGGAAAAGGGTCCATTTATGTCCTCAAACAGAAGTTGGCTAAAAGGCAGGACATCTCGTCTTCCTAGAAACCAGGAAAGACATATTTGATCTATTTGGACTCAAGGTAAGACGGTGTTTAGTGATGGGCGATGGCCTTCGTTCGGACACGGTCTCCACAATCAAGGCTAGGCTTAAAACGGTTCTCTTTAGTTTAGTATATGGTTAGGAAGGTAAGACTCAAGGAAGGATAAACATCTTAGGATTTTGACTGTAGTCTGTTCATTGTTATTCACCCGTTGTCCCATTGTCTGTTTCATGGCACGACAAGAGGACCTCTGAACCCGGCCCGCCTGGGAGTGCTTCAGTCCTGCACCGGACCTGTCCACGTTCTGCAGCCACTGCGTGGCCTTGGTCCTCGTTCTGTAGCTTAGGTCCTGGATCTATAACCCGTTCGTCCGTGCAGAGCGGATCCCTCTCTCATTGTGGATCTCCCCGAGGTTTCTCACTTTTCTCCCACTGGGTTTTAGAGTTTTTCCTTGACGATGCAGGAGGGTCTGTTGGACAGTTATTGTCTAACAAGAAAGACTGTGGTGATGATCCAGGACACTCTAAAATTCTACATCATGTATGGACATTGGTCTCTCCCTATGGACCAATACGTGTGTTGTGACTTCAATGGTTTTGTTAAGTCCTCTGAGATGACCACTGTTGTGATTTAGGGCTATACAAGAATAAATTGTATTGTATTGTAATGCTCTACCAACTGAGCCACTGTCGCCCCACAATTACCACAACACAATAAATGACAATAAAACAAAGTTAACAAGCTATATACCAATAGTATAAGTACAATAAATACTGTTGTGTGCGTTTGTGCATCGTATGTACACTGATGTCCCTTTTGCAGATTATGCAGTATCTATATTTCTAATTTCGTCCTTGCTGTAACCAACCTCATCATATCCAACCTGGCATGTTAATATGGCAGTGATATGGACGTACACACTGTTACTGAGCAGCGGAGTCATTCCCTGGTGACGCGTGTAGGCAAGAAAACACGGGAGCAACATTTTCATGGAGATGGAGTCAAAATCCTAAATTTTAGGCATTCAGTCCTGATGTTATATTAAAACTAGGGCTTTGACTTTTGCACAAAAAATCATATTTGAATTTTGTTTGTTTATTAATTTAAATATTCGAATATATTTAAATATTTAATCACAATTTATTATACAACTTCTCACAGCAGCAGTAGAACGCTCCATTGATTTGAACATAATTTCAAAACGTTCTACCGGTCATTTTTTTCTTGATAAAGGACCTCTGAAACCAATAATGGCCGCTACCCATGACAACGCAATCTGTGCTTTTATTCAGGTGTGTAAAATACTAAGGCGCCTGTAACTACTGTCTGTGTGAGAGCTAGGCACGCTCAATAAACAAATAACGATCATATACATAAACATCCTTAACACACATGCACGGAGGTTTTCAGAATTATCTGTTAACGTTTTCATGACAAAAATACTGTTTTAATGTGACAAAAAGCGATCGCGGTAAACCCGGAAGTAACCATTGACAATAAAATAACATTTTAGGACACATTTGGAGTGGATCTGATTATGGATTTAGGTTGAGTATATAAATGGGTAGCTCACTGCTGATGTTCAGAATTCTTAGTTCAGTTTTCAGGTAGTTTCAGAGATTTCTAGTTTTGAAGTAGCTAGCTTAGCTGTTGTCTGTCTGGCCAAATCACAGTGAAACCTTTGGGAACTATTTTATTTGCAGTCATCAAATGAATATTGAATAATGTTTAATATTTGTTCAAATATACATTTTAAATATTTGAATTATAGTCGAATATCAAAATTCAAAGTCAAAGCCCTAATAAATAGTGTCAAATTTGAGAAAAATTCAAGCACAAATTCAAAGTGCTTTCAAGGATCTGTACAAACCCTAATAGTTATATTATACAGAGCAAGTGCAGAATATAAGTGGACATGTCATTATAGAGCAGGGGTCAAACGGGTTCCATTAAAGACCAGTATAGCTAAAGGATTTCATTCCAAACAATCAAGAGCACACCAAGTTTTCTACTTATCTTGTCCAGTTTTAACCTGGGAAATGGGTCAAGTACTGCAGCCACACCAGCCCTTTGAGGACCAGTTTGACACCCGTGGTATAGAGTAATATTTGAGAGGGGCCTGTTTGTACTGGATCCGTGTGGCTAAGACTGACCAGACCACAGGGAATAGGATGGCCCCACAGCAGATGAGGTCCACCAGGAACAGGATCTGCTTCCAAAGGGAGTACTCGCTGGAGCCCTCCTCTGTCGACTCGATGATGATGAAGGCAACGTTCGCCAGCACCTGCAGCAAACATGCACACACTGAGCCAGGAGTCTTATGCCTCTGATCAATCATGTGTTAATTTATCAAACACATTTAGATGTATTTGTTCAGTGGCGGACCCTTAATGCCTGCAAGGCCTTTACTGCTGGCCTAAACATGATTACATATATATATATACACAGTGGGGCAAAAAAGTATTTAGTCAGCCACCGATTGTGCAAGTTCTTCCACTTAAAATAATGACAGAGGTCTGTGATTTTCATCATAGGTACACTTCAACTGTGAGAGACAGAATGTGAAAAAAAAAATCCAGGAATTCACATTGCAGGATGTTTAAAGAATTTGTAAATTATGGTGGAAAATAAGTATTTGGTCAATGACAAAAATTCAACTCAATACTTAATATAATAACAGAGGTCAAACGATTACTATAGGTCTTTACCAGGTTTGCACACACAGTAGCTGGTATTTTGGCCCATTCCTTCATGCAGATCTTCTCAAGAGCAGTGATGTTTTGGGGCTGTCGCCGAGCAACACGGACTTTCAACTCCCCCCACGCTAGGCCACTCCAGGACTTTCAAAGGCTTCTTACGGAGCCACTCCTTCTTTGCCCGGGCGGTGTGTTTAGGATCATTGTCATGCTGGAAGACCCAGCCACGTTTCATCTTCAAAGCTCTCACTGATGGAAGGAGGTTTTGGCTCAAAATCTCAAGATACATGGCCCCATTCATTCTTTCCTTAACACGGATCAGTAGTCCTGTCCCCTTAGAAGAATAACAGCCCCAAAGCATGACGTTTCCACCCCCATGCTTCACAGTAGGTATGGTGTTCTTGGGATGCAACTCAGTATTCTTCTTCCTCCAAACACGACGAGTCGAGTTTATACCAAACAGTTCTACTTTGGTTTAATCTGACCACATGACATTCTCCCAATCCTCTGCTGTATCATCCATGTGCTCTCTGGCAAACTTCAGACGGGCCTGGACATGCTCTGGCTTCAGCAGGGGGACACGTCTGGCACTGCAGGATTTGATTCCCTGTCGACGTAGTGTGTTACTGATGGTAACCTTTGTTACTTTGGTCCCAGCTCTCTGCAGGTCATTCACCAGGTCCCCCTGTGTGGTTCTGGGATTTTTGATCACCGTTCTCATGATCATTTTGACCCCAAGGGATGAGATCTTGCGTGGAGCCCCAGATCGAGGGAGATTATCAGTGGTCTTGTATGTCTTCCATTTTCTGATAATTGCTCCCACAGTTGATTTGTTCACACCAAGCTGCTTGCCTATTGTAGATTCACTCTTCCCAGTCTGGTGCAGGTCTACAATTCTTTTCCTGGTGTCCTTCGACAGTTCTTTGGTCTTGGCCATAGTGGAGTTTGGAGTCTGACTGTTTGAGGCTGTGGACAGGTGTCTTTTATACAGATAACCAGTTCAAACAGGTGCCATTAATACAGGTAACGAGTGGAGGACAGAAGAGCTTCTTAAAGCTGCACTAACTGACTTTATTTTTGTATTCATTACGAAAATGCTATCCATGTCCGTGTAGGGCATTGGGATATACGTCCTTTTGACGAAAAAGTAGCGCAGATTTGTGCTGGCGTGACATTATATTTTAGATCGAGTTTTGATGAAACAAGGAAGAGAATGTGTTTCGGGTCGCAGATTGTGACCAATCACCGCGGACCACTGGCCCCCACTTTTGTGAGAAATCTACAGGTCTCCGTTAGCATAGACGGCTGAGTTAGCACAACAAGACGAGGAGCTAACCTGAAGCTTCGTCTCTTCATCACCGGTTACTGCTTACACAGCGAGACAGCCATCCAAAAGAAAGTCTCGTTCCTCCGCGCTTCCCGGTTCTATCGTTCTATGGTCACGCCATCCACGTGCAAATCCATGTCCATGTATTATCCATATTGGGAGACACTAGCTTCGTCCCAACAGTGAGTGTGTGTGGGGGGCGATAGCTTCGTGGGTGCGGGGAGGGGAGCAGAAAGAGAGAGGCCAGCGAGTCTGCTGCTTCAAAATCCCAAAGTCAGTTAGTGCAGCTTTAAAGAAGAAGTTACAGGTCTGTGAGAGCCAGAGATCTTCCTTGTTTGAAGTGACCAAATACTTATTTTCCACCATGATTTACAAATACATTCTTTAAAAATCCTACACATTCTGTCTCTCACAGTTGAAGTGTACCTATGATGAAAATTACAGACCTCTCATTATTTTAAGTGGGAGAACTTGCTCGGTGGCTGACTAAATACTTTTTTGCCCCACTGTAATATTTTTTATTTATATTACTAAAGATTATATATATATATATATATATACACATATATATATATATATATATATATATACCACATATATATATATATATATATATATAATCTTTAGTAAGTAAGTAATGTTGATTTATATAGCTCATTTTACAGACCAAGGTCACCCAAAGCGCTTTACAATGTTCAGAGTTCAGATATTGTTCCAATCATTCCACACACAATGATGACAGAAGCGAGTCGCCGAACACACTGGACCATCAGCTCCAATCAACAACATCCATTCACTCAGTCATTTACATTCATATCTATTGTGCATGTTTTTAGTGGTAGGGGACACCGGAGCACCCGGAGGAAACCTATGCAGACAAAGGGAGAACATGCAAACGCCACTCCGGTACATTTTATTTTTGAAACATAGAATTGTATTGCTCTGCTAAATTTTGATTCTTATGGTGTCATTTTAAAATGTATTGTTACAATGGCAACTATGGAAACTTTGGCAGATATGGCAAGAAGAAGGATTGGATTATAATCACTGTGGCTTTGATATTCAGACTCTGTGCACAAGAAACTCCACCCACAATCCAAGCACTTTAAGCACGGATTTGTGGAAAACTCAGACAAGCTCAATTTGGTAGAGTGATTCAGACCGGATTTTCAATGACTTTCAATGTTAAGTCAATGGTGACGTGTGTTCGAGCGTGGAACTGTATGTGCATCTCAGGACGCACGCACGGACTGCGCGGTAGAGGTGCTAGAGAGGAAAATTGACGCACGCAGGAGATAAACATTGCTGAACCTTTTTCTAGGGACGCTCGTGCCCCGGGGCAGCTGTGGCCGCGTTGTAGTGGTTTAACTATGAAATGTACAATTTTTGTACAACAGCTCACGCGAACGCACATCCGAACTGGGTACTGAGCGCAGACCATAGTCGCGTGGACAGAACCATGGACATGCGGACCGGACAGAACCATGGACATGCGGACCAGACAGAACCATGGACTCGCGTTCAAGACCTCCCGTGTCCCTCATCCAAAACTCCTGAATTTAAAGCTCGGATACCTAAATTTTCCCCATGCACTAACAATGTTATTTGTGTACTTAAGTTAGACTCTTTGGGCAGAGAGTGGATTTTCTTTGTTTTTTTTTCCACACAGTTAGTGCTACTTTATTCCCAAACTCTTGTTAACTCATTGTATCGAGAAATATTAAATAAAGCTTAATGTCAAGGTAGGGCTGGGCAATAAATCGAATTTAGGCAATTAATCGGCTTTTGAAAAAATCGAATTCGTGAAAAAATTTAAAATCGTGAAATTGAATGAAGGATATTGTGAGAGTTCCAGCAGCAGATGAATTATACTTGCAATATCAGCACAGTCTGTACAAGACTTTTATAATACGTATTGTGGGAAACAAAATCAAAATGGTTTTGAAACTTGATTATTGAGCAGAAAGATCTAAAAATATTTTTAAGGGCAAACTTGAATGAAAAACGATTTTAAATCGAAATCGTCCAAAGCAGGAAATAAAATCGAGATTTTACTTTTTTGCCATATCGCCCCCTGGACTTAAGCACTTTGATGAGAATAACTGTATATTGTGAATATAGGCTACAGAGTATATATGTTATAAGATAAGATATACTTTATTGATCTCACATAGAGTATGTACAGTGCCTTGCGAATGTATTCGGCCCCCTTGAACCTTTTGCCACATTTCAGTCTTCAAAGATAAAGATATAAAAATTTAATTTTTTGTCAAGAATCAACAACAAGTGGGACACAATCGTGAAGTGGAACAAAATTTATTGGATAATTTAAACTTTTTTAACAAATAAAAAACTGAAAAGTGGGGAGTGCAATATTATTCGGCCCCTTTACTTTCAGTGCAGCAAACTCACTCCAGAAGTTCAGTGAGGATCTTTGAATGATCCAGTGTGGTCCTAAATGACTGATGATGATAAATAGAATGCACCTGTGTGTAATCAAGTCTCCGTATAAATGCACCTGCTCTTTGATAGTCTCAGGGTTCTGTTTAAAGCGCAGAGAGAACCATGAAGACAAAGGAACACACCAGGCAGGTCCGAGATACTGTTGTGGAGAAGTTTAAAGCCGGATTTGGATACAAAAAGATTTACTAAGCTTTAAACATCTCAAGCAATTATATTGAAATGGAAGGAGTATCAGACCAATGCAAATCTACCAAGACCCGGCCGTCCCTCCAAACTTTCAAACAAGGAGAAGACTGATCAGAGATGCAGCCAAGAGGCCCATGATCACTCTGGATGAACTGCAGATAACTACAGCTGAGGTGGGAGAGTCATGTCCATAGGACAACAACCAGTCGTGCACTGCACAAATCTGGCCTTTATGGAAGAGTGGAAAGAAGAAAGCCATTTCTCAAAGATATCCATAAAAAGTCTCGTTTAACCCTCTATGCACATGACATGGGTCATTTTGGGGAACTTTCCTCGCCTGGTTTTCTTTGTGTATAATTGTTCATAAAACAGTCATCTTTTGATGCAGAGTCAAGCAGTATACTTTTTTTCAGTACAACCTGGGGTTTTAGAATATTCATATTGTAAAGCTATCATATGAAAAAAATCAAACTGAAAATAAATTTAACAAAAATGTATTGAAAAAACACAATGAAATAATATAAACACAGTGTTTCCCACACATAGACTAATCTGTGGCGCACCGCCACAGATTAGAGACCGCCCGCCACAAATTGCGTTTCGTATTATTATATATATATTTTTTTTTGTTACGCTATTTAAAACATGCATCGTCTAGTGCCGCCGCAGCGGTCAATTTGACAGCGGGGAGGGGGGTTTAAAATGTGGCGGCCCTTCGTAACTCTCACTCAAGCTACGCGTCTCTCCCACATACAGAGACCTACACACACACAGCCCCTCCCCTTCGTGCACACCGCGTGTCTCCGTCTCCATCAGCGATCATCGCTGTAAGCAGCTGTGTCTATTAATTTACCGCGGTAAAGTGGCCCGCATCTTTCAGCTCTATGAACATGCGGCCCGCATCGGGGAAAAGACGGTGCGCGTTTTGTTGAGAACTTACGGTAACAGCGGAACGTCCTTTCGGAGTCACCCATTTTTATCGAACAGAAAGCGCGCTGGGGTCTGGGAGACACGTTTTTGTGATTAAAACCTTATAGAGATGCCACCCGGCACACATAGCACCAGCCCCCTACGATTCCTCCGGCAGATTGTGAGTCCTCAGGAGGATAGCCACTCTATTGTTTACATATATAAAGTACACAATTTGGTCCGCTAGTGCAATTTTCAAGTATTGTAACTATTTACTGGAATAAGGTGTGCGACTAATTTCACTTGACTCATGACCTTATTATTGCCCTCTGCCACTGTACCAAAGACCAGAAACTTTTACTGTAGAAATATTGAGAAATATTGAGGTAAAGTAGCCATTTTGGTCCAAAATACCTCCAAAATAGTCAAAACATGTCACTTTTGATCTACTGTAACTTTTTACTGTAAAAAGGTGTGCGACTAATTTCACTGGATTCATGACCTCAAGATTGTCCTCTACCACTGTACCAAAGACCAGACACTTTTACTGTAGAAATATTGAGAAATATTGAGGTAAAGTAGCCATTTTGGTCCAAAATAGCCTAAAAATGGTCAAAACATGTCACTTTTGATCTGCTGTAACTTATTACTGTAAAAAGGTGTGCGACTAATTTCACTGGATTCATGACCTCAAGATTGTCCTCTACCACTGTACCACTGTACCCCACCCCCCCCCCCCCCCCCCCCCCGCCGACGACCACCACACATTGCCTTCAAACCTGTGGGAAACACTGAAACAACTTTTTACACTGCATAGAAATGTTATTTAGGGACTTGGGGATAATGGGGAAAAAAAATGAATCTCTAACTATTATACTTTTTACAAAATTCCACTATAAAAGCAAAAAACTATGTACTCCTGATGCCCTTCCTGTAAAAAACGTAAAACATAAGAACCTGAGACAAAAAAATAAAAAATAAAAAAACAATTATTTATATAATACATATATTTATATACATCATATACAAATAATGTCATTTTACTGTATTTATTATCGTCTTTATCAATATTGCGCACTCTTCAGCCGGTTATTGCAATCGCAGCTGTAGTTTCAACTGTGGGAGAACAAGTGCACACAGAGGAGTGAGACATCTCACTCTCTGACGATCTTTGGCAGTCCCCGTGTGTTTGTATCTCACAGCTGTTTGTACCTCACGGGTCACGTTTTGGACACGGACTTTCAGACAAATGTAGTTTATCGTCCGTGCATCGCACAGACAAATCAAGTTTCAAATCAACTAGTTTCGGAAAGCCTTGAATGTGTACTTCACAGAGGAAAAAAGTTGCTACGTTTTACCGTTCGCAAGTAAATTGATCATTTGTAAAACATGTGCGCATGCATCGGCGCCGATGCAGACGGGTTCATAGGGTTAAAGTTTGCCACAAGCCACCTGGGAGACACACCAAACATGTGGAAGAAGGTGCTCTGGTCAGATGAAACCAACATCGAACTTTTTGGCCACAATGCAAAACGATATGTTTGGCGTAAAAGCAACACAGCTCATCACCCTGAACACACCATCCCCACTGTCAAACATGGTGGTGGCAGCATCATGCTTTGGGCCTGCTTTTCTTCAGCAGGGACAGGGAAGATTGCTAAAATTGATGGGAAGATGGATGGAGCCAAATAGAGGACCATTCTGGAAGAAAACCTGTTGGAGTCTGCAAAAGACCTGAGACTGGGACGGAGATTTATCTTCCAACAGGACAATGATCCAAAACATAAAGCCAAATCTACAATGGAATGGTTCACAAATAGACGTATCCAGGTGTTAGAATGGCCAAGTCAAAGTCCAGACCTGAATCCAATCGAGAATCTGTGAAACCTTCAATCTTCAAAAACGCTCTCCATCCAACCTCACTGAGCTCGAGCTGTTTTGCAAGGAAGAATGGGCAAGAATTCCAGTCTCTCGATGTGCAAAACTGATAGAGACATACCCCAAGCGACTTGCAGCTGTAATTGCAGCAAAAGGTGGCGCTACAAAGTATTAGCGCAAGGGGGCCGAATAATATTGCACGCCCCACTTTTCAGTTTATTTGTTAAAAAAGTTTAAATTATCCAATAAATTTCGTTCCACTTCATGATTGTGTCCCACTTGTTGTTGATTCTTGACAAAAAATTTAACTTTTATATCTTTATGTTTGAAGCCTGAAATGTGGCGAAATGTTGAAAGGTTAAATGTAAAAGGTTTGCAAGGCACTGTATATAGTTTTACATTTTCACCTGGAAGTGTGCCGCGAGATTTTTTCAATAAAAAAAGTGTGCCTTGGCTCAAAAAAGGTTGAAAAACACTGCTCTAGTGACTAAACTAGTGCAGCTAGCGTGTTCGCAGATGCAGAAGTACAGTTTAATAATAAAATAAACTTAGGCCACACCTCCGTGAACACATACTACTGTTATATAAAGTCTCTGGAAGGTTTCTGGACACAGAGAACTTTAGACAAAAAGCCGCTAGCTTAACTCCATTAACATGAAAGCCTGCCTGCTACTCCCGCCACTTCCGGCGGGCGCCACCGCAGGCCAGGACTTATGGTCTGAACACCCCTAGCGTCTGAAATTTTGAGAATGTGCGCCTAGTGCGCGCGGAAGCTGCGTTCCAGCGTTGACGGTCTGAACCCCCCATAAAGCCGCTCTCCTCGCACACACAAGGGCTGCATGCACACTTTGTGAGGTTCAAGACTCACACATAGTTGATTTTGGCTTTAAATTAGGATTTTTGCACTTTTTACTTGTTTACAATGCTTACTCCCTAGCTCAACGAAGCCCAATTTCAAGTGCAACTTATAAACTTGTCCAGCTCAGTAACGCTTTCAGTGTTTTGGGTGAGAGTGGGCGTTGAGGTTCTGCCGCAGCCGTGTAATGCTCCACGCGTTATTCTCTTTACACCGCAGTTGTAATACTTAATCACGAACCTTTGTGCATCGGGAAGGAACCTCCTCAGCGTGCGGTTGAGGGACATTCGTTTACATTTCAGTGCTACTGTGTAATGTGCCCAAGACGTAAACGAAAGAATCCGGTCATTTTTCAAAATAAAGGATTGTTTATGCTCTGATAATGAATAGGAAATTAGTTATTTTCTTCCTTGGTGGCCCGGTTCCAATATCCCACAAGGGGTTGGGGACCACTGGTCTAAAGAACACAGCCACAGACCTGTAGAGGGATGACAATCATGAAGATCTTCTTCTCTTTGTCAGACAGGATGTACTTGACAAACGCCCAGCCGGTGCCAATCAGAGCCAGAGTAATGAACAGCAGCGCCCCTTTTAGCCTGAGGACAAGAGATACCAGTGTTGGGAAAAAAACTATTAGTACTAGTACAGAGGCTCTTCTTTTCTACCCCAGATCATGAATAGGGGTGGGAACCTCAGGGTATCTCACGATACGATACGCGATACAAAGCTCACGATAACGATTATATCACAATATGGCATTATCAATACATTGGTCAGAAATATACTGTTATAGAAATATTTTAGTGAAGCAATCTGAATGAAACATGAAATGGTTATAAGTGTAAGTTATCAACTAATTCTCAACTCTGGATTCAAATGCAGCACATTATGGTATGTTGGCAGCAAGGTCAGCTGATAGATGGTTTCTTTGGCAATATCTGGGTCATAGAACAATGTGTTCAGGTCAAAGCAGATTATTACGAGATGCGTAATGTAGCATGTCAAGTATTGATACAATTTTTTTTTTTTTTTAAATCGATACTTGGCAAAAGCATATCGATAATCAATCGCGTGAGAAAGTATCACAATACATCACCATATCGATATATTGTCACACTCCTAATCATGATGGCTGTGTATTTAACAGCGGCAAGAAACAAAGCTGGATTATTAAAAATGTTCGCTCTAATTTTTTTTCCCTGTGAGTGAGTAATCACATCTTTTATAGATGGTGAATAAGCACTTTGAGTTGCCTTGTTAATCATTTATGCTATACAAATAAACTTACCTTGCCTAAAGTAGATTAAGGAATGTATTGGGTGAGTTGCACACAAAAAAACTAAAATCTTCAAAGGCGATTTAGCCTATTCTAATTAGTCTGTGTTATGTTAATGTTATGTACAATTATGTATAATATTGTCTATATTAATAAATGGAATACATGGGTTTTATTTTCTAAAATGTCATAAAACAAAACACATAGATCCTTTGATTATAAAAAGAAATAAGTCATATTGCCACAAAACCAACTTTATTCAGCAATAGGCCGCTGAACTGAAGAGGGCGCCGGTCTTACCAACAAAAGCAAGGCAAGGCAAGTTTATTTGTATAGCACACTTCATACACAAGGCAACTCAAAGTGCTGAACAAAATAAGAAAGCATTAAAATCATAAATAATCACAGTACATTAAAAGGAAAAAGATAAAAATATAAAATATACAATCCCTCAGTTGTATGCACAGCTAAACAGAACTGTTTTTAACCTGGTTTTAAACATTGTCAGAGAGGAGGCCTGTCTCAGAGCTTCTGTGAGACAGGCCATTGCTTCTTATCTTGTCATTGCTTCTTAACAGCAATGACAAGATAACAAAACCATGAGGGTAGATTTTTCTGGCGGCACTGGACGATTTTTCTATGTGCGCAAAACCGAAAATAGCACTGTGCATTTGCATAAGGCATGTTGGTTTTGCCTAAAAGTAAAATGTTGTGAAAAAGTATATTGTCATTTTGTGCATACTTTGAGCACTGTGAATTATTATTTGACTTGAGAGTGAATTTTCTGAGCCAATCTAATGATGTAAGGAGGGGGAGGGTAAATCTTGTATTCTGCCTGATGGTCCTTTCAGACCGCAAACGCTCAAACGCTGAAGCCTCGCTCACCAGACGCGCATTCTCCAGTTTTCAGACGCACAGGACTTTACACCAGAACGTCCTGACCAGTGCCGGAAGTGGCGGAAGTAGCCGGCCGGCTCTGATGCTAACAGAGTTATGCTAGCGGCTTCTTGTGCACAGATTTTCTCCAATAATGAAGCTTTGCAGCGTGTCTGTGTTCAGAGACCTTCCACGGACTTTAAATAACAGTAGTATGTGTTCATGGAGGTGCACAATAAGTTTATTTTATTATTAAACGGTACTTCCGCATCGTTGAACACACTCGAAGCAGTTGCATAAAGTCACGGGAGCATGACAACTAGGGCTGCAACAACAAATCGATAATATCGATTATTAAAAGCGTTGGCAACGAATTTGGTTATCGATTCGTTGTGTCGCGCAATTAATACGTCACCGAGCGCGCGAGTTGGGCGCATTCTTGTAGTTTTATGGTTGAGCGGACGGACACACATGCACCACAGAACTACACAACACTGCATGCACACTGCCGTAAAACTCCACAGAAGAAGAGCAGAGTGTGGCGAAGGTGGTCATACAGTCTATGGTGGAGGCATTCATTCGAACAAGACCGCGTTGAGCCAGTGCAGAATAGCGAAGCGAAGGAAGCGTGCGAGTGTTTTACCGCACTAACTTTAGACACTTAGACACACAGAGTCAGTGGGAACAGTGTTCGTCAGGGTCAGGGCTGTCATTGGGAGGTTCGGAGACAGGTTAGATTTGCGGAGAACAAGCCTGGAAGTCACGTCGGGGCGCCGCGCCGCGACTCCAGCCTCTGCTAATTCTCCGGTAAAATCTCTGCAAATAGTGCCTCCCACAGATGTATTATTGTGCCTCCCGCCATCACTGGGACAGTAACGTGTTGGAGAAGACTTTGTCTGGTGTTAGACGAGAGAGAGAGCGGGGGAGATGAGAGAGAGAGAGAGAGCGGGGGAGATGAGAGAGAGAGAGAGAGCGGGGAAGATGAGAGAGAGAGAGAGAGCGGGGGAGATGAGAGAGAGAGAGAGCGGGGAAGACGAGAGAGACAGCGGGGGAGACGAGAGAGAGAGCGGGGAAGACGAGAGAGAGTGCGGGGAAGACGAGAGAGAGTGCGGGGAAGACGAGAGAGAGTGCGGGGAAGACGAGAGAGTGCGGGGGAGACGAGAGAGAGTGCGGGGGAGACGAGAGAGAGTGCGGGGGAGACTAGAGAGAGAACAGGGAAGACAAAAGAGAGCAGGGGAGGAACATTTTATGAAAATTCTAAAATCCACAATTTCCAACGACATATGACGTCATAATATGCTAATTGGATGGGTACACTTATTCCCTACATAAAACTTTTGGCCATCCTTAATAATTCTGTAATTTACAGAGTGTCTTTATCTTCTATCACTTTTAAGTTACAGCCTTTAGAAATAAAAATTTCAAACGTTTTTGAGTATGCACTCAACGTACAATTACCCTAAAAATGACTTAATTACACAAACACGTCTTGTCTGTAATTGCTCTTTGGGTTAAACAACAATACCTGTTTTTGTGCACTTTGCTTTATACTGCATAGCATACATTTGTATGTTTCTTTGTGTTGATCCAAGGCCACGTTTTTAACAACAGGATAGAAACTAAAAATGCTTTTTTATCCAATTAATTGAAGAAATAATCGACAGATTAATCGATTATTAAAATAATCGTTTGTTGCAGCTCTAATGACAACGCATATGTTCACAAGTACACAGTCCCCCCCATTGTCAAACCTGGTTTTAAGTCGAGGTGTAGCTCCTGTTTTGGCTGTTTACAGTATGTTCAGTCTGCTCAGACCACCAATGTACCCGTGATCACTTTGCGGCTCTCTGATTGGTCGCTGCACGAACGTCCCGAGGAGAGGTTGAGCAAAGTTTATCTCCTGTGTGCGTCGAATTTCCGCTCGTGCTCCTCCCCGTCGACTTTCCCGCGCAGTCCGTGCGTCTCTACTGTGCAGTTCGTTTGTGCGTCCCGAGACGTTCGTGCGTTTTGACGCTCGAACGCACGTCACCATTGACTTTGCATTGAAAGCCGACTCAACGCATGATCTGGTCTGAAAGCACCATTAGGGGGGCCAGGCAGAAAATAATTGAGAAGCACTGGGTTTATCTAATCCCTAATGGGAGGCTAATCTAATCCTCCGACAGCCTTGGGGATATTATTTGTTTGAAATTTGTTTACTCAAAACAATACAAATATAAAGTAACTTTGTATCTCGCTTTCGCATATTAAAGCTATTTAGAAGCTTAATGACATCGAATGGTACAAATGCTCAACTGATCTGACCATTCACTGGCTCACACTTACAGGTGGGTGATGTAGTACATGACAGCCCAGCCTTCGATGGGGTGGCCCTCTGTGTTGATGAAGTGGTAGTTAATCTGAAACAGGGAAACAAATTCAATCTAGTGAATCTACCATAATAACAGCATGTCCAGCGCAGAGGAGAGAGCGAGTAACAACACCAATAGGGGTGTACAAATAAAGAAGAAAAAGAATAAACATTTTAAAAGTAGATACGATGTTTTTATTTATAGGTTTTTTTCAATATCTTAAATGTATTTGAAATATGAAATTTGATATTCGAATATTCAAAATGTATTTAATGACTGCAAATAAAATTTCTATCTCCCAAAGGTTTCGCCGTGACGTGCTAGGCAGGTAACAGCTAAGCTAGCTAGTTCAAAAACTCTCTGGAACTACATGTAAACTGAACAAAGAATTCTGAACATCAGCGGTGAGTTACCCATTTATATACCAAACCTAAATCCATAATCACATCCTCTTCAAATGTGTCCTAAAATGTTCGTTTCATATTAATATTTACTTCCGGGTTTTTTGCGATCGCTTTTTGTCACATTAAAACAGTATTTTTGTCATGAAAACGTTAATAGATCATTCTGATTGGTATGTGTTCATTGAGCGTGGCTAGCTCGGCTAGCTTCTCTGCACAGACAGAAGTAGTGTCAGGCGCTGGAAGCTCGTTGTACTTGCGGAGTAATGTTAGTATTTTACACACCTCAATTACAAACAGATTGCGTTGCCAAAGGGCAGCGGTCATTATTGGTTTGAGAGTTATGTTATCAAGAAAACATGATCGGTAGAGCGTTTTGAAATTACATTCATATCAATGGAGTGTGCTACTGCTGCTGTGAGGAGCTATATAATAAATTATAATTAAATATTCCAAACTAGCAGTAATCTTTCAGTTATATAATTATATATTAGCATTGCGTTGCTTTTGTACCATTTCATCAGTGATTGATGTACAGCTTACAAGAAGTTGCGCCCGTAAATATGTAGGTTTCCTCTGGGTGCTCCGGGTTTCCCTACCACTAAAAACCTGTACAATAGATAAAATCTTCCAGCTGCTGTAGTCCTGACCAAGCAGAGCATCAACATTTGGTCCCCAGGCGCTGTATTATGGCGACCACTGATCCTGACGGAAGCCTTAGTGGCATCAGGGTGGGTCAAATGCAGAGGATGAATTTCCCTACAAGGATATTTAAAGTGAACCTTTACCTTTAAATTCCTAGTGTATAAAGCAGGTGTGCTTACACCTATAACTTTCATCATTTTGTTTGGAAAATTAATTACAAAAGAAGCTAGAATGAAAATGTTTCTCTCTTCAAAGAGAAATATGTTCTTCTGTCTTTAAATCTGCAGAAATGTCTGTATAAATGAATTTATACAATTTATATATATTGTTGCATAAAATACAATACTATAATCACCATTTATCATCAGTGATTTTATGTACTAACAATTACGTTGTTAGATATGTTTTTTGTAATGGACACAGACATAGGGACCGTCTGTCACAAGACAGAACCTGAAATGTCAAGAGTATAAATTGATGACAGTAGACAAAATAGGGAACATATGCTTCCTGTTTCTCCAAAGTGTTTTTCAGAAAAGTGATGATGTGGCGAAAAGGACTGAGACCAAGGTTCAGGACTTAAGACCAGGACCAGCATGGGCCAGCAGCAGTTAGAAAGAGTCCACGGGGTACAGAACAGGACTGTGTAGGACGGCAATAGGATCAAACTCTGATGCATGCGTGATGAGCCACGATGATCAGATGCAACTAACAGCAGAATGAAGCGTAATTAGCAGTTCTGTGCTTCTTTTTATTGATCTAGGGGTGCCACAGGGATCCCCTTTTATTCATCTTGTACAGTCTTATGAACTGAGGTCCAATAAGCTGTTGCTTACTGTGCCTTTTGTCCGCACAGAATTGGGAAAAAGAGCCTTAGTCCATGCAGCTCCTTGAGACTGGAAGCTGACCGAGCTTTTGAGCTTGAATACTTTTCAAATCAAGTTTTTGAGACGGACTACCTGTAATTATTTTACTTGATGTGTGTTGTCTGTGTACCTGTCATTTTTTATGTAATTTTATCTGTCTGTTATGTTTATGTGCAACATTGCTGCCTCTTGGCAAGGACTCCCTTGAAAAAGAGGTTCTTAATCTCAATGGGATTTTTACTGGTACAACAACAAAAAATTAGCAGCACTGGTGAGTGTTTGGCCGCATACTTTGGATTGTGGATGCGTGTGTGGCTTTTATTGTTGCTAAGTATTGCCTAAATAGGAGAATTAGACAACATTTACCTAAATTGGAATTATCTCCGGGACAAAACCTCTGGATCCAGTGTAATATTGATAAATAGTCATAGCCGTATCAGTGCATTTGTCTAAAAAGGAATTTGGTGATGTGTCGACAATAAGTTTGGATGAAAAGCTTATTATAAATTATGTCTGATTTGATCAGTTATTGTGTGTGACTTACACTGTGGAAGACCAGGGAGGTGGCTTTGGTGAAGGCCAATGCGGCCATCAGCCAGTGGATCTTAAACACGCTATATCTGCGGAGCACAATCATACAGACGTAAAAAATGTGTGTCGCTTGTTCACAATTAATTTTCCCACAAAAGAAATTCAGAGAGCTGCTCTCGAAAGCAGGCCTGTCGAACTATTACCCCCAGGAAAAGAATGGCAAATAAACTCGCAGTGAGAAGAACGTGCGGTCAGCCTGACCAGTGCCCGCCCTTGTGTCCATAGGCTGCTGTGCTCACCGGTGCTTCATGAGCGTATAGACCCACACCAGAGCTGCGGTGAAGAAAACTCCTGCCATTCCGATGTAGAGACGGGACAGAGGGATCTCTGCAGCAGACAAGTAGCCACCCGGGTTCTTCTCAGTCACCTCCACCTTCACACAGTGAACACAAACATAAAAATAATAATTGGGTCAGGCCAAATGAAAACTCATAAAGTTGAACTCTAAGGAGTTATGGGGTTTTGTGCAGCGGAAGAAGCAGGAGCAGGTCTATTGTCACTCAGAAAGAGCAGACTTTAATAATGTCTCAATCCCTGCTCAGTCTAAAAAAAAAAAACTAAAAAAAAACTGGTGGATTGTAATTGAAGACATGAACAATTAGAGGAAACATTGTTTATGATATGTATTTAAACTGTGCACTTTGCTTACACTGAGTGAATAGGGTTTTCCAGGCAGCGCCTTGGGGCAGTAGTGGAAGTTGAAGTTGTAGAGGCCCTGAGCCAGCGTGCCCACCTTCAAGTGGAACTGTGGATCACATACTCCAAATTATACCAAACGTAAAACACAGAAAATATCTTATCAACAGAGGAACCAAAGGAAGGACTCACGCTGAAGTTGTACGAGCTGTCCACTTTGCCCATAGCTATTGAGAACTGCTTTGTCTGTGAAAGCTGTGAGGAGAAAGAACAGTGAATATTGGGAGTTCATAAGGAGAAAATATGTTTTCATTGCCATCATGTAAAGGCAAGCTAAACTTACAGTAGAGGACATAACATGCCTCAGTTGGGTTCAGTGGGGCAACAAATATTTGGCAGTTACTGATTTTAAGATTAAGATAAGTTAAGATAGACTTTATTGATCTCACACAGGAGAAATGTATATTCACATCTGGTATGGATAGAATCACACAAGATTGTGCAAAAGAAAGTAATGCAATGAATAAATGCAAACATGTTAAATGCAGGATATAATACTGTATGTACAATAAAAAGTGGCAATTCAAAGTGGTAATCAAGAAACAGTGTCAATAGTAGTGCAGGTTTTTCAGTCCTAATGCAAGTGACTTATTGTACAGCTGTTTTTCAAGTTAATTTATTTGTATAAATGGCGCAAAAATTATACATTTGGCAAAATTCTACCCACTACTGTTTAATGTAACCATTGTTGGGAATGACAGAGGTCAAACATTTCTGACTTGTTTTCTAGTTTTTCTTGGAGATCTTCCCTAGTGATATTTTTGGGCTGTTGCAGGGCAGCACAGATTTTCTATTGGGTTGAGGTTTGGGGACTGGCTAGGTTAGTCCAGGACCTTGAAATGCTTCTTATGGAGCCACTCCTTTGTTGCTTGGGTATCGAGTTATTGTGTATACGATCCTTGTACTGGAAGACCCAGCCACGTTTCATCTTTTTGCCCAAATTTTCATATACATTTATCCTCTCCTGATTACGGATCTGTCGTTCCATTGTCGTTGCTGGTTCTGTGATGCTGACCAAGATAATTGTAACATGTATTTTGGTGTCATCTGACCCAAGATATTCTCACTGGCCTCACCTGGATCATCCATATAGTTAGTGGAAAGCTTTTGGCTGGCCTGGACATGAGCTAGCTTCAGCAGGGGTATCTTTTGCCGCTTATCCACAGTATCAGTACGGTACAGTACAGTACGCTTCAGCACGGTTATTTTGCGTTTCCACTAGTGGATGGTATGGGAGATTCGCGTACTTTTCCGTACTGCCTCAGCCTTGGTTCCATCCCCATAGTACCCGTGCCATGACGTGACGTTGGCCCACTGCCTTACACTGATTGGTCAACGAGTGTCGTCACTGGAAGCGACGTCTGACCCTTTGGGAAAAACAACTCAACCGCCATCTTTAAAACCGGCTGCTCTGCTCGGCTCTGCTTTGGCTACATTACGTCCTCCTCACTCCAGAGAAATGGAATTGCACAGAAAGCCCCAAAAGTCCTGGTCCTGGTCGGTGGACGAGGTCCACACGTTCCTCTCTTCAGGCCAAAGAAAGAATTCAAAGGCAGCTCGAGGCTCAACACAGTTTTCAGGGAGATCACCCAGCTCTGGATTTGTGACTAGTCTGTGGTAATCCTGGAAATAACTGGCTAGCTACGAATCCCGTTGGCCAAAGATCTCACTAAAATGTATTTACTGTGTACATGTTTGATGGTCTGTTGTACACAGTGAGCTAGCTACATTTAGCTTCATTTAGCTATTGATAGCAGCTAAGCTAACGTCCTTCCTGTGCTACTGTGCTTTATCTTGTATTATCTGCAGTATTCACGTGTTGTCATTCTGTTTTGTGCTTGTATTTAAGTTGTTGCGTGTATATTTGTAAGAGAATCCCTTTCCATAAGTGTGGAGATTACCAACGAACAAGGACTGACCGGAGTATTCTCCTCATCTGGACCTGGTCTGGACCTGGTCTCACACATACGTACTTTTGACTTTGTAAACTATTGGTTTTGCACTTTACTTTTGTTTTCAATAAATCTGTGATTGTATCAAGACTGTGTTTCATTAGGCCCGAGCCCCGAACGGGGTAAGGGCCTATTGCTTTCACAATGGTGAAAACAAATGGTGGCGGTGCGTGACGGACGCGTCAGCGCCCGTCACTATAATTATAATTATAATTATTATAATTATAATTATGTACAACAAAAGTACATAATTACAACCGTTGTACAACGGAAGTACAACAAAAGTACAACAAAAGTGACAAGTGTCAATTGGAAACAGTGTCAATAGTAGTGCAGGTTTTCACACAGTGATCATTTAAAGTGACTTATTGTACAGTCTGACAGCGGTGGGGATAAAGGCCCTGCGGTAGCGCTCCTTCCTACACTGAGGGTGTCTCAGTCTTCCACTGAAGGAGCTCCTCAGCTCCTCTACAGTCCTGTGCAGTGGGTGGGAGGTATTGTTCATGATGGAGGTGGCTTTGGCTAGCACCCTCATGTCCCTCACCTCCTCCACAGAGTCCAGGGAGCAGCCCAGAGTGGAGCTGGCCCTCCTGACCAGCTTGTTCAGTCTGTTTCTGTCCCGCTCTGTGCTGCCCGGGGCCCAGCACACGGCAGCGTAGTAAATGGCAGAAGCTACCACAGAGTCATAAAAAGTCCTGAGCAGAGGCCTGCTCACTCCGAAGGACCTCAGCCTCCTCAGAAGGAAGAGGCGACTTTGGCCCTTCTTGTGCAGGGCGTTTGTATTATGGGACCAGTCCAGTTTATTGTTAATGTGAACACCCAGGTACTTGAAGCTGTCCACCAGCTCAATGTCCTCCCCCTGGATGTTCAGCAGCGTTTGGGAAAGTGGTTTTCTCCTGAAGTCGATGACCATCTCCTTGGTCTTACTGGTGTTCAAGCACAAGTTGCGCTCACACCAGTCGAGAAAGTCCTTGATAACCGACCGATATTCCAGTTCGTTCCCCTCAGACACACAGCCCACAATGGCGGAGTCGTCGGAGAACTTCTGCAGGTGACAGCTGTGTCCATTGTTCAACTCTAGGGTTTAGGTCAGGTGAAAGTGAAATGTTTGAAATTGGCCCATTAGCGCCCCCTACAGACTGAAGCAAAGTTTACATTGGGAGCCAAACCAGCTCTACTTATCATATTCATTACAATTTGACTAACATTCTTCTATGGCTACGGGAACAAATCATCACACGGCGGTGCCACCTCCTTTGAGCGGTGCTGCGTGGTACGGTGTGGTGCGGGGCGGCTTGGTGCGGGGCGGCTTGGTGCGGGGCGGCTTGGTGCGGGGCGGCTTGGTGCGGGGCGGCTTGGTGCGGGGCGGTTTGGTGCGGGGCGGCGTGGTGCGGGGCGCCGTGGTGCGGGGCGCCGTGGTGCGGGGCGCCGTGGTGCGGGGCGGCGTGGTGCGGGGCGGCGTGGTGCAGGGCGGCGTGGTGCAGGGCGGCGTGGTGCAGGGCGGCGTGGTGCAGGGTGGCGTGGTGCAGGGCGGCGTGGTGCAGGGCGGCGTGGTGCAGGGTGGCTTGGCACGGAGTGGTGCGCGCGGTGCGGGGGGTGCGCGCGGTGCGGCGAGGGCCGTTCGACGCCGCTTGACGCCGCTTGCGGCTTTAATTCATATTATTATTGTAGCTGAGGTTTGGGTATTGATTGTTTGTCTGGTCTCGGAGTCTGCTGTAGCCTGGACCCGAGTCCGAACTAGCCTAGCCTAGCTTAGCCTAGCCTAGCCGCTAATTCGCTACCCCTATGGCTGCCGCTGTCTCTCCCTCGGTCCTTTACTGCTCGAGTTGCCATATGACAGGTTTAAACCCTGGATCCTCCGCTGATGGTAGTGATAGATGTGTTAAGTGTAGTACAATAGTAGCTTTGGAATCCAGGGTTAGTGAGTGAGCTGAGTCTCGAGCTAGCGCTAGCATTAGCCTAACAGTATCCTCGGACATGCAGCCCTCCTCCTCTGCTACACAGGCTGCTGTTGCTACAGGTATGTCCCATTCAGATTGTACAGAGCAGTCAGCACCATTGACTTCACAGTTTCCGAGTCATTCTTTTAAGACATAAGTATTTTCAAAAACTAATCGTGCTGTGTTGAATTTTCTATTAAACACTTGCTCTGATATTATAATAAATCCATGCACCGCACCAGTACTAGTTACGCGTCACACGTAAATGACGTGGTATGACAACGCTGAGGACATACTGGGGGTACTATTTTTGATGGAAAAGCACGCGAACTGGGCCGCGCCGCGTAGAGTCAAAACGTACCGTGCTAGGACTGTGGAAAAGCGGCATTTCATGCACTGTGTACAAAGAATACCATACCCACTGTGAAGCATGGAGTTGGAAACATGATGGGTTGGGGCAGCTTTTCTGCAAAGGAGATGGGACAACTGATCCTTTACAAAATGATGATAGAGGCCGTGCATAGTGAGAATTTGGGCAAAAAATCTTCCATTGGTGAATGGTGACAGCATTGAAGGAGTGGCTATTTAACCCATTGAGGCGGGAACGCATTCTCGCATTTCTACCTTTTTAGCCGGGAGCGCTGTTGCGTACTTCTATCTTTGAGACCGGGAAAGCGGACACGTCTGTTTATCTTTTTTGACCAATTCTCTTCACTGATCAATTCTCTTGACCAATGAAATACATCAGGATATACCATGGGTGAGAATTTTTGGGCGGATCCGCGAATTCCAACTTTTTCCCGCTGAAAGTAAGATTTCTGTGAAATGTGTCACGGCTGTTGTTTGTGTTGCGTACTCGAACGGGATTTACATCTTCCGTTCTGACCTCGGGAGCCGCTTTGTACCGACAACCTCTTTGACAGCAGCTCAGCAAATGCGTAGCCGTAACGTGGTAATGTACAGAGTGCGGACCGAAGTGAAGAAGGTCGTGGGTTCGAGCCCACCACAAGACTTTCTCCACCGGCTCCCACTGCTGTCGTTGTGTCCTTGGCAAGACACTTAACCTCTGGGAACACCTGCCACAGTGGGGCGGCTGCGGCTGTAAAGTGCCAAACTGCCGTTGTGTCCTTAGGCAAGACACTTCACCCCCATTGCCTAGAATGAGTCTGGTGTTTGTGTGAATGGTTGGTGGTGGTCGGAGATGCCGATGGCACATACTGGTTGCCTCGCTTCTGTCAGTGTGCCCCAGGGCAGCTGTGGCTACGTGTATGGAGTGAAAGAAAAATGACATGTAAAGCATCTTTGAGTGTCAAAAAAAGCGCTATATAAAACCGATGTATTAAACGCACCGACAGAACCATAAACACACGATCAGGACCATCCCCAGCTTGTTGCACGTGCAAGTTTTGCCCGTCTCCCCCATGTCTTTCCCGCGTCTCCTCACGAAGTGCAGCCAAAACTCACTGAATTAAAGCTGGGGTACCTAAAGTTTCGCTTGCATTGACAATGCATGTTATTTGTGCACAAAAGTAAAATGTTGTGCACCAAACAGTCTTGTTTTTTATTTTGCCTCCTTAAGAGCCCTGTGAGTCATTATTAGGCTTTTTTGGCTGAGTAGTTTTCTTCCACGTAGTTAGTGCCACTTTATTGCCAAACTCTTTTTGACACATTGTATTGAGAAACATGTGTTAGTCTCACATTATTTTTGGTTGTTTTATTATCTTTCCCGTGTGGAAATAGCATATTTTCTGTATTATTCTACTGAAGGGTTATAATAATACTCTCCATTCTTATTGGAAACCTCAGGTGTCAGCTCTCAAATTCTTTTGAAATTATGTTTCTATCTGTTACAGAGGCTGGGATAGACAGTAGAATTATAAAAGTTATATTATCATTTTAATTAATATTAAAGGCATTGTCTTTAAACTATCTGTGTTGTCAAGGATCACTGTGATTAAGGTGACTGCATGTTTTAAGGTCACTGGGTTACTTGCTAACTGTTGTCTTTAATGTTTGCATTGTTAATGGATGTCTATTTGTCACTAATTTTCCGGTTGTCAGCGGGAAATAAGACTGGAAACCTTTTTAGGCTAAAACGGTTGAACTGTGTCAACAATGATGACCATAGGCCATAGGGCCTAAATAATGGTTTAGGCCCTATGGAATCTTTGGAGTGACACCTACCATGTTGTAGGTGTTTTTGTCTAAATAAATTGGCCTGTAATAGAGTACAATGGAGTTTTTAGAAAGTTTTGATATTAACCCGCAGCACAGCAGAATGGGAAGATTAAAAAAGAAGTTCTCTGTGCGCAAAGGTGCCGGAGCTGTTGCAGGTTTGGGCGCCGCTGTCTCAACTCTGATCCAGTAGAACGCAGAGCTGCACTTACGAAAAGTACGTGGCTCGAAATGGCTGTTATTTCAAAGAACGTGGACTATTTTAAACTACGCGGTTAACCGGTTTCAACCGGTTAATGAGGCTCGGTGGTCGGTCATGAAAATTCATAGTTTTTTACATCCCTAATCACTAGACAACTACTTAATCAGCAAATGCCAATGGACTCTCCAAAACCGTTTATGCATCCTCCCATCCCTCTCCTTCATGCCTTTCTATTTCCAAAACAGGCTTCTAATGCCAGGGTTGAGGCATACTTGGTGGGAACGAGCTGAAAATGACCTCCACAGAAGTTCTGGTGTCCTGCGGGCTCTGGGACTTCTCTTTCATAGTCTCCTTCTCGGCAGGCTTCTCCGCAGGGTTCTCGGCAGGCTTCTCGGCAGGATTCTCGGCAGGATTCTCGGCAGGATTCTCGGCAGGATTCTCGGCAGGATTCTCGGCAGGATTCTCGGCAGGATTCTCGGCAGGATTCTCGGCAGGATTCTCGGCAGGCTTCTCGGCAGGCTTCTCGGCAGGCTTCTCGGTAGGCTTCTCGGTAGGCTTGTCTGGACTTTTTTGGGGGTCTGCGGGAGCCTGCCGTCTGGAACGCTTGTCTACAAAGGAAAGACAGGTCAAGTAGACTATTAGGCTCTGGAACTTCATGAAAACTGAACAAAGAATTCTGAACATCCGCGCTGATGTACTTATGTATATACTGAACCTATATCCATAATCAGATCCTCTGCAGATGTGTCCTACAATGTTCAATTCGTGACAATAGTAAGTAAGTAAGTAATCTTTATTTATATACCGCCTTTCACAGACCAGAGTCACAAAGCGGTTTACAATTGTTATTTTTGGGCACTTGTCTCTCACTCCACACAGAGATGGGAGCGGGGTCGCCGAACAGGAGGCGCATGCCAATCCTATTATACATATTTTTAGTGGTAGGGGAAACCGGAGTACCCGGAGGAAACCTACGCAGACACGGGGAGAACATGCAAACTCCACTCAGAGAGGCCCTGGTCCGGCCGGGATTCGAACCCAGGACCTTCTTGCTGAGAGGCGAGAGTGCTATCCACTCAACCACCATAAAAAATTACTTTTTTTCATGAAAACGTTAAAAAATAATTAGAGGTGCACCGATCGATTGGTAGCCGATTATAATCGGCCGATCACAGCTTAATTTGCGTGATCGGTGAAATGTGTCGATCACAAAGACCGATCAGATGACATGAGGATTCATGCGCACACGTTACGTTCTCTCGTCAAAACTGCGTAAACAAGCAACTCATGCAGCTATAAGTAATGGAGATTTTACAGCGGCAACAACCACTCAGTAATGACGTAAGAAAGAACACGAAATATGCACAAAAGTTATGGAATTTATTCCCCTCTGCCCCCAGCCCTTGTCTGTTTCGGAAAGCGCTGGCAGACATCAGTTCGGTTCAAACGACTCATGTCCTCTGCTTCAATCTGCCATCGCTGAGATATCTGACTGATGTCTGCCTGCCGCAGCTTTACCAAACTGTATATCCTCACATTGACACTCCAAGCCCAGCCAGAGTATGGATCTATTATAATAACGAGCCAGAGTCACACCGCGCAGACACCAAACACACTCAGCAGAGAGGCGCTGCAGTTACGCAGAAACACCCCGTGTCAGGACTTTGCATGTTGTGTTCACAGAAATGTTGAATTAAGATGAGTGTAGTGGTAGTACAGACAGTCCTACAGTGTCGCAGATTTAGCGTTACTTACTACGTAGTTGCGCATCGCAGCGGACAGCCGCTTGTTTATTGGAAGAAAAATAAAAGGCGCTTCCCTCCTTTGGCCAAAGCAGCGTCTTTCCTCTGCGCTCCATGTACAAGTGCAGACAATGAGAGTTTAGCGTAGCGGGACTATTCAGGATGATAAACGTAATAAACCCCTGCAAATGCTGAGATGCTAATATTACTGAAGAAAAAACATTGCCTTAACTATCTCTTTTTAATCAGTTTAGAAATGCAGCATAGACAGTATTGCTGTGTTTCATTGCATTTTTTTCATGTATCTCAATGCTCTGTAACGTATACTTGTGGTTTCCAACCTTTTTGAGTACCCCTAGGGCATTTTATTTATACTACCTAGTACCTTGATGGTTTTGAAAGATTAGTTATAAAGTGAATAACTAGTCCCTTAACTTTATCACTAATATTTTCAATATTTGATCGAATCGGCAATGATCGGTATCGGCCGATGAAAATTTTAATGATTGGTGATTGGCCAAAAAAATCCTTATCAGTGCACCTCTACAAATTATTCTGAAAACCTCCGTGCATGTGTATTAATAATGTATATGTATAATGTGTTGTCTGATAAACATTTAAAAGTGTTACGGAAACTTAGGCGTAAACCAATCAGAAAGGAAGGGGGAGGGAGCTTGCGTCGTATTTTTCAAATCAAGTACCTCTCTCTCCAGACAATCACTTTATCTAGTGTGAGATTTCATAACACTTTGAAGCAACTTTTGTTAAAGTTAAACTCATCATTCTATCAATGTGCAGAAGCCAGTACTTTTCCCTTGTTTTGTCTATCTGAAGGCCAAGCTACATGGCACTGTGGCAGCTGCTGATTGGAGGTCTCCATGCCTCCGCTCTGTATACACTTGCATTCTGTTGTTCGTGTTGTTCGTGCTGTCTCTACCATCGACAATAAAACATGTCTTCTGTCTGAATTAAAGACGCGATCCCAGACATGTCATCTTCTTCACTAGGATTCAGCCAGCATCAATTATGCGCATGTGCTGATGCAAGGCGTACCTGTGTCCACTTTGTGCGCTGTCAGGATGTTGTCCTGGTCTCCCATCACTTTGACTTTGACTCTGGAACAGAAATAATACAGACAGAAGACATGAATTTCAACAGTTGGGTTCCAAATACAATTATCTTTCCTTTATTCAATTAATATACATTGAAAGCTTAATTCAATAACCAAGGTTGACAAGGGTCTTTTTGTGATTGGACTAAATGTTCATAGAATTCATTACAGTCTTAAAACTGAGAATAGAGAAGACTGACTGTTGCATACGGACGTCCACCAGGAACAGTATAAGCGGCTCGTTGTTTGTGGACTTTGTGGCCGTCAGAGGACAGGTCTCTGTTTCTTCAGCCTGAAATCAGTAGAAATACAGTCAAAGTAATAGATCAACCAATCAGAAAAAGACATACACACATTTCTTAAATTAAGGTTAACAGTGAGTATTTTTAACATTTCATGACCCTGAACAGTTCTGCATTTAATTCCTTCATACAATTGATGAAGGTAACAATGATATTTTTCATTCAAAAAAAGGACTACTTGCTTATAGTGAAATAGTTCAAATAAATTGCGTTGCATTTGTCTGTAGATCAAAGTTACTCACTGTGTAGGAGAGGACACCGCTCACACGAGATCTGGAGAGGCTAAAGCCCACCTGCAGAGAACACGTTTGCTTTGGTTATGGACCCTTCAAAAAAGGACACATTCAGCTGAATCTTTTTTTAAAGAATTTTTTTTGCCAGGTTCCAACATTATTCTACATGAAAAACTGCATATGTGATTCATGACCAAGAAAAGACTGTTGTCTTAATTCACATTTTGTAGACAGGAATGAATATCTACTGGCTCAAATTATTCGTTTAAACATGTACTTATAAAAAGTACAAATACCAGACGTTCCTGATGTTAGTGTCAGGAAGCTTAAAACAACGCTTTTGATGATGGACTACATAACACAAAAAAAGAAAGGAAAAAAGCACTTAGGTTGTTATCTTTTCTTTTTATTGGGATGTGGCTTGGACTACATGTTGCAGGAGAAGTGAAGAGGATGTGATTACCAGGTGGTCCACTTGCTGTTCTGTGAAACTCAGCGCCGTCAGATTCACGTCCAGAGTTCCATTGGCATAAAAACCAAATGTGTTGAGCTGGACTAAAAAGCGTGTTTCGTTCTACAAGACAAAAAACAAAAACAAAAATCTCTTTGTCAACCACCCACAGTAAGGCTGAATTTAGGTTAGTATGTGAACGCAAACGCAATGACAGTAATGTTCTTCAGCTTAAAGTGTTTAAAGCCTTAATATAAACCTTTTTAATGTAATTTTATTGTGAAGCACTTTGGCCGTCTTGAGTGTTGTAAAGGGCTCTAGAAATAAAATTGATTGATTGATATATTGTGATATAATTTATTTTAAGCTATATCGCCCAGCCCTACCAAAATCATACAATTATCAAAACTTGTTGTCAAACTTAACTACTACCACTAACCAAGCTCATTATTAGGATATTAGTCAACACAAAAACATATTAAAAAAAATGTGCTATTTGACAGACTGAAAGAGATAGCCTGAAGCTTTACGCCATAAAACACCAATGTTGCCACTTTACAGGTATAATAAACTCACTCAAACCCATACACACATGCCTAGGATACAATGGTTCATAATTTTCCAATAATAATTTAAAGCTGGGGTAACAAACTTTTTGAGTTACACAAATAACTCAAAACGACAAACATCCATCCATCCATCTTCTTCCCCTTAATCCATTTCTGGGTCGGGGGGGTGGCAGTCAGAGCTGCACCCAGTACACTAAGCACCAGCCCCCTCACTGATCCTCTGCAGGTGGTGAGTCCACAGGAGGACGGCTGCTCTGTCAGTGACAATACAGCCTTGATTTTTCAGCGGGGGGTTCAGGCAATGCAGGGTTAAGTGTCTTGCCCAAGGACACAACGACAGCAGTCATCAGTGGGAGTCGGTGGAGAAGGTCCCGTGGTGGGCTTGAACCCACGACCTTCAGGCTCAAAGGCCAGTGCTCTACCAACTGAGCTACTGTCGCCCTATGGTTCATAATTTTCCAATAATAATTTAAAGCTGGGGTAACAAACTTTTTGAGTTACACAAATAACTCAAAACGACAAACACTTGTTTTTAATGATCATGTAGTGGATTTATATAATTCACCCATGGAACTAGGGTTACCCTCACAGTTATGATGTGACTAGGGCTAGGGCATTTGAGAAAACAACTGATAGAACCAAATTGTGAAGGACACTCATAATAAACACTCTCAAAACAATGTTTAAAACTGACTGTTTTTTGTCATTTTAGAGGTATTTGCTATTTTTAGTTGTAGAAACTAGAAAGTCAAAAAGTCTGATGGACAAACATGCTGAAATACTAGCACTGCTATAGCCACTTTTATTGTGCATAATATATCTTGCACGGACTATATATTTAACCTTTTTAACCTTAACATGTATGCATAATCTGAGTGATTCTATTTATGCCAAATGTGACATGTAAATTTCTCCTTTGTGAGATCAATAAAGTTTATCTTGTCTTATCATTCTGCTGCATTGTACGCGCGTAACAATACAGATTTTGTTTCAATATGGACGTTTAGGGCAATAATAATCACTTGAAAATACATCGATGATTTAGATCAATGATCGTGCCAGACCTACATGGTGGGGCTGAACAGTGTTTGAACAGATGCTGAAATCGTCAACTAGTTCTAACATTCTTGTGTCAATGGACAAGTCACGCAAACAAATGCGCGTGATAAACGCCACGTTAGCTCAAGAGAGAAGACAGTAACGGGCTATTAGCATCCACCCACAGAGCTAGCGAGTTACCTTCAGTGTGAGCTTGTGTATTCGCGCCGTGCACTCCGACACCAGCACCAGCACTAGCAGCACCGTGGGAAGCCCCCAGCTCCTGCTCCGTGCTCTGGTCATTCCACTGTCCATTCCACTGTCCAGCACAGGGACACTCGATGCTCTCCTGCGATTAAGCTAATGCTAACGCCGAAGCTAATGCTAGCGGCGACAAGGAGCCAACCAGCGCACCCCCCAGGACCTGACGCCGGCTTCTCTGTGCGAGTGCAGTTGCGGGTTGTGTTCAGGATCTATGCTCGTGTTCTGTGGGGAAAGCAGGGGTAATGTTGATTTGTGCGTGCATGGCCCATGGAAGGCCTGACGGCTGCTTCGCTTCCTGGTACAGCAGAGCGGAGGTGGTGGTTGTCACAGGTTTGACTGAGGCAGCATCCGAATCATACAACACATCTTCTGCCTTACACTTTTCCTCCATTCCCATTTTCATTGACCTTGGTGAGATCGAATTTAATATCAGTTGCGTTAAATAATACATTGCAATGTTACCAACGGGACTTTGGCAAACCCACGTCATTCATGTCTTATACATTTTATCTATTTATTTTAAGGACAAGGAAAGATGAGAACGGGTGATTTTGGATGTAGTCTAACCCGAGAGGTCCTACCTTGTTTTTATTTGTCAAAAGTTCAACTACAGACCCGAAGCGGTGTTGACAAACTCGGAGTTGTAGTCATCTCAAACAAATCCTACCCGGTTAACTTCGGGTTAACCCGTTGCTTGAAGCTCTCTGATTGGACGACCTGCTTGAAAGTAATTCAGAATAATTCCACTTAACAGTGCTGTTCAGATCAAATATGATTTGTAAATCTTGACCCGTTATCTGGAGACACATATAACAAATGCAGATGTAATTTAAAATTAAGTTACTTGGTAGTTTTACATGAAAATTGGTAATATACTAGTAAAATCAAATTAACTTTAATTCTCACTCTTCAAAATAAGTAAAAAAAAAACAAAACAAAAAAAGATTCTTTATTGATCCCCGTAGGAGAAATTCAGATGTCCAGTAGCAGCAAAAACACATGCATTCATACAAGCAAAACAAAAAAATGTGCAACAGTACTTGAGGTCACATCAGCAGAGGTGGCGTAGCCTCTGGGCAGAGCAGGACAGGTCACAGCAGCAGAGGTGGTGTATTCGCTAGGTGGAGCAGGACGGGTCACAGCAGCAGAGGTAGCTGCTGGGTGGAGTAGCTGCTGGGTGGAGCAGGACGGGTCACAGCAGCACAGGTGGAGTAGCTGCTGGGTGGAGCAGGACGGGTCACAGCAGCAGAGGTGGAGTAGCTGCTGGATGGAGTAGCTGCTGGGTGGAGCAGGACGGGTCACAGCAGCACAGGTGGAGTAGCTGCTGGGTGGAGCAGGACGGGTCACAGCAGCACAGGTGGAGTAGCTGCTGGGTGGAGCAGGACGGGTCACAGCAGCAGAGGTGGAGTAGCTGCTGGATGGAGTAGCTGCTGGGTGGAGCAGGACGGGTCACAGCAGCACAGGTGGAGTAGCTGCTGGGTGGAGCAGGACGGGCCACAGCAGCACAGGTGGAGTAGCTGCTGGGTGGAGCAGGACGGGTCACAGCAGCACAGGTGGAGTAGCTGCTGGGTGGAGCAGGACGGGTCACAGCAGCAGAGGTGGAGTAGCTGCTGGGTGGAGCAGGACGGGTCACAGCAGCAGAGGTGGAGTAGCTGCTGGGTGGAGCAGGACGGGTCACAGCAGCAGAGGTGGAGTAGCTGCTGGGTGGTTTATGAATAACATCACGTTAGCCTGTGACCCAGTTATTATCAAAATAGATTAAATGCACAGACGTGAGGTTTAGCATATAGCATAGCTAGGCTAAATTGGGACATTCTAGCTATAGGTCAAGTCTATGATAACAATTCTAATCAATTGTGGTTAACATGTGTTTTCATTTGGAGCCACTGTAATGAGTACAGAGGACTATCACAGGACTTTGTGGCCTGGTGTTAGCGGAACCACCTCCACATCAACGCAGGGAACACCAATGAGATGGTGGTGGATTTTCACAGGCGTAACTCACTTTATTGTATTTGTGAACATGCATGGAACCAACATTGAGAGAGTGGACTTGTAGAAGTACCTGGGTGTTGATTTGACTCACAAACTGGACTGACACATAATGCAGACGCCCTCTTCAAGATGGGCTCTACCTGCTAGGCTGCAGGGGCCAGTCCTAAAAACCTTCTATGACTCTAGTGGCATCAGCTATCTTATACGACTTGGTCTGCTTGGACAAACTAACATCTATACTGGATTATGGATCTGTTCCACCTCCTTCAATCCTCCGGACTATCTGTTTTTATTTCTGGTCCAATCCAGACTGTAAACAGAGGTGACTGCCTCTACAGTCGTGTTGTGGCGCTGCATGTGTGGCTTCAGGCTACATGCAGCTCTTTTAACTTTGTCTTTGTGAATAACTTTGCCCTTTTCTGGAAACGTTACGAAGCCTATCGTCCAGACGGATTACACCCAAACAGATACGGTAGCAGCCTGTTGATGGATTACATACGTTATGTTGTTCAGCGTTCCCCGAGGGGGGCGTGACTGTTTACATCTGAGCCCCCTCGGACCCCACCGCACTCCCCCGCCTCCTGCTCACCAGCACCGGGTGAGTACAACGGTGCAAACACTGCTCCCTGTCCGTCTGGCAGTGCATTACCAGTCCAAACACTGAACTGTGCTGACTCCCTTCTGACTCTGGGAGCTAAAGAACAACAAGGGTTTTCACATTTTAGGCCAATTGAGACTGTGTGTGTTCCTCGCACCAGCTCAAAAATGTTTTTAAATTCTAAAAAACGAAATCAAAACAGGACAGCAGTTAGACGGTCCAACTCTGCAAATCTAATTTCTGTTCCCTGTAGAAATCAATCAACCACATTAATCGACTCTGACGTTATTTTTAAACTTGCTATGCTTAATGTCAGATCTCTATGTAACAAATCATTTTTAATTAATAATTTTATCACTTCTTATGATCTTGATTTTATGCTTATGGCTGAAACATGGCTGGACCAAAATACAGGAAATGCAGTTCTAATAGAAGCAACACCACCCAATTTTAAATTCGAATCCGAAATACGAGAAAACAAAAGGGGGGGAGGCATAGCTGCAGTTTTTAGAGAGCACTTTGTCTCCCATAGAATGCCCCTTGGAAATTTTTCATCGTTTGAGTATATTTCTTTTAAAATGGAACAAAAGCAATCTTCTACTCTTTTCATTGTCCTGTACAGGCCACCACAGTCATGTTGCGATTTTATTGACCATTTTACTGAACTACTTTCATTCGTGTGCACAGATTTTGATAGTTTAGTTATTACAGGTGATTTTAATGTACATGTTGATAATGTTGATGACAGAAATGCAAAGGAGCTGGCTTCTGTATTTGAGACCTTTGGTTTCATTCAGCACGTGAGTGGCCCCACCCACAGCAGGGGGCACACTCTTGACCTGCTAATTACAAAGGGGGTTAATGTATCAAATGTTAATGTAGTTGATGTTGCTTTGTCAGATCATTTCTGTGTATTTTTTGACATGTGTTTTGCTAGCAAACCACCAGCTGAATTTACAACTGTTAGAAGAAGACACATACATGAAAACACAAGTGAACTGTTCATGGGAATGCTAAATTTTGAGAAAACTCCATGCTCTACTGTTGATGAATTGTATAACTCTGTCACCACCAGTGTTCTGACTGTTCTGGACGCCATTGCTCCTGTGACGGTTAAAATAGTTACCAGTAAGAAAAAGGCCCCATGGACTAAGGCAGACTCGGTTAGGGCACAGAAGCAAGAGTGCCGGAGGGCCGAACGGAAGTGGCGAAAGTCCAATTTCCAGGGCGATTATGAAATCTTTAAAGATGAGTTGGGTGAATTTAACCGGGTTCTACGTAGAACAAGAGAAATGTATTTTTCTGACATTATTGGAGGTTGCAGTAACAATTTTCGTGTTATGTTTTCAACAGTTGGTAGATTAACGAACCCCCCTGTAAAGTTGCCCCTAGAATTTTCCTCTAAATCTAGGTGTAATGAGTTCGCACAGTTTTTCGATGACAAAGTACAAGGAATCAAAAACACTATCACCTCCACAGCACGTATAACAATGCAACAGCCAGAGAAGCTTTCTGAGCTAACTCACTTTGCACCTGTGGATACTGAAACTGTCAAAAAGATAATCATGAGTCTGAGCTCCTCCACATGTAGCCTGGATATATTGCCCTCTAAATTTCTGAAGTCCGTCCTGAGCAGTTTGTTACCTTCACTGACACAAATAGTAAACATGTCTCTGTCGTCAGGAACATTTCCTATGGCCCTAAAAACAGCAGTCATAAGACCTCTCCTAAAAAAGAGCAGTCTGGATCCTGCGGGACTTCAAAATTATCGCCCCATATCGAATCTGCCATTTATTGGAAAAATTCTTGAAAAAGTGGCCTCCCAACAACTTACTGAATTTTTAACAATGAATAATTCTTTTGATATGTTCCAGTCTGGGTTTAGACCCCACCACAGCACTGAGACCGCTCTAGTGAAGGTAACAAACGACATTCGACTTCACACTGATGCAGGTAAAGTCACAGTTTTGGTCATGTTAGATCTTAGTGCCGCGTTCGACACTGTCGACCATGAGATCCTCATGCAGAGACTGGAGGACTGGGCTGGTGTCACTGGCACAGCCCTAGACTGGTTTAGGTCTTACCTGGAGGATAGGAAGTACTCTGTGGAGATTGGAGACTGCGTCTCAGATGATGTGGCCCTGACCTGTGGTGTACCACAGGGGTCGATCCTGGGACCTCTCCTATTTAATCTCTACATGCTGCCGTTAGGTCAGTTAATACAAAGAAACAAAGTGTCCTACCACAATTACGCTGACGACACTCAGATCTATGTCTCACTGACTGCAGGAGAACATGGACCACTGGATTTGCTCCTTCACTGTATCCAACAGATCAGTGACTGGATGCAAAATAATTTCCTCCAGCTAAATACAGACAAAACCGAAATCATTGTCTTTGGTCCCCAGAAACAAAGAGAGGGCGTCATTTGTCAACTTCAGTCTCTCTCCCTACTTCCTTCAGACAAGGTCAGAAATTTGGGGGTAATACTGGACTCAGACCTAAATTTCAATAGCCACATAAAATCAATAACATCAACAGCTTTTTACCATCTGAAGAACATTGCCAAAGTTAGAAATATAGTGTCCAGGGCAGACTTGGAGATTCTTGTCCATGCATTTGTCTCCAGCAGGCTAGACTACTGCAATGGCCTGCTTACAGGTCTGTCCAAACAGACCTGTAAGCAGCTGCAGTACATCCAAAATGCAGCAGCTAGAGTCCTGACAGGAACCAGGAAGTATGACCATATTAGTCCGGTCCTCAGGTCTCTGCACTGGCTTCCTGTGGCTCAAAGAATAGATTTTAAAACGGCTCTGCTTGTGTACAAGTCTCTCCATGGCCTTGCACCAGAATACATTAGTGACATGTTGGTGTCATATGAACCAGCCCGGACTCTGAGGAGCACAGGGACTGGCCTCCTGCTGGTGCCCAGAGTGAGAACCAAACATGGGGAGGCTGCGTTTCAGATCCATGCAGCTAAGATCTGGAACAATCTCCCTGAAAATGTGCGTCTACTCTGTCAATGTTCAAATCCAGGTTAAAGAATGTTCTGTTTGCCTGTGCATACAACTGAAGGATTTTATCTCCATTTTTAATGCACTGCTGTCATTTATTTATTTTTTTAAATTTCTTGTGTAATTTTGAAAGTTTTAATGGTTTTATTCTTTTGTTACTCGTGATTTTAATGTTTTAATTGTGTTTTAATCTTTTGTGTGATTTTAATGTTTTAATTGTGATTCTGGTGTTTGTTTTATGTGATGATTTGTGATGTGGACTGTGAAGCGCTTTGTGTTGCCATGTGTATGAAAGGCGCTCTACAAATAAACTTTGATTGATTGATTGATTGATACTGGACCATGACTGTCACCGCCTGCAGGATACTCTCTGCTCTGGAGAGCAGTTTCAGTGACAGACTGATCCACCCTGGCTGTGTGAAGGAGAAGTTCCGTAAGTCTTTTCCTCCTGCTGCTGTCAGACTGTACAAAGAATGATGAGGACTTATGAACACTGCCGACCTGGCATGCATCTGTGCAATAAGTAAGGGATAATGTATATTACGCAGGTCATTATCGGAAAATAAGTACCGACAGGGCGAAGCGTACTACTGCTGCTGTGAGGAGCTGTGTAATATTTGAAATGATATAATGTGCAATTTGGGACCATGTGTGTCAAAAAAGATTAGATAAGATAGACTTTATTGATCTCACACAGGAGAAATTTACACAAATGTAATTCTACTTTGTCACTTTTAGCCCAAAACCTCAAGCTGCTTACTTCAGGGGCCTCCAACCTGTAGCTCGGGATGCCACCAGTTGCTTGCCAACCCATTTTTAGGTTACTGTAGCTCTCATAAGGATTTAGAGTTTAACACATGATCCTGAATGATTATTATTTTGAGTCATTACACGTCTATTTTAAGTATAAATGTAGGGTTATACAGTATTATAGTATATGTTACATCTGTGTACTCCTTGTTTTGTCAAAGTTAATATATAGACGTTTATTTACGACTACAAAAGCCAGTAGTTCTCTATCATCTGTTGAATAAAAGTAGAAAGGCTTACTTGTACAGTAATAACATCCTGCATGTGATGGGGAGGGGGAAAATTTTATTTGTGTGGAGGATGAGGGGATTGGATGGATAGAGATGAGAGAGATTATTATTATTTTTGGTTGGTGATTTGTTGTGGGGTGGTGTGTGTACATAAAAGAGAGGGTGGGGAGGGGGGGGTAATTTGTATTGGTGGGAGGGGGGGGGAGGGATGGGTATGGTTTTGGTGGGGAGAATGGATAGGTAGGGTAGTATGGGCGTTGTGATTTGAGTTGGGGAATGGGGAGAAGGATGATGTTATGTTGAGTGGGGAAGGATAGTTGGGGGGTGGTATAGGGGATGGGGTGGTTATAAGTTGGGATATGGGTTGTGGTTTGTGTTGAAATGGGAGTAAACGGGGGGTTAGAATTTGGATGAATAAGGTGAGTGTAGATGGAGAATTGAGAATATTGGTAGGAATGAAGAATGGTTTAAGTTTAATGAAGTGAGGGGGGGAATGGGGTATAATTAAATGGAAGAATGAGAGATGGTTTAGATGGGATATGGGAGTTAGAATAGTTTGAGTTATGATAATTTAGGGGTATGGGTAAGGATGATGGGGTTGGATGGGAGGGGGGGTAAGGATGTGTGGAGGAGATGGAGGGGGGGGGAGTTTAAATGTAGTTATGTGATTTTTTGGTGAGGGGGTTTTTGGATGGTTGGGGGGGGGGGTAATTGGGGGATTGGGGAATTTGGTTGGGATTGGATGTGGGGGATGTTTGGGGGTTGGGAAATGTGAATGTTAGGATAGGGGGGTGGTTGGGAGGTGTATAGGGGGTATTGTGGTTTGGGAAGTATATGGTTATGGGTAGTGGGGGATGTTGGGTATTTAGAGATGAGTAGGATGTTTGGGGTTTGGTTGTGTGGAATAGTATGGGGGGGGGTTAGATTTGATGTGGTGAGGGGGGGTTTGGGATGTGATTATGGATTTGGTGGTGGGAGAGTTTTAGGTGAGATTGGTTTTTTGTGGTGTTGTGGGGGGTTAGATTGTGGTTGGGGGGGGTATGGGGGGATGGGTTGGGAGTTATTTTTTAGGGGGGAGTTGTTGGTTTAAGTTGGGTTTTTTGGGAGTGGATTAGGGTATGGGGGGGGGGGTGAGTAAATTACGGGGGGTTTATTTTATTGTTTGGGGTTGTTTAAGATGTTGGATTTTTGTAATGGGGACAGGGGAGGTAGTGTAAAGGTTTGATAATGAGATGAGGGTTTTGGTGGGATTGTTGAGAAAGGTTATGGGGTAGGGAAATAGGAAGGAAAAGAAATTGAGGAGGAGTGGGGGAAAAGGGTAATGGAGGGAAGGTGAAGGAAGGGGGAGATTGGGGTTAGTGGGTTTAAGGTTTGATGGGGAGAATATTTATGGAAGTTATAGGGGGTGTATGTGTGTATTGGATATTATGTGTGATGTGGGGTGATTTTGGGTTTGGAATTGGTTATGGATAGGGGGGGGGGGGATGGTGGGGGGAAGGAGGAGTTATTGGGGGGTTGATTGGTGGGGGAGTGATTTATATGGGGGGATTTTTTGTATATTTTGAGGTTTTTTTTATGATTAGTAGGGTTATGGGGGTGTATGGTTAAAAAGGGGTTGGTGGATATTGTGGGGGGAAAGAGAGTGGGGGAATAGATAGGGTTGTTTAATTTGAGATTGTTATTTAAATAGAAGGAATGGGAGGGATGTTATGGTGATTATGGTATGGTTTGGATAAGGTTGTTAGTTTAGTGATTTTGAGGATAGATTGTTTGGTGGATGTTTTGGGAATTGTTTTGATTTATGTAGGGGGGAAGGTTTTATTGTTATTGTGTTTTGGGAGGGGGGGGGGGGGAATAGGTTTTTTGATTAGATTTTTGTTTTTTGGATTATGAGTGGGTTATTTGGGAGAGAGTATTTTAGGATGGGAGTGGGTAGAAAAAAGGGGGGGGGAGGTGGAGGTGGAGTTGGGGTTTTGGGGGGGAGAGTGGTTGTTAGGATGGAAGGTGGGGGGGGGGAATAAGGGGATGATTGTTATGTTTTGATTGTGATGTTTTTGATGTTTGTGTTGGAAAGAAGGAAGAAGGAGGGAGATTGTAGGGGAGGTGGAAGAGAAGGAGGAGGGTTAAAGGGAGTGATGAAGGGGGGGTGGGGGGGAAGTGGGGGGGGGGAATGTATTAGGGTGATTGTTTGGGGGTGGTTAGGATAAGTTGATTGGGTGGAGTGAGGGGATTATAGTTGAGAGGAGGGTTATGGAAATAGTAGGATATTAGGGGGGGTAGAGGGTATAGGTTATTGGGATAAAATGATAGGGGGGAAGTAAAGGGTAATGGTTTTGAAGGTTTATTGTGTGGGATGGGGGGGGGGGTTGTAAAGGGGGGGTAGAGAGGAGTAATATTTGGATTTGGGGGAGGGTGATGTGGAGAGTAAGTGTTTTTTTTGGGGGGGGTGTGGGGGGTTTTGGTGGTTTATTGTATGGGGGGGGGTTAAGGGGGGTGGATTTGGTGGGGTGGGTTTGGGTTATTTTGTGTTGTGTGGTTTGGTGGTGGTTTGTGTGGGGGTGGTGGGTGGGGAGATTGGTGTTTGAGTGGTATATGGGGGGGGGTTTTGGGTTGATTTGGTTGGGAGTTGGGGTGGGGGGGGTTGTGGATGGGGGGTTGAGTGTAGTGGTTTGGTGGGGTAAGAGGTTTGGGGTGGGGGTGAGAATGGTGGGGGGGGAGTTGAAGTGTAGGTGAGATTTGGTAGAGAAGATTGATGTTGTTTGAGGGAGAGTATTTTTGGGATATAGAGGATGAGGATGGGGGGGTAAAGAGAAAAAAAGAAGAAGAGGAGAGAAAGAAAAGAAAAGAAGTAGGGGGGGGAAGTAGAAAAAAGAAGTAAAAAAAAAAGAGTATAATATGGTAAATGAAGTGGGGAGATGAAAGGTTTTTTGAAGGGGGGGTGTATTATATTGGGGGGGAGTGAATTAGGGAGGGGGGTAAGGTTGGGTGGGAGAAGGAGGGGAGGGGAGGATATATTGAAAGATTTGGGATTGGGGATAAGAAGGAGGATTGGATTGGGAATTGGGTTGTTAGGGGGGTAGATAAGATTGTTTTGGTGGAGGTGGAGGTGGAGTGGAGTTGGTGTTTTTGGTTGGTTTTTGGGTGGGGGGTATGTTTGAGGGGGTATGGTTATGTATTGGGTTTGTTAAATGTGGATGGTTGGGGGTGGTGGAGTATTTATGGTTTGTTTGGGGGGGGGATTGGGGGGGGTAAGAGTTTGGAGTAAGGGGGGGTGGGAGGGGGTTGGGTGTTAGGGGGGGAGAGGGGGATGTTTATATTTGATAGATGGGGGGGTAGGTTGGTTTTAGTGGGGGGGGAGGTAGAAAGGTTATGTTGTGATTTATGGGATGGGGGTAGGTTGATAGTTTTTTTTGTATGGGGGGGGATATGGGGGAGATAATGAGGGTTTTGAGGGAGGGAAGTAGTATTGGTTTATGATAAATAAAGAGTTAAGTTATTATGTAATGGGTGGAATGATTTTAAGTTAGTGAGGGGGGGGGTTGAAGGAGGGGTAGTGTGAGGAGGTTAGGGAATGTTTTGATTTGGGGCGATATTTGTATTTGGGTTTTGTGAGGATGGGTAAGTGAAATGTTATAGAATATTATTATAGGGTTGGTGGATAAAGAGGAGTTATGAGGTGGGGGTAATTTTTGTTTTTATGGTATTAAGGTGTAGTTGGTGGGGTTATGTGAATGTTTTGGGGGGGAGGTGGGGTAGGAGGGTAGGGAGGTGGGGATGTAGGTTGGAAATATATAGGAGTAAGGGTTTAGTGATATTAGGGTTATTTGGTAGGTGGTATGAGGATATGGTAGTAGTTGTAAGTGTATGGAGGTTTGTTAGTAGGGGGGAGATAGTGGGGTGAGAATTGTTGATGTGGGGGGAGGGGAAGTTTGGGGTAGGGTAAGAAGAGGTGTTGTGAGAGGGGTAGTTATAGGGGGATAATTGATGTAAATGAGAAGAGGGTTATATGGTTGGGGTGTGAGGGGGGGGAGTAGAGATAGTTTGATAAAAGAGGGGGGAGAGGTAGGAGGGGTAGGGGGGTGAGGGAGAGGGGAAGGGGAGGGAGTTAAGGGGTGGGTAGGGGGTTGTGAGAATAAAATGAGGTGAGAGGATAGGGGGATTTGGTTTGGGTTTATATTATGGGAGGGGGGGGGTATGGTGAGGAGAAGTGGTAGTGGTTGGGTGTAGGGGGAAGATGGTGTAGGGGGTGATGATGTTGTTGTTAGGTTGGGGTATGTGGTGTGGTGGTTGGGTTGTAGTGGTTGTTGGTTGTTGTTTTTTTTTTTGGTTGGGTTGTTGTTGGTTTTGAGGGGGGTTTTTAGATGGTGGGTTTATTGATTTAGTATGAGTGAATTTTGGTGGGTTTTTGGTGTTTTGTTGGGTGTTAAGTGGAGGTTTGAATATTGGATTGTTGGGGGGGTATAGTTTGGGGGAGAGGGTGTAAGAGGGATGTTAGTTTTGGAGGGGAGGTGGTGGGATTGGATTGAAGAGATTGGGTCAGGAATTGTTGTTGGTAGGGAATGTATAATGTATGAGTCAGGTACATAATAGTGTGCAACTCTTTTAACCGTTTAGCCTTATTTGTGAGATTCAAGCTAATTAGTGTGGGACAAGTTAGCTAACTCTACTTGATATCATAAAACATGCTAACAAGGCTAATATTCGTTTTTACATTATGCCAGTCTCACTTTGGTTGCCTTAGATTTATTTACCACAATGTTATACATTGTAATATCCATAAATTCTAACACCTATTAACGGTTTATTTAGCATTTTTATCAATGTTTGCATCACATGTAGTCAATGTTTTTTTCAACTTCTGCAGCTTTTTTGTAAAGTAAAATATTTATTTAATTAAAGTTATTTTGATTAGCATTTTTGGATATTAAAATGTACATTGTGGTAAATAAATCTAAGGCAACCAAAGTGAGACTGGCATAATGTAAAAACAAATGCCTTGTTAACATGTTTTAGGATATCTTGATTTCAAGTAGCTAACTTGCCCAACACTAATTAGCTTGAATCTCACAAATAAGGCTAAAAGGTTAAAAAGTTGCACACTATTATGTACAAAACTGATGAAAATATGTTTGTACCTTGTTCAGATGACAGTGAAACCTCCAACAGATTCAGCCAGACTGCTGTCTGCTGCTGTGAGAGGTCATTCTCCTACGTCATCGCCGCCATTTTGGCGCCCCCTAGCGTTTCCATGCGGAAGTGAAAAAGTGCGACTTCAAAGCCGTTTTTTTTAAACATAATTAATCTGGACATGTCAAAATGACACCCAAAATATTATCTCAACGCAGGTGTGTCAAAGTAAGCAGTACTGCAGGGCTGCTCTGTGCACCTTTTTAGTAAACTTTTAACAACTTTTTAGCGCGTTTTTATTGTTCAGTTTTTTAATATATCTGAGTGTTTTATCTTTTTAATTCAGTGGTTTCAGCAAATAGCACTTAGTCCCGACTGAAACCCACTAGTAGCACAGAGGCTAACACAAGCTAACGAGGACATGGAAAGTGACAATGAAATTGGCTCAAACATGCACAATATTAGTCGCCTCACCTTGGAGCTCCGTGAGAGCGACCGTGCCACCATTGCAGATCTACGAAAAGAAGTCCTTCGTCTCACCGCAGAGTTGAATGAGAAACAATCTCTAGTGTCCAAACTTTTTGAAGTCGCTGGTGGGCAGCATTCACGGCTGATGTCACTGAGCGCTGCATATTGTGACACTGTCGTGTGGGAGAGATCCGTCAGCTCCGGACCCTCCTGTTCTACACCTAAGCGCCCGGTTCCGAAATAACGAGCCCGCGGATTCCGAGGAGCCATCCTGCGCCGTGGCCCATGTCCTGAGTCTGGCAAACCGCTATGCAGCCCTCTCCACCGACATCCCGGCCCCCTCAGCAGAACCCTGGACACTGCAGCAAACTCTACTGCTCGAGGATCCAAGTCCACTGCGAGGAAAACGCTCCTAAAGGAAGCAGTCCTCAGGCGAAAGAGCGGTCCACCAGCCATGTTGGCCTGTTCCCCTTCTTTGACCCCAGTGCAGCAGCCTCAGACTGGGGTAGCGAGCCATCATTACCACCGCTCACCTCCACCGGGTCAGCAGCAGCGTCCAGAGCCAGCCCCTCTCACCGCTCCAGCGTCCCCGAGCACACAGCGTGGGTCGCCTGTAGCTGAGAGTCAGCACCCCCGCTCCTCCTCTCCATGTGTTCAGCGGCGCTCAGGCTCCGGTCCTGCTTCGGGTGAACCCGCTGGTTCCGTCCACCGAGCTCCTTCTCCGAGGCCGCGTCCACGCCCCTCTTCGCCCCGACCACTCTGATTATTGGAGATTCCATTGTGAGACACGTCCGCTTCTTTAACGCGGTCACTCGCTGTATTCCCGGAGCTACTGTACCAGACCTGCTCATACGTCTCCCTCCTCTGCTTCAGTCCCTGCCTGATACCGTTTCCAAGGTAGTCGTGCATGTGGGAATTAACGACATGAAACTTCAGCAGTCAGAAGTCACTAAGAAACATTTTATGGATCTGTTCCACCTCCTTCAATCCTCCGGACTATCTGTTTTTATTTCTGGTCCAATCCCCGACTGTAAACAGAGGTGACTGCCTCTACAGTCGTGTTGTGGCGCTGCATGTGTGGCTTCAGGCTACATGCAGCTCTTTTAACTTTGTCTTTGTGAATAACTTTGCCCTTTTCTGGAAACGTTACGAAGCCTATCGTCCAGACGGATTACACCCAAACAGATACGGTAGCAGCCTGTTGATGGATTACATACGTTATGTTGTTCAGCGTTCCCCGAGGGGGGCGTGACTGTTTACATCTGAGCCCCCTCGGACCCCACCGCACTCCCCCGCCTCCTGCTCACCAGCACCGGGTGAGTACAACGGTGCAAACACTGCTCCCTGTCCGTCTGGCAGTGCATTACCAGTCCAAACACTGAACTGTGCTGACTCCCTTCTGACTCTGGGAGCTAAAGAACAACAAGGGTTTTCACATTTTAGGCCAATTGAGGACTGTGTGTGTTCCTCGCACCAGCTCAAAAATGTTTTTAAATTCTAAAAAACGAAATCAAAACAGGACAGCAGTTAGACGGTCCAACTCTGCAAATCTAATTTCTGTTCCCTGTAGAAATCAATCAACCACATTAATCGACTCTGACGTTATTTTTAAACTTGCTATGCTTAATGTCAGATCTCTATGTAACAAATCATTTTTAATTAATAATTTTATCACTTCTTATGATCTTGATTTTATGCTTATGGCTGAAACATGGCTGGACCAAAATACAGGAAATGCAGTTCTAATAGAAGCAACACCACCCAATTTTAAATTCGAATCCGAAATACGAGAAAACAAAAGGGGGGGAGGCATAGCTGCAGTTTTTAGAGAGCACTTTGTCTCCCATAGAATGCCCCTTGGAAATTTTTCATCGTTTGAGTATATTTCTTTTAAAATGGAACAAAAGCAATCTTCTACTCTTTTCATTGTCCTGTACAGGCCACCACAGTCATGTTGCGATTTTATTGACCATTTTACTGAACTACTTTCATTCGTGTGCACAGATTTTGATAGTTTAGTTATTACAGGTGATTTTAATGTACATGTTGATAATGTTGATGACAGAAATGCAAAGGAGCTGGCTTCTGTATTTGAGACCTTTGGTTTCATTCAGCACGTGAGTGGCCCCACCCACAGCAGGGGGCACACTCTTGACCTGCTAATTACAAAGGGGGTTAATGTATCAAATGTTAATGTAGTTGATGTTGCTTTGTCAGATCATTTCTGTGTATTTTTTGACATGTGTTTTGCTAGCAAACCACCAGCTGAATTTACAACTGTTAGAAGAAGACACATACATGAAAACACAAGTGAACTGTTCATGGGAATGCTAAATTTTGAGAAAACTCCATGCTCTACTGTTGATGAATTGTATAACTCTGTCACCACCAGTGTTCTGACTGTTCTGGACGCCATTGCTCCTGTGACGGTTAAAATAGTTACCAGTAAGAAAAAGGCCCCATGGACTAAGGCAGACTCGGTTAGGGCACAGAAGCAAGAGTGCCGGAGGGCCGAACGGAAGTGGCGAAAGTCCAATTTCCAGGGCGATTATGAAATCTTTAAAGATGAGTTGGGTGAATTTAACCGGGTTCTACGTAGAACAAGAGAAATGTATTTTTCTGACATTATTGGAGGTTGCAGTAACAATTTTCGTGTTATGTTTTCAACAGTTGGTAGATTAACGAACCCCCCTGTAAAGTTGCCCCTAGAATTTTCCTCTAAATCTAGGTGTAATGAGTTCGCACAGTTTTTCGATGACAAAGTACAAGGAATCAAAAACACTATCACCTCCACAGCACGTATAACAATGCAACAGCCAGAGAAGCTTTCTGAGCTAACTCACTTTGCACCTGTGGATACTGAAACTGTCAAAAAGATAATCATGAGTCTGAGCTCCTCCACATGTAGCCTGGATATATTGCCCTCTAAATTTCTGAAGTCCGTCCTGAGCAGTTTGTTACCTTCACTGACACAAATAGTAAACATGTCTCTGTCGTCAGGAACATTTCCTATGGCCCTAAAAACAGCAGTCATAAGACCTCTCCTAAAAAAGAGCAGTCTGGATCCTGCGGGACTTCAAAATTATCGCCCCATATCGAATCTGCCATTTATTGGAAAAATTCTTGAAAAAGTGGCCTCCCAACAACTTACTGAATTTTTAACAATGAATAATTCTTTTGATATGTTCCAGTCTGGGTTTAGACCCCACCACAGCACTGAGACCGCTCTAGTGAAGGTAACAAACGACATTCGACTTCACACTGATGCAGGTAAAGTCACAGTTTTGGTCATGTTAGATCTTAGTGCCGCGTTCGACACTGTCGACCATGAGATCCTCATGCAGAGACTGGAGGACTGGGCTGGTGTCACTGGCACAGCCCTAGACTGGTTTAGGTCTTACCTGGAGGATAGGAAGTACTCTGTGGAGATTGGAGACTGCGTCTCAGATGATGTGGCCCTGACCTGTGGTGTACCACAGGGGTCGATCCTGGGACCTCTCCTATTTAATCTCTACATGCTGCCGTTAGGTCAGTTAATACAAAGAAACAAAGTGTCCTACCACAATTACGCTGACGACACTCAGATCTATGTCTCACTGACTGCAGGAGAACATGGACCACTGGATTTGCTCCTTCACTGTATCCAACAGATCAGTGACTGGATGCAAAATAATTTCCTCCAGCTAAATACAGACAAAACCGAAATCATTGTCTTTGGTCCCCAGAAACAAAGAGAGGGCGTCATTTGTCAACTTCAGTCTCTCTCCCTACTTCCTTCAGACAAGGTCAGAAATTTGGGGGTAATACTGGACTCAGACCTAAATTTCAATAGCCACATAAAATCAATAACATCAACAGCTTTTTACCATCTGAAGAACATTGCCAAAGTTAGAAATATAGTGTCCAGGGCAGACTTGGAGATTCTTGTCCATGCATTTGTCTCCAGCAGGCTAGACTACTGCAATGGCCTGCTTACAGGTCTGTCCAAACAGACCTGTAAGCAGCTGCAGTACATCCAAAATGCAGCAGCTAGAGTCCTGACAGGAACCAGGAAGTATGACCATATTAGTCCGGTCCTCAGGTCTCTGCACTGGCTTCCTGTGGCTCAAAGAATAGATTTTAAAACGGCTCTGCTTGTGTACAAGTCTCTCCATGGCCTTGCACCAGAATACATTAGTGACATGTTGGTGTCATATGAACCAGCCCGGACTCTGAGGAGCACAGGGACTGGCCTCCTGCTGGTGCCCAGAGTGAGAACCAAACATGGGGAGGCTGCGTTTCAGATCCATGCAGCTAAGATCTGGAACAATCTCCCTGAAAATGTGAGGGAGGCGTCTACTCTGTCAATGTTCAAATCCAGGTTAAAGACTGTTCTGTTTGCCTGTGCATACAACTGAAGGATTTTATCTCCATTTTTAATGCACTGCTGTCATTTATTTATTTTTTTAAATTTCTTGTGTAATTTTGAAAGTTTTAATGGTTTTATTCTTTTGTGTGATTTTAATGTTTTAATTGTGTTTTAATCTTTTGTGTGATTTTAATGTTTTAATTGTGATTCTGGTGTTTGTTTTATGTGATGATTTGTGATGTGGACTGTGAAGCGCTTTGTGTTGCCATGTGTATGAAAGGCGCTCTACAAATAAACTTTGATTGATTGATTGATTGATACTGGACCATGACTGTCACCGCCTGCAGGATACTCTCTGCTCTGGAGAGCAGTTTCAGTGACAGACTGATCCACCCTGGCTGTGTGAAGGAGAAGTTCCGTAAGTCTTTTCCTCCTGCTGCTGTCAGACTGTACAAAGAATGATGAGGACTTATGAACACTGCCGACCTGGCATGCATCTGTGCAATAAGTAAGGGATAATGTATATTACGCAGGTCATTATCGGAAAATAAGTACCGACAGGGCGAAGCGTACTACTGCTGCTGTGAGGAGCTGTGTAATAATTTGAAATGATATAATGTGCAATTTGGGACCATGTGTGTCAAAAAAGATTAGATAAGATAGACTTTATTGATCTCACACAGGAGAAATTTACACAAATGTAATTCTACTTTGTCACTTTTAGCCCAAAACCTCAAGCTGCTTACTTCAGGGGCCTCCAACCTGTAGCTCGGGAGCCACCAGTTGCTTGCCAACCCATTTTAGGTACTGTAGCTCTCATAAGGATTTAGAGTTTAACACATGATCCTGAATGATTATATTTTGAGTCATTACACGTCTATTTTAAGTATAAATGTAGGGTTATACAGTATTATAGTATATGTTACATCTGTGTACTCCTTGTTTTGTCAAAGTTAATATATAGACGTTTATTACGACTACAAAAGCCAGTAGTTCTCTATCATCTGTTGAATAAAAGTAGAAAGGCTTACTTGTACAGTAATAACATCCTGCTAACATGTACAGTAGTTTTATCCTATACAGTCTATGCTGTGAACCTTTGAACCCTCAGAGCAAATTACTCACTACCCTAATATTATTGCACTAGAGTGTATTACAGATTTATCTGAGATTTTATTTTATTATTAAAGTGTAGAGTTGTGCTATTCTTACCATTCACTCATCTTGTGTTGTGTGCATCTCACTCCTGTGATGCAACACTTACATTTCCCCACCGTGGGACGAATAAAGGATATCTTTTCCATATAGAAGGCTCACACTCCAGTCCAGAGGGTGGCGGAATGTTCACACCAACATGTTGATTTTCTAAAGAAGACGTAGGCTTCATAGACATATGTATATGGCTCCAGTAGATCTCCCTTAAGACTTTATTGTAACCTGCCTGCACTGTGTCTAAAGACTTTAATATGGTTTCATCCTCGTGGAACTTCCCCGCAGTTATTTACGCTGGTGGCAGAGGACGAGCCGAGAAGAGCCCTGCTTTTTCCTGGGAGTTGGCTCTGAAGCTAACAGAAGCTAACAGAAGCTAACAGAAGCTAACAGAAGCTAACAGAAGCTAACAGAGCTGCGTGAGGCACAAACAGCCGTGTCTAAAGTCATAGAGCAGTGAAACATGGCAGAAGTGAAGCTGGAGCAGACCGAGCTGTGGTGCGTGTCCAAACACTATACTACTATTTCAATCACGGCACCTGAAGGCCTAATATATTCTCAAAATATTCGAAAATATTGTTTTCAACACACTGATTAATTTCATGGACAGTGCATATTAATGAACATATCTGTAATTAATTAGCCAAGAATTAAAAGATTGACAGTTACATAACAATAGAAATTAAAGCTGCAAGAGGCGATGAAAGCCCTGACCACTCTTGCCGCCTCTCCCATAAGCGGCATGTAGTGTACTTGCAGATTAATTCGCAGTCTGATCAGACCAGAATTACGCACGGAAAAGCTCATTATTAGGATTCAGTACGCTCTAGTGGTCACCTGTGGGACATGTACCCCATGTGTAATGTAATATTTTGCTTGTTGTAAATGGAAAATTGTCAAGAATTTTGAACTCCAATCTGTCCAGCTGGAGAAAGGTCATGGTAGAAATCTCTGAGATGAAAAACCTGAGGCTAGATCAAATTAAAAAACACAATTATGAAGTGGCTGTAGGTGTCGCTGTTGCACTCAAAGTTGTGTGTTGCGTATTCTTGTGTTCAGGGTCATACGCTGTATTTGTGAATTCATTTCTAGCCTTATTGTACAAACATTGAGCCTCATTCACAAACTGTTTTTAAGAACACATTTGTTTCAAAGTCCTCCTTACGTGGATTTTACGGAGATTGTGGCATTCAGTAAATTTTCTCTCATCCAGGATTTCTCTTAGGTAAGAACAAATCCTTGTGAACACTCAGGAGAACTCTTAAGCACATTTCAGTGCTGGCATGTTGGAATGCTGGTGTTGTCTTTTGTTAATTTCATTAAAATACAGCATCACAGTGATATGTCTGTCATATTGATGTATTTATGAGTGTATGTAAGTTATGAGTGCCCTCAACAGAAAAGTGCCCTCCATTAGGGGAGTGCACTTGTTGATATTCACCCTAAGAAATGTGACACTCATGGATCTAAGGGACACACCTATGTTTGCAAGTCGACGCAGCAAACGTGTTCTACGTCACAGACAACATCGACATGTCTGATTTCACGACAGATAAGATGGACTTTATGAAACAAAGTATTAAAGTGAAACGTTTTTAATTGTATTTCATATGAAGAAGATTAGCTATAATTAGGTTTCGGACTGATCCATATCACGCACACACATGTACGCACACAGACAGACACCCTGTCAACGCGATGCTCTGAACTACATCCATGCATGGATCTATATTAATAACATGCATCCACGTGTCTGAAGCCTCAGTGAACGTCACATGCTGCGGCCGCTTTGCAAACAAACATCACCACATATGGCACCAACACATGATTTAAAAAAACCTCTAAATTACTCGCACACACTTCGAAGCTTCCTCACATTCACCACAAATTTGTCCCCGGCTGTTTCATGTTGTTTTCTTTCATTGTGACGCGGCTTTGCTTGACAGCTACCTATCGTAATGCATCATGGGATCCCCCTTGCCAACAAGTGAACTCTAATTTCTCCAGACCCGGAGCACAGACAGAACACAGATTTTGTAATGTTTAATTACAGAATTTGTAAATGTTGTTTCAATGCATCCATGAGTGTTGTAAGAATTCATTCTTATACCAATGTTGATGTTTGTTTATTTCCAGTATGGCGTCCCCCCACCTCAAAGAGGAGTCAGAGCTGTGGGTCAAACAGGAGCCAGAGGAGTTTCCTTTTCACGTCATCACTGTGAAAATTGAAGATGATGAAGACAAGTCCTCTGTGCTTCAAAGACCAACTGAGGATAGTGAGGAGCACTCTGACAGCTCTGAAGACACTGACCACTCAAAAGACTACAGTCAAGAACAGCCTCCTGCTAAAAGCTACTCCAAGATTCCAGCTGACTCATGTGTTACAGTGGATAAACCCTTCAGCTGCTCAGACTGTGGGAAGCGCTTTAAGAGGAAACAATGTGTCAAGAGACACATGGTGGTTCACTCAGATGAGAGGCATCATAAATGTTCAGTTTGTGAGAAAAGGTTTAAGACAAGTAGAGATTTAGAGGTACACATGATGTTGCACTCTGTAGAGAGACCCTTCATCTGCTCAGATTGTGGGAAGAGATTTAAAACAAAGGGACATTTGACTAAGCACATGATTGTTCATTCAGATGAGAAACCTCATAAATGTTCATTTTGTGGGAATAAATACAAGATGCGCAAGAATTTAGTAGCGCACATGAAATTTCACATAGCAGAAAAACCATTCAGCTGTCCACAGTGTGAGAAGAGCTTTTTCTATCATTCACATTTAAAAACACACATGATGATTCACTCGGATGAGACTCCTCACAGCTGCTCAGTTTGTGGGAGAGGGTTTAGAGAGAAAAAATGTTTAAACAGACACATGTTGGTTCACTCAGATGAGAGGCCTCACAAATGTTCTGTCTGTCAGAAAAGGTTTAAGAGAAGTGCAGATTTAGAGGTGCATATTTTAAATCACTCAGCAGTCAGGCCTTTCAGCTGCTCAGACTGTGGAAAGAGGTTTAAATTAAAGTCACATTTAAGAACACACATGTCTGTTCACTCAGAAGAGAAACCTCATAGCTGCTCCGAGTGTGAGGAAAGCTTTAGATCAAAAGTGGAGCTGAACAGACACCTGGTGGTTCACTTTGGAAAGAAGCTGTACAAATGCACAGACTGTGAGAGGAGCTTTAAAACAAAGGCAACTTTTAAGCGACACATGTCAGCTCACTCACACAAGAGGATAACCTACATACTATCCAGTTAAGAAATAACAATAGAACTTATTAATATGATGGGGAACAATGGGGAAGATCCAGGACGCACTGGAGGGACTATGTGTTTAAGCTGTCCTGGGAAAGCCTTCAGGATTCCCATGGATGAACTGGAGGAAATGTATGTGGATCTGCTCAGGCTGCTGCTCCTGTGACCTGGCCATTGATAAAGCCCATATGGGATTGCCAAAGCCTTTTTGGCTGTTTGTGGCACAGGCTATGTGACATGGTGATCTATTGTGATCCCGGACTGAGTGCCGGAGAGAAGAAGTACATGAGCAGACTCTGTTTAAACTCTTAATACCTTCAACCTCCCTAGACCCAGGTGTTCACGAGGAGCTTGCAATATCACAAACATGCAGAAATGTAACTTAGAGAAGGCACAGAAACCTTCAATTTTGTTACAGTATGTTATTTTTAAATTACATCTACATATTCGATATGTGTCCACATGTAGAGTGGATTTATTCTAAAAACACAATTAACAATAATTCCCATAATCTAAACTGAACTAAGGATGTTTTAAAGCTGGTGTTCCTAATTTTAAAATAAAGATGTATATGTCCAATAGGGTGGCCCTTAAATATGAAAGTTGGTAATTCTAAGCTCCAACCCATGAAATTTGTTGGATTAACGAAAACTCTCCTCATGAATTTTTTTTCTCAATTGGACCACCTTTACCCCTCCCTCTGTGACCTTTAAATATTTCCCTCCGGCACCTTGAGGTACTCATTGTCTGAGAACAAATACAGCATATAACAATACAAATTTGATTATTTTTTTTAAGTTTATCATCAGAACTGATATCAAGCAATTTAAATCTACACATTTACATGTATGAAAAAGGACAAATATCAATGGTGATGGAAATTGTAAACATGCAAAAGTTCAAAACATCATTGTATGAGTAAGTAGTAAGTATGCTTAATTACTTACATTTCTGTTAGTTTTATGTGTAAAAACAAAATCCTCTAATAAAAAGCAATATTCCTGTCTATTGGCATCCATCTTAGATATTCTCTGTCTTCTGCTGAGGCACCATACCAGCAGCTATGGTCGTCTATTTGGAGTCTGGAAATGCTGTGCAATGATGAAAAACTGCAGTTTCTGCTATCTGCTGCACAAAAGCTGCTGCTTGTTTGTTCAGGGCTGCCTTGGCTAAGTCCAGGCTGGATGGAGTGTAGGGGTCGGCCATCATATTGGCTCAAACTGGCTCTGGTCAATGTGTTGCCAGCAATCTTGAAAACACTTAAACCGTGGCACGTTTGGACCATGACTGAAAGCCACAGTGAGGAGCAGTGCGAGGACAGAATGGTGGCAAAGTACAGGAGATCTTTCTGGAGCTGGCGAGAGTCAGGCTAGTTATCTTATGCATACTTAAAAAATATCTCTTTGGTTCAGTGAGGTTGGCCTTTTATTTTTCACTTTTTGTCTGAAATCAAGCAAATTGTTTGTTTTTCTCTTTCTTTCTTTTTTCTTTTGCGCTTAACTATATGTCTACCCGTGAACTTTCTATTTATTTCCTCCTCTGTTAAGTTTTTTATTTTATTTTATTACATTTCCTTGATGTACTGTATATCTTATCATTTAGTTACTACTCAACATGCCACATTCATGTTGTAACATAAACACAGCATATTTATTGTGACAATACAATGTATATATGCATGTAAGGCATCTGCTCAGAGAGCTGAAAACAGAGGAAAATAGAGGATACATGGACAATGGTTTTAATTATAAAACAATTCAGGATATTTGTGCATATTACTTTTGCTGTGTCTTTTACAAACTTTTACATAATTGTTTAAGTTCATAGGCCTCGTGTCACTACTGTATGTCATCTGATTAAACTAAAAACCGTTCAAATATGTCAGTTAATTGAAGTTGTTTTCAATTTTTACCATTTACAAATGGTATTTGTATTCAGAAGGAAGTCAATGTAGACTAGAGGCTAGTTTGAATGTACAGTACATTGGACCATTGGAAACAGGTAGACACATTTTACATGAGCAAAGTCATCTAAATACTATTTTAATGCTGAATTATACCTGCAACAAGATTTTTTTCTCCTCACTTTACCATTAGAGAGGATGTGAATATTACACGTTTTGATTGCTGATGATACAAAAATTGTTCCATGAAGTCTTAGTTCAGCTGCATTAATGTTGCACAAGTTCTCAATAGACTTCCAAGAACAGACATTCTCTTTTTCTCTAGGCAAGAGCTCTGGTGTGTGCCATGTCCAAGGAAAGGAGATTCACAAGGGTCAGGAACCTCATCTCCAACTACCACAAAAGCCAAAAGCCTCCAAGCTGTCGATGTTAAAGGAGCAGTATTAAAAAATCTGGCCCAAAGTGGTACCTCTACCTCTCCCTGACTCAGGTAGCTAGTTCAGTTAATATATTACCTGTCAAGGGCGACAGTAGCTCAGTTGGTAGAGCATTGGCCTTCAGGCCTGAAGGTCGTGGGTTCGATTCCCACCTCAACACCTTCTCCACCGACTCCCACTGATGACTGCTGTCGTTGTGTCCTTGGGCAAGACACTTAACCCCACTTTTCCCAAAGCCCCCACTGAAAGATCAAGGCTATGCTCACACTCAGAGAGCAGCCGTCCTCCTGTGGACTCACCACCTGCAGAGGGTCAGTGAGGGGCTGGTGCTATGAGACTTGGGTGGCATCTCTGACTGCCACCCCCCTGACCCAGAAATGGATTAAAGGGTAGAAGATGGATGAATAGACAAGAGTTTTGTCAACAACAAATCCATGACCAACTCTTTTGACAAAGACCTCAATAGAAATCCTTGTTTTATCCTTAACGTTTTGAGGATCACAACAAGACCTTTTTAGTTCTGCGGCCACATGTTACTTTGTCAGTGAGATTAGCTCGACACAGTGAGTTCTAGCAACCCGGATCACAGACTTTCTGATTGGTAAAAAGTTCTTGCTAATTGTGCTTTCAGACCGCAAACGCTCAAACGCTGAAGCCCCGCTCACCAGACGCGCATTCTCTAGTTTTCAGACGCAGGGGACTTCAAACCAGAACATCCTAACGCGAGCCGGAAGTACCGGAAGTAGCCGGCCGGCTCTAATGCTAACAGAGCTATGCTAGCGGCTTCTTGTGTACAGATCTTCTCCAATATCCAGTTTTGCAGCGTGTCTTTGAACAGAGACTTTGCACGGGCTTTATATAACAGTAGTATGTGTTCACGGCGGTGTGCCATACGTTTTTTCATACTATTAAACGGTATTTCCGCATCGGCGAACACACTCGAAGCAGTTGCATAAGGTCACGGGAGCATGACAACGCATATTTTCACAAGCACACAGTCCCCCATTGTCAACCCTGGTTTGAGTTCTGGTGAAGCCTGGCGTGGGTCCTGTTTTGGCTGTTTACGAGTATTTTCAGTCTGCTCGCTCAGTCCGCTAATGTCCCCATGACCACTTTGCAGCTCTCTGATTGGTTGTCGCACGAACGTCCCAAGGAAAGGATGAGCAGAATCCATCTCCTATGGGCGCATGCGCGTCTCACGCAATACATCCATGGTCTCACGGCAGCCGAAGCATACCAAGATGGCGGACCGTGAATGTCTTTAAAGTTAAAATACGAACGAATTAAGACACGAATGTCACTTTTAATGCAATTTGAGGCGAGATGTTGGTGGTTCCGTTTCGTCACATGTGGGTTTTAAGAGTCAAAGTTTTGTGCAAAGTTTAGTTTAAGCAGTCAACTGCGCCTGTGAAACCACAAAGCTAATGTTTTCATAGCAGTCCGCGGCTGCTGACGTAGGCTGATGACGCGTCCTGTGGCAACTCTACACTGGTCTGTCGGGTTGATAATGGAAATAATAAATTTCATTCAATACATGTATCGTACTGTATTTAATATGATTAACAATAGTGTGTTCAAACAAAATATTTAATTAGATTGATTTTTTTCCCCATTTTCCATTATCAACCCGACAGACCAGTGTAAGAGTGTAGAGTGGCCACAGGACGCGTCATCAGCCTACGTCAGCAGCCGCGGAGGCTGCTATGAAAACATTAGCTTTGTGGTTTCACAGGCGCAGTTGACTGCTTAAACTAAACTTTGCACAAAACTTTGACTCTTAAAACCCACATGTGACAAAACGGAACCATCAACATCTCGCCTCAAATTGCATTAAAAGTGACATTCGTGTCTTAATTCGTTTGTATTTCAACTTTTAAAGCAATTCACGGTCCGCCATCTTGGTATGCTTCGGCTGCCGTGAGACGCGCATGCCGCAGGTTTGCATTACATCATAAACAGCTGAGGCAGTGCATCTCTTCAAGACAGTGTATCTCGGCGTTACAACGTCTTTTACCGTGGGAATAACGTGTTTCCAGATCAGCTTTTGAGTAAGTCCAGTTCCATTGTCCCTGTAGTTCTGGAACAGTCTCAGTGAAGTGTCGCAGATGAACCGGTATTATAATAGATCCATGAGATGAACAGATGAAAACAGTCGAGCCGCTTTCTTCCTCTTAGGGCCAAATAGTGTGTAACATATTTACACCCATAACACACTTCATTCAAGTTGACGTGATCCTAACACTTTTAGTTGCTGACAAAAGCATAAAAACAGCAGCTCTATGTGGTGTCCGCGAGACCAGACCACAGACGCTGGACTCGGGAGCCGGAGCCTGTGCGCACTGATTCGCTGTTTTGATCCGTCAATCACCTCCCGCCGGCTTTTAATTTATTTTTATTTTTATTATTTTTGACAAAAAACAGCATACTAATTGTGTATTGTTTACCCCGTTTTGACAAAAGTATTTAACAACTATTTTAAATACAAAGCAAACGGGGTCGTGCGCGTCATGCGCGTCATCAGTGTGGTTTTTGTCACTGAAGTGGACCCGAGCGTTTCTGTGCCTCACGCTGGGGAAGGAGACAGATTGCTCTCTTACAAAAGATTGACAGAATCAATGAATAAACTACTGTGGCCTTGTGTATGAAGGCCAAATAACATTGTAATCATGTTTAAAGCAGAGAAAAGTCAAAAACCGTGATATGGGCCCTTAAGTCCCGTGCGAATGCGCCATGCCTGTAATTTGTAAAGTAATAATTCCGCTGCAAATGACCTCCTGTATTTGTCCAAAGTAAACACAAACGCCCTGTGATAATACTAATCCTGTGAGAATCCGCATGTCAGTGATTGTTATTGCTATTGCCGCTTTCGCTTTACTTTCTGCGTAGTTTTTGTCAATGAGCAGAGGAGTTGCGTATCACGGCTGTGTACACACCTGCAGAGTCGCGGCTGCTGCTGTCTCTGTGAGCTCTAT